GAATTCGGCTTGGGCAATTATCCGCGTCCAGGCTCCTAGCCGGTATTAAACGTACATGTTTCAAACCGGCCAAGCGCATTATTCCCTTATTGCCAGATAACCACTTCAAAACTCTTTGTTGACTTTGAATCCTGGATACGACTTTACTTTGTGCGGCGCATTAAACGTAACATTTTATTTTATCTGCCTGTGGACTTGTATTGACGATATAGAGAGGTCAATTTTGCAAGCGCAACTGTGGACACTTAACTCCACAAAAAGGACACTTCATGCGAGAACTTTTTATCCATCTTAAAATGTTGACTCTTTCAATCGGATGAGCACTCCCAACATGTGCGATGACACCAACTCAATAATTCTCCATTCCTGCGTTGCCTAAGTCTCACACGGAAACGAAGTGAGCAACTCATATTTACCCAATCTGACAGACAGAAAATCTTTGCTTTCATTCCTGTGCCACTTTGTCAGAAATTTCTTATTGCATCCTTGCACACGCTACTTCAGAAGACTATATGCTTCAGTGGAAAAGGTTAACCATTGACCAGAAAGATAAGACAGCAGGAGAGTGTTTCTGTACCTCGGGAAAATTCATCATGATTTCTTCCACGGTGGCTGTAGCGCGCCACACTCACGGAAATAGCGCGCAGGCACTATCGAAACGACAGTGCTAAAAGCCTTTGATGGGCTAAACGGAGAAGTAGGCCTTATCAGCTATCAGCAATTTACTTCTTATCTTGAGGGCTTTATTGATGCGACACAACTATTTTTATTTTAGGGCTTGATTTTTTTTTCTCTGTCTTCTTCTTAAAACGTATGTGATGCTTGGGACGCATGCACTTTTGTCCCCGGGTGAAGACGGATTGATAAATATCATGAGTTGAATTGGATACTCGTACCGATATAATGCTATCAATTCTAGATGCCAAGAACAATTGACAGCATCATTTCTCAAGCCTTTGCTGCACCAAAAGATCGCAAGATGGCATTTGAATCCTTTACAACGCAATGGCCTGTATCATTCCTTTCTAAATTAACCTTTTCCGTTTAATATCCTGGGTATTTATTTGGGGAATTGGCAGAATTTACAGCCTCTTCTGCACGATTTATTCTGTCACTTTTCATTACTACGAACATATACCCCCGAGACTTGCTTGACGTATAGCATTCATGAACAGCTCAAATGTTGCAGCTCCCAACTGTCCCCCCCCCCCCAGCATTTGAAACAGCCTGTATAACTACACAGGATTTTCACATTTAATCAATCATGCCAGTATTTATAAAAAAATAAACTTGAAGTTGCTGCTGTGAGGCTCATTTGATTATATTAGTTTGTTCTATAGCCGGTCTCGGCTCCCGGAACTCATGTAATTACTGACTGTCAGATCTGTTTATCCGTATCTGTAAATTACTTTCAAGGGGAATCTGGCCACCTATGGCAGTAATGTTATATTACAAACACTTTTCTCTGCTGTTAAAAATTGCATTACATCTGTAATGCCGCGTGCCCCAGGGCAAAACCCAGGCCCGTATTATCCAATAGGCACAGTATAGGCACTGTGTCTAGGGCCTACGAAAAAGTCAGGAACCTATGAAACAATTGAGGGCCCACGAAAAAAACCACTGTGTGCCAACAGGCTTTTAGAGCTACCAGTTTGGACTGGCTTGCTTAGTACAGCTTAACATCAACATGACATTTTGTGCTGGCGCCTAGTGCGAAATTATTCTGAGTATCACCCGTTATATCCACGGAGCAAGACTCCTGTATATATATAACGTCTGATATGTCTAAACAAACACATACAATGCAAGCCGCGCGCCAGCCAATCGGAGTCGACTTTACTAAATCGTGACGTCATTTCATTCCCAAGTCAAGACTAAATGATTTGATTGGTCAGTTCGAATCCAGTGTTTTGTAATACAACAACAGCCGGACGCGATATCGCGTAACATGATACACAGCGCGTGACACATTTGTTTATCCATTGTCTATGACGCGCAAACGGGTGAATGACCGAAGACCCGATATAGAAAGTGCCCGCTGATTGGTCAAAATCTAGGAGCATGGGCGTCGCAGGATTTTTTCTAGAGGGGGGAAAAACATATTTTTCCGGGGGCAGGGACATTTTGCCCCCCCCCAACTCATTAAATTTACACCACTATGACTTCGCGCCTCTTTTTCTTTCTTTCTTTTTTTTTTTTTTTTGGGGGGGGGCTTTTCCGGGGGGGGGGACAAGCGCCCCCTCCCCCCCTCCTTGCAACGCCCATGTCTAGGAGGTCAAGAGGCGGAGTCTTGCCTTATTAATCAGCGAATCCGCTCAGATATCATAGACCATGGCATGCATTCGCCATGGTCTAAATACATGGACTAGTGCGGAATAGGGCCTACGGAACACTTAATCCTGCCCTGGCAAAGCCAGACGGTTCTCGGAATCATTGAAATAACATTCAGCTGAGGCCCATTCATTCATGATGGCAACATTTCAGATGTTGCTGTTTTTCCCTTCTACTATAAAAGCCTCAGGAGTGATTTGGTCTTGTAAAGTTTAATTGTTTTAGCTGAGAAATTTCTGATTCAATTGCTTCTTTATGGCTTTTATCTTGAAGTCTTCTCATGCATCTGGTCTACTGGAGTTTGGTCGATTTGTTGGCGTCGCGGGGCAATTCTGTATTACAGCGCTGCCGGGCTAACAGTCGGTCTGCAAGTCAGTAATCAATCAGTGAGTCAGTCAAGGATTCATTTGGTTAGATACATAGGTACACGGAATAACCAGCAAACAGTAAAGCAAATTTTGTTTTAGACCTTCCTTAGACCATGGGCCTTATTTAAGAGTTGGCCCTTTTTTATCGAGGTTCCCTGAATGTATTTCATTGATTGTTAATTGTTGAACGTAATGGCGCCAGACTATTTATGCAGGTGTAATGCAGCATTATTTTACTGTCATTTTTTTTTAAATATGGCTTTAAACAATAGGGAATGTTTAATTACAAATTTTAAATTATTCATTGAAGCAGACTGGAATTTATTAGAAATTTACTTGCTTTCATTTCTCTTCGCAAGTTCCAAAATTAAAGATTTTACCTAACTTTCAATTCAATATGGCCGACTTGTAAATAAGGCCCATTACTGGGGAGTCGGGTTGGCGTAGCTATACTTTCCTCCTTTTTCCCACTGCTGTGACCCGGGTTCGAATCCCGCCTGGGCCAATGTGCATTGGGTTTTCGGTCCTACCTAATTCCGTGTGTTTTGGGTTTTTTTGCCAAAATATTTCTCATTGTCTCCTCTCTACAGGTTTATTCAGGCTTGTGAGCTACAGTGCCTAGGGCGCCTTTGAGGAATCCTTTGTTTCATTACCAGATATAAATAACATAATACTGTTGTTTGATGTGCATTTATATTAGTAATCCAAATGACGCTCCTTATAGCTGGAAATGGTCATTTTGTTATGAGTTTTTACTGCCTCATTAAAGTATACAGCTATTACAGGGCTTTATTGATTGCATTATATCCAGTGGCCCACAAACCGCAGACACGTTCCCGCATGTCATTGGCGACCAAAAATAGCCCCCCCCCCAAAAAAAAGTAAGGACACTCATGTTGTGAGGTTCTTTCAGGAAAGTGTTCGTGCGAAGCCAAATTAATTATACGCAGGGTCTGTATTTCACCTGTCGTATAGACGCTTATGTTCCCCTGCTGTTGTGCTCTGCACCTGCCAGCGCGCAGTCTGTGTTGGATCAATGCCCCATTTTGGGAAATAACCAATAATTTGATTCATTAACGAAATTAATTAAGAGGAGAGGCCCCTTTGTATTCAATGAATTCATGTGTAGACAGGATGTTAACAGACTAGACTGAGCCTTCTCTCTATTGCACCTGCGCTAGGTGCGGGGAGGTCTGGCAAATTCAAGCGGGGATAGGTTGGTAAATTAGACTATAACGTCTGATGTGAAAATCCCTAGACATCACATGACATTGTGTGCTCCCTCGTTTGGAATAATGGACATTTGTTTTATTCTTTGCTGTGGCTCCAGGTCGAGGGTTCAAATCCTTATTCTACACAGGGAGAACTAATAAGTCTGCGAAGACAATTTGGCTCCAAAAAGCAGACCTGGTATTAACCCTGGCGAAATTTTAAGGCTTTTTCATTAATAAATTAAATAATAATGAATGCGTATTTATAAAGCGCACGTTCATTCTGGTTATGGTTGAGTTGGTAAGAATATCGCACCAACTTCCTTACTCCCTTGCAGCTTCATGTGTATGAGGATAACATGCCAGAAACCCCGGGGCGAACCCCTTCTCTTAGCAATAAGAGTTGCTGGGTTATTTTAGATATTTATATACAGCACACGGGACCTACGGCCTTACTTCCCATCCGAAGGACGAAGCAATAATGGTTAAGTGCCCTGTTCAAGGGCACTGTCCAGGCCCCGGGCTCGAACCTACGCCACTGTAACTCTCAACCGCTAGGCCATCTCCACTACGTATCCCGGTGCGCAAGGTGCTACATCTTCCATACCCTACTCACAGGTATATACCTGTTTACCCCTGGGAGGGAAGAGGCAATGAGTGACAAAGTGCCTTGTCCAAGGGCACACGCACCATATCACAAGGCTGGACTCGAACCTAAACCTGCAGAATTACCCAAAGACCATTGTATTCAATGTTCCAAACCACCAGGCGACGGCGTCACTGCATGCACTCCACTCACTTCTAATTCTGGGCTTCGTCCTAAATGTTACGATAAGCAGCGTTGTAAAAGTCAAGCCCTCACTATACTTGATTCGCCTCTACTATGTAAGCTAACATCCTCGTTGGGAATTTTCTGAGGGCTGAATGCAGGATATTCTGGGATTTTGAAAACAGACCCGCTCACATCGAAATCCGACCTGCATTAGTAGGAGTTTCTTCTGTAAAATTTTTGCTTTTTAATTGTAAACTTTTACAAGTGATGTTGACAGGCTTTGGTGAAGTTTTATTTTTCAATAATTTCTCGTTGAAGCAGACTGCAGCCAGCTTCCCTGCCTGAACGGTGGCCAATGTGGCTTCGAGACCGGTACCAACACCAGCCTGACATGCCAGTGCCCCCCTAGCCACTGCGGTGACCGCTGTCAGTACCAATCCGCCTGCATGAACGGCGGTACTTGCCTTGTTCGCTCCGAAACGGAGCACGGTGTCACGCTGTCCTGCGAGTGCCCAGCCAACTACACCGGCCAACAGTGCGAGCACCTCCACGCCTGCACCTCCAACCCCTGCCCGCCGGACCGGCGCTGCGAGGTGGACGTCTTCAACAATTACCGTTGCGATTGCCCGTGGGTCGGCTACCACGGGGCCGACTGTGACATATTCGACGCGTGCTCTCAGTCGCCTTGCCTGAACAACGGCACATGCGCCTTCGCTGGGAGCAAGAGGTACGTAATCTCGATTTCAACCGCTTAGCCTCTGAACAAGCTTGTTGAGGCGCTCCTGGTGACGGGTATTTCCCGTCAGCGTTGGTTCTAGGGGTAAATTAGCCACAACCCGCGTTTGCTTTACAATAGGCCCCTTTTTGAGGCTAAAGACGTCTCATGACGTCATAGGACATGTGGTACATAGGCAATATTGATACATGTATATGCTTTAGCCAAAACGTTCTTTTTAAAAAAAGGCACTTGCTCAGTAAAAGGTATCTTCCGTCGGTGCAGGTTTTTGGGCTTGATTTTCATATTCTTTTTTATTTCATTTCATATACCATTTTGGGAAATGGTTACTGAAAAGAAATTATCCGAAATTTTGGAGCCACTTTTGTTTTCATCGTGAGAAGGGGGACATAAGTGCTCGAGGGGGCACAGGTAAATCCGCTCTTGCGCTTGGGTAAATCTGGGGGAGGGGGGAAGTGCCCCCTGCCCCGGTTCCGCCGCGCTTGGACGCCACTAATCATCAATCCTCGACGTCGGTATCATGAACTCATGGTGCCCACCTCTATAACAGTATTAACTGCCTTTAAATGTTTCTGAACTAACTTACCACCATTCATTAAAATACCTTTTGAATTGACTATACAAAACCTACCTTTATGTTACATCCTTAAGCAATGGAAACATTTTTATTGGACAAGAGGATCAAATGAGATACCGCAGTTTGTGTTAATTGCCGCAGGTTCGGAAGTATGAAAAAGGGCAATGTGGAAGTGAGAAGTACTTACATTCTAACACGGAGAATCTATGAACTTGTTTGGAGAGTCTTTCTTCTGGTAAAATTCTCCCATGTATGTCTCTATATTAAAATCCTTGCAGTTATCGATGTGATTGCAATCCGGACGGGACAATCACCGGTTACTACGGTATCAACTGCGAGCTGCACGACCCTTGCCTGGCGTCCCCCTGCGAGAACGGCGGCACGTGTCAGCAAGACTTGCCAACACCGACCGGGGGGAGCACCGGCTTCAACTGCTCCTGCGATGACCGGCACTACGGAGACCTCTGCCAATACGAAGACGAGTGTCTTTGCTCCCCCTGCCTGCATAACGGGCAGTGCTTGCCGCTGGACACCGGAGGCTTTGAGTGCGATTGCGCTAACGGGTACTTTGGCACGACTTGCTTCCACTCAGGTAGGTTGGTCGATTTATTTTTGGACACCCTGTTTATAATAATCCAGGCAAAGCGCGCAAGATTACTCTACGATTCTGCCACGCCCTCGCACAAAGGCACTTCAATATTCACAAAGTTGTTGAAGGACTGAGGAAATTATCACCATATACCAAGGTTAGAACACGATATTGCTTGATTATCAACCCCTGGAAATAAGTGATCCAGATTTCATATGTCATGCAAGCTAGTTTATGACATTCCTCTTAGCTCTTCTATACTTTCCTATATCTGGCCTGATGTATCCAGCCTCTCTTGAAATATTAAAGATTATCTCCCCAAGTTTTTTGTTCTTCCGATCTTCGTAATTCGTCTTTGGATTTCTATTGTACTTTATAACACATCGAATTGCTGACGCATGACAGGAGTACTGCACAAGACGACAAGGTAAATAACCTGAAGAAAATACTTCAAATTCTTTTTCTTGGCAGTCTGTACTTTGCATTTCTGCTGGCATAACGGCACCTGTTTCCTCGACGACTCGGGCCTTCCGCATTGCCGCTGCCCGGACGAGTACTACGGCAGCCAGTGTCAGCTGCTCAACCCCTGCCTGCAGGACAACCCGTGCCAGAACGGAGGCAACTGCACCAAGGTCCAGGGGGTCCGCTTCGACTGCGAGTGCCCGGTGGGCTGGACCGGCTTCTTGTGTTTTTTCTCAGACCCATGCGTTGGCAACTCCTGTCAGGCGAACCAGACCTGCGAGCCAGACCCTTTGTACTTGTCCTACACCTGCACCTGCAAGTCGGACGGGTACAAGGGATCTACGTGTACCGACTACGATTCCTGCACCGACCAGCCATGTCAGAATGGAGGTCGGTGCGAGTACTTGAGCCACATGAGGTGAGATTTTGACAGAGTTGTAGACTCAGTTTGAGCACCTGGGGTGGATCGCAAGTACATCACAAGCCTGATCATAAAGGCACTCACGCACCCAGTCGCAAATTAAAAGGGATGACAAACAAAGAAGGAATGCTTTACCACAGCTATGCTGTAAAGCAAAAAAGACGTGTTTGTCTGTGTGTTAAGCATGCAAATTAGGCCGTTATACGATTGATTGTCCGCGTAGTTGAAGGACCCCGCGAAACGGAAACTCGCCCTCGAAGTGGGAATTCGGCTGCGAAGCGCGGCAGCGGGCGGGCCAGAGGCGGGCGAGGCGATGCATATTTCACTAATCAGAATGAACTTGGGAACGGATAACTTGTATTCGGCTTGTCTGATTCATCCCAAGTGTCTCGTTTACAACGCTTGTTTTTGAAAACCAACACGTTTTTGCAACAGTACTATCTTCTTAAGATGAGCAGAGTACTTTCTTGGCAATTTCGTTAAGGTTCGTCACTAGCTGATTTTTCTCATCCGCAGTTACTACTGCGATTGCAAACCGGACGGCTTCCCGACTGGTTACTACGGCAAGAACTGCGGGGAGCGGCGCCCGTGTCCGGAAGAGGTACCGGCCGCCTGCTCCAACCACGGCGTGTGCGAGTACAAGGACGCCGAGCCCGGATACGAATGCGTACAGTGCGACGGCGGCTTCTACGGCAAGTCTTGTGAGCGCTACGACGGCTGTCACGACACGCCGTGCCAGAACGGCCAGCCGTGTGTGCCAAACTACATCTTCCAGACATACCGCTGTGATTGCTCTGAACAGTACCTGGGAATACACTGCGAGATACCAGGTAATAACAATAATGTGGTGCTATGTAGCGCTTTATACCAAAGTTGTCAAAGCGCTTTACAGTTATTACCCCTGTTCATCAGGCCACGAGACCTTCTCTGCACCAGCTCAATATCAGCGCATATGACCCTGTACCTTCGCAGGTACCCATTTACTCCTGGGTGGAGAGAAGCAATGAGTGACAAAGTGTCTTGCCCAAGGGGACACGCACCGTAACCCCAGGCTGGACTCAAACCCACAACCATGGCGTCGCCAGGATTTTTTCTAGAGGGGGGCAAAATATTTTTGCCAAAAAATGCTTGTAATTCTCAACACATGCTCGATTTATCAGTTTTAGAGAGGGGCAGGGACATTTTGCCCCCCCCCCCAACTCATTAAATTTACACCACTTTGTCTTCGCGCCTCTTTTTCTTTTCTTTTTTTGCTCTTTTTTTGCTTTTCGGGGGGGGGGGGGTGGGGCTAGTGCCCCCCCTTGCCCCCCCCCCTCGCTACGCCCATGCCTACAACCCACAGCTTTATCTGCAGAACACAAATCCAATGTCCTTAACCACGAAGCTACAGCACTCCACTATTAGGTAATTGGACTGCATGTTACTTTTTCCTCTTTTGTATTCCAATTTTAGTACTAGAAGTGCATTTTGTCGACATGATCGACAGTACATGTAAAGGCATTAATTTGTGACAACCCAGCTTCGTCTCCGTTTTGGCTTCATCTCTGATTTAGAAGCATTTGGAGACTCTACGACCAAACTAAGTTGGACGTTTGCATCATACAGAATTATATTAATGTTCAGGAATCAGAATATAAAGTACACATTTTCAGCACAAGTTTCCGAAATAAGGGGCTTGACGAACCATTGACGAAGATGAGGTTTTGGGAAAAAAATCAAGTTAGGCCGTGTTTCATATCAAAAACACTTTTAAAAGATGTTCTCTTTTGAAAGCAAAACCATTTTGGCTTGTAGGCCTGAAACAGAAATATTTATGAAAACTCTGATCGATTTCTGATCGATTCTTCTTACGTGGAACCACACCGGGCTCCGATGCCATCCTTATTTCATACAGTTACTTGCCACGACCAGTCTGAGAGCATCACGGTCGATACCAAAGGTGTTTACTTCTGGCAGGAGACTCTGATCAGGAAGACCGCGTCGCTTCCCTGCAATGTCGGCCTAGGTACGGCCACCAGGAGGTGCGAGGCCCTGGTGACTAGCGGACTAGTGCTTGCCACATTCTGGGTGTCCCCGGACACTTCTGCTTGTCAAACAGTAAGTGCGAAGGGTTGAAATTCAAAAGTCTTGTAAACATGGCATCCACACTATAACAAGACGAGACAGGTTTATAAGACTGGACACATATTAACAATGGCTATTCACTGGAAGTCTTTTCACCGGTTGATGAATACCATTGGCTGGAGTTAGCCCTGCACGGGGAAAAACAATGTCTGGCTCTCTTCGACGGCCAAGCAGGCTCAAAAGATAGTGAGTAGGTCAGTCTGTCATTGAGTCAGTCAGTGAGATAGGTACAAAGAGGCAGACTTGTATGACTCGTGACTCGGACTCGGACTCGAGTCAGACTCTGAGTCCCATTTTCCGTGACTAGGACTCGGACTCGAGTCACGATGACAAATGACTCGGATTCGGTCTCGACCCTGCGGACTGGGACTTGGACTCTGACTCGACCTGCGTGAGTCGGGACTCGACCAAATTACCAATTATTGTGAAGATGATCATCTCCTGAGTAAGCGATGCAGTCTGTGCGGTGCAGAAGAAACGCATCTATTGCTTTACTCACACGGCGCGTGCGGCTGGCTTGTTTCGTTATACATGTACATGTATTGATTTGGGAAATCAATTTATTGCAACGTATATCCAATAAGGTTCAGCGTCCACACTTGATACTGCGTAAATACAAGCTTGAAAGTTTTTGGTACCAAATCATCCTTTTCCGACACTAGCCTTATTTGACACAATGTTATGCATGTATTTCCAGTTCAATAAATTAGAAAAAAAGCTATGAAAAAAATAAAAACATTTACCCTGTGAAGTTTAAGCAGCACCTCAAATTTTATTTCCAACATTATAAAGGGTGACTCGTGACTCGGACTCTGAATCGACTTTTGGGACTTAGGACTCGGACTCGGACTCGACCTGTATAACTCGGAACGCGGACTCGGACTCGATGTTTGGTGACTTGAATACAAATCTGCAAAGAGGTTCCACAGGAACCAGCGAAAAAAACCCGCATGCTGTTTTATTTAGACACTTGATGGCAGCACACTTACTTTTTTTTCCACGTACATTGGAAAGGTGTTCTTGACCGTTTACTGAGGGAATAAATGTGTGCTTGGCCGGTTTTAAACACTATGTTTATATACTGGAGTCTGGATACTGATTATTACCCTCATCTTCGGCTCGGGTAATTATCAGCATCCAGACTCCAATCGGTCTTAAACATAGTGTTTAATACCGGCCAAGCACATAATCTTTTCGGTTACAAAAATTGTTTAAGATCAGCCAGCCGGTCTTTATGAAACCGTTTAAAACCGGCCACGTGAAGGGCTCTCGACCAAAAGGAATGGGTAAACTGTCTAAGGTATAATATGCCTTTAGATCTTGCAGTGAACGTATGGGGCTCAACAGTTATACGGTGTTAGACTTGTCGGATATACTATAGAGAGATACTCCAATATGTAATTGCAGATGAACTTTACCAAGGAAGTAGCGCAGAACCTGACCTATTACCTCATCCACACGACCAGCAACGCAGAAGAGATGCAAGAGGAGGAGGTGACGTCATCAACGGAGCTTTTAGTTGCCATTATCATCTATGCATACTACGACTACAAGGTCATTTTGAAGATTGTGTCAATAACGTTTGGTGATTGATAATAAATGAGAACAATGAAATGTGTTGATCAGACATTGGGTTACAAAAGTAATGTCCTAGTTGAAAAAGCAGTGCTGACAAAAGCAGTGCTGAAAAAGCAGTGCTGACATGAAGGAGGGGGGGGGCAAAAAAAGTTGTGCAAGCAGATATCCTTTAATTTCTCAAAACAACTGGACATGAGTATTTCATCTTAATGGAACATATTAATTATACTTTTGTGTATATTCAGTGAAAATCCCATGGGAATCCGATCATGCAAACCAGATATCTAATAGATTTAAAAAAAAACTATAGGTTTTACCCCATTCCAGTGGGTTTACACAGTTACTGGTATCAGCGCATTAGATTGTCATGGGCCTTTTCACTCTGATGTAAATTTAGTTAACTATGTAAATCCCATCCCATTGGAATGGTTGAAAGACCCACAGCCCTATATAATCTGTTAGATCTCTGGTTTGCATGAACAGATTTCCATGGCATTTTTACTGAATATACACAAGAGCATAGTTAATATGCTCCATCAAGATAAAATATTCATGTTAACTTGTTTTGTGAAAATTAAAGGATATCTGCTTGCAAAACTTTTTGGGGGACACCGTGTAGTACGATAAAGCGTAGAAAATAGCGTAGTTGAAACGCACGCAAAACATTATGCGGATTAGCATTGAAATACATTAAAGGTAGAGTCCATCATTTGTAATTTGTGCATTTTGTTCGTTTGAAGCAACAAAAAAGTTCAAAATCTAATGAAGGATACTGAGCAACTAACCTGATGAAGTTTCAGCTAAGCTTCAGCTGTACATTCTGAGAAAAACAGCATTCTAAGATCTCAATTTCAAATCAAAAGTTGCTGAATCATGTTTTTGAATTGTTTTGAATTGCAACTATACGCGACGTCGCGCACTGATCCGACGAATTATAACAACCGCGCGCGCGTGTGCGTCGTTCGAATACTTGTGCGCGCTGCGCTGAATAACAAAACGAACTACTAATTTAAATTTTCCAACGGTGCTTCTTAAGAATCACCGTTGGAAATGCCTTCTTTCGTTGATTACTTCAAAATGACAGCTTCCCAGAAAGAATAATTTCACAGGGAGTTTAGTCTCCTTACTATCTTTCAACCAAGTTAGTTTTTCAACAATAATTACGCCAGTTACTTTTCGGATGGCTGCAAATGATGGACTCTACCTTTAAATGAAATAACTTCCAAGACATTCACTTGAACGATCCAGTAACATATCTGTGAGAGAACACAAACTAAAGAGATTGTGAACAAAAGAAAATCATTTCATTTTTTTACGTTGGCTAACAGTAGGCAGAATGTTGCCAGGTGATGTTTTTGTAATATTCCACATGGACAATGTGTAGAAAACCACCGCCCCACGCGATTTTTCCACGTTTATTCAATTGAAACGTACCAACTTTCATTTGTTAACAGCTGGCCAATGATATCATGCTTTGCATCAGCAATCTCCTTGACGTAAATGAAACCGTCCTCAGAGACAGCTCCGTCGAGTCCGAGACAAACACAAAGTAAGTTTCAGGGGAAATAGTTTGGTGGAATTGTGCCTTTGAAGTTTGATGATATACAAGCATGGTATTTGACACACAGTCAGAGTATGTCATGAGAAAGATATTTGGCTATATAGGGCCATCGCAGATTTGTCCTTTGAAAAAAATATATACTAGGTAGAATAACAAGCAATTTTCAAACAATTGCGAATGCGAATGCGAAGCGAATTTGAGTGTAATGAGACGTGTTTACCTCTGTCATTAAAATGTGTTTACCTTTTGAGAATTTTGCAGCTCGAAAGTTTTTTTCTAAATGTGTTGAGCGTGCGTTGGAGTGCCTGATGTTTCATCAAAACATTTGCTTTTCCTCAAAGCTTTTTCAATTTCAATCGTTACATTTGCCCAGGCTTCTGTCCGTCATTGACTCTTACGCTGAGAACACGGTGCTGGGTACCAACACAACAGCGGCGGAACTGGTCACCGACAACGTCGAGATTATGGTGCAAGACGTCGCCATGGAGCAAGCCATGGAAACTGGTTCCTACTTCCGGTCTTCCCTACCAGACTCGAAAGGCGTAAGTCGCCGTGAGGACACAGATAAATATGCCGAATTAAAAGATTTATACCGAGTTATGGAGCTGCCATCCAGGATTGCTAAGATCTTCACTTAATTTATCACGGGATGACGATTTTTTACACGTAAAGTGCCGACATCCTAAGATACTTTTGATGGAATGACAACATCCTGAAACCTGAAGTTTACAACTTGAGATTACTTAACTGGGGATGACGACATCCCAAAAGTTTGGATTCCAACATCCTCACTGTCCCGGGATCAAAAACATGGTAAAAATGGAATGTCGACATCCTGAGATGACGTATCATGAGATGACGAGAACCTGTGAGTGAGATGTCAACCTCCTGAGATACTTTATCTCAGAATGCAATCTTGAAGGCGTTTCTAACACACGTTTAATTTCAGTTTAAACGCACAGAATCGTCATCGCTTGATATTATCTTATCAGCAGGATATAGTCATCATACTTTCAGGATGTCGTCAGCCCGCGATGAAGTATCTCAGGATGTCGTCATCCTGCCTGTTTAATGTCGTTATCCCCAGTCTGGTGGCACTTCCAGAGCTCTGTAAGCTTATTTAGGGGGGAACGTGGTCATTATCGTCTTCTGCTGCACAGTGAGACAATTGTCTTTTTTCTTTTACACAAGAGAGGCGCGTGCCACCCAAGGGCGAGCAGGGGTCGAGCAAAAGTCCCGTACCACAGCTGCTGAGAACTGCTTCTTTTGGCCTATATCGCGCCAATAGGTCAAAAAGATGAAAGTTTTGCAAGAAATTGATTTCATCTTTGGTTACTATGACATAAAGATGGCCCAAAGATTTTACAAAATATTGGCCGTTCTAAACCAATGAAATCAAATTATCCGAGACAGATGATGTTTTTATCTGTCTATTTTTAGGTGGTATTCAGACAAATATCTTTGTGAGCAACTTTGATGTTTTTCCTTGATGTACTTTATATATCCACAAAGTCAAAGTTTGCCCTTAGAATACTGATGTTTGGGATATTTTGGGGTCTTTTTTTCCTACAAAGGTTTCTGTCAAGATTCCTGCAGAGGCCTTTACCGAGACGGAATTGAGCGCAGCCTTGGGTGATCTAGACTCCGTTCGGGTCAACTTTGTGGTTATGGCCAACACCAAGCTGTTCATACCGGACGGCGAGCAGAGTGAAGTCGGTGATGGGTACGCAGTGTCGGCTCGCATCCACGGCAGGGCCGTCAAGGGGCTGGCTAAGCCGGTTACCATCGACCTGCCCATCGAAGATGTGAGTATTCGTCGAATTGGGAACATTATTAAGCCAGTTCGGTAGTGAGGGCATTATTAGGACTTCATCTTGATTAGACTTTTCTTTCAAGATTCATTTTTGTTTGGTGATTCTGATTTGGAGTTGAGAACATTTTCAAATTATTTTAAGGGAAACCTTGACGAGCAAAATGGATTTTTCATGGCCCTCAGTCCAGATATCGACATAGTCGAAATATAGGGGTGGGGGCGGCGTGCACGGATGGCGAACCCCCTCCCCTCCCCGGGTAAGGGCCTGCATAAAACAATAATTTTGATGTTTGTTCTTGATTTATGCAGTCTGAAGTCGGCAAAACTCCGAGGTGCGTCTTTTGGAACGAAGAAGGTAAAAAGGAAGGTTTACTGTTCAAATTTGTGGTGAAGCTGCCCACATTATAACTCGTTCACTTTCCTTTCTAACATTTTATTTTAATAAATTATAACATTTTGTTTTAATGCAATGCTTGACAATGCACTTCTGTGCCCCATTTAGCCATAAATTACCATTTTCAAGGGTATCTTGGTGCCTTTTTTGGTTTTTATGCTGATGCAAATTTCTATATTTAAGAGCAAAGGTGTAATGTCATTTCAGGCAGAAAAAAAAACAATGGTTCAGCTTTTACAGCATCAAACTTTGCCAGAATGTTGGACGTTTGGCTGTCGTAAATCTTATTTTTCTTTGACGATTTGTTGTTGTGTCAGTGCTTGACATTTTTTCAATTAGCAAACCTTTCTCACAAGGTTTGCCCACACAACCCCCATTGATACCCCCCGAGGACGCCCATGGTGTTAAATGTGAATTAATTTAACAGCAATATGACTTCGCACGTCTTTTTTGGGTGGCTTTTCCCTCCCTCCTCCCGCGACACCATGCGCGGTACATGAGTAAACTGAACCACTTGATCCACACCATCATTGCCATAATGATCTTTCAGAAGGCCGATGGGATACCACTGGACTGGAGTTGATCTCGACAGCCAACAACTCGGCAGTCTGCGAATCCGATCATTTGACGTACTTCGCCGTCATCATGGTGAGCATCGTGGTTGCAATCACGACATGTATAATAACTGTTAATTGGTTCTCGTATTTTTGGCCTCTGAAGTAGGGTTGGTCGGTAAAAAAAAGTAAAAATCTTAATACAAAAAAATGTTGTTGAACCAGTATATTCATGGCCAAATCATTTATGACGCAAGGTGCGTATTGCCTCTTGTTTTGCTTCAAAATGCAATGAGATTGTCATGAGTTGGCATCACTGAACAGTATAATAAAGCCATCTTTGGCAAGATGTTGTTGATTTACGTAACGTTATCAAGCAGCTCACTAACGTTTTGGCTGTAGTGACAGTCGTGACTTCTCAGTGTAAATGTGCATGTAAACTACAGACCACAGACATAATGAGAGGCAACACCATCACATCTTCTGGGATAGCTTTGATTGGTAAACGCTGTGCTTCGAGTAACATCGGATGTTATTTTCCATATAGCGTTTCAAATAACACACGGCCTAGTTGCCTGAATTTGATTTTCATTTTACCTCATTAATTTCTTTTTTGTTGGGGGGGGGGGGGGGGGTTGGTTTGTGGGGTTCCACAAACAAAAGAGAGACAATAGGGGATCCCGGTTGCAGGCAAATACACACTTGTCTGTGTGAGTTTGTCTTACAGTCACTATGTGGACATGTGAACAAAAGCTGTCCATTATAAGATGGAATTAAGCTGTCCACCTAATGCAGGTTGTGTTGACGTTATGTGGACTAAGCCGTGTCCACATAACGTTTCGCCCTCTCTGATTAACAGGTTTAGAGGCATTTTGGGGTAGGGTTATCCGTCGCAGAATGGAGAGAAACATTCAAGGAAATTAAAAAATAATTTGGGGTCGAAAGAGTTTTCACACTTTAAGTAAAGTTATTGTTGGTACCGAGTTTTCTTAAAATACACGAAAACAAAGGAATGTCCAGCTATATGGTATATGGTATATTTTTATTCACATTATCACATTGTAACCCGAAGGTCAAATTGCATGATAATTTACAATATTAAAAACATCAAAATCTCAGTAAACATGTTATGTTAAACAAACATGACTGTGTGTGTGTGGGTGTGTGGAGATTTGAAGTACTTTTGTTTCTGATATCCAAGTAGTCTCTTGAGAAATGATTAACCCTCTTTTTTCCCCCTCGATATCAACTTTACTTTCGAAATCATTCGTGAGACGAGCGAAGAAAAACACAAAATGTTAAACTTTATTTCAGGATCCTGGGCTGTCAGATGCCATCCCCGCATGTCACGTGAGGATCCTGAGCATCATTTCCAAAGTGGGAGTCAGCGTGACGTTATGTGGGCTGCTGTTGACTTTCGTCACCTATCTGCTGTTCAAGTAAGTTCCTTTGGATAACGTTTATACCAACGATCACACGTATAGCTTATCCGCTATTTATTGCATTTCAGTAATTGATAACTTCTGCAGTCTATTGCTCGTCACAAAATTTTCCTAAGAGATAAGGGGAAATGCTGCACAGGAAAATACACGGCCAAAACGTAGATGTGTATGTGTACTTTTCTCCAGTAACATTTATTCTGCGGACTTCAAACTTGTTGTTGAATTTTGCTAGACTGTCCAGCTCATGTCCATGCAAAAATATTGGAGGATTTCTCACGACGAGTGCCCAGCAATCCGAGAAGTAACAAGTCATGTTATCAGGCGATCAATGGGAAAATGCTGAAAGGAATTCCTCTTAAAGATAAGATATTTTCATAAAAATTATCTCAGTTTGTTTTTCAGAGGAATATGGATGATATTTTCTTGCTTCATTTATACCGTAGTGACCAAACGTCTGCTCACGTCTCCTTTAGACCGAGCCCCGGTGCCAAGCGATTGTATGAAATTGAGAGTTGTTTTGCTCAGTCCATCATGATGGCCAATAAAAGAAAAAAACAAACAAAAAAAGAAATAAACAAACAACAACAAAAACCCTTGAAAAATGGGGCCCTCGGCTTCCATGTTAGCTTGAATTTTGTTCATACCAATAAGCAATAGAGAATGCCTGTATGGCATTTGCTTTAAATGGAATTCGAGGTCGAGGTATGGTTATCTAATTTAGTCTAATCAAACAAGATTATGTACATCAATGAGATTGAACATGGAAATTGTAAGATTGTTTATTACTTGAAATAGCTTATTGTCTTACCTCATTTTCTCAGAGGACAAAGTTCACTGATTCAAGTAATATTTGAAGTAAGTGAAGTGTTTTATTTCTTTTCTTTTACAGACAGCTACGAGGAACCCGGTCCGGCAAAATTCTGATCCATCTCTCCGCTTCCTTGTTTGGTCTCAACCTCGTCTTCCTCATAGACAGCGTTCCCTCGCTGACGTCATCATCGGAGATCGTCTGCCTGACCTGCGCCATCTTGCTGCACTACTTTGTGCTGACTTCATTCGCGTGGATGGGCATGGAGGCGGTGAACATGTACCGGGCCCTGGTGCAAGTATTCGTCCGCGGGAGCACCGGCTGCTTCATGACCAAATGCATGCTCGTCTCTTGGGGTAAATTGAAGAGAGAAAAAGCCGGTTACAATCGGGAAAATACTAGGCTAATGTTAAATGAATGAAAGTTAATTCAAACTAAAGAGTATAATAGGTTGAAATAAAATGGTTTAACCAGGAGGAGATTTCAAGGGTGTGCGTTAATACCAGGTGCGGATCGGGGGTTAGGGGGATTCGGGGTGGGGGAGTTCGGACCGTCCCCCCTGACAGCCTCCAAAAAATTATAACACTAAGTGTATCAGTAACAATGTGCTACATGACCTATATGTCCGCCTGTCCGCAACAATCGGACATAAACAAAATCTTACAGGCTTGACCCTCTCCCTGCAAAAATTCCTGGCTCCGCCCCTGAATACGTTAACGCTTTTGGGGATTGTAGGCCTATTATAAGGTTGTCTGGTAGTAACTGTAGGTTTAGACGCATCTCCCTCAAAGCAAGGTTGGGCTCTATCTTATAATACCACAGAAAGAACCCAATTTTATTGTCGGCGATCCATATATCTTTCAAAATGCTGTACTTTTTAAGTTTGAAGGTTTTTTATATTTTAGTTAAGACTTATATTCAAGGGTTGGCATAACTTACTCATCATTATTTCAATATTGGCTGAGAATGTAACGTCTTCAGTATGTGATAAAGTGTTGACATGAAGTGTTGACACCGGCGATTTGACATTGACATTGTGTGCTCTGAATTATTCTGAATTATACAGGTATGCCTGTTGCTGTTGTGGCGGCGGCAGCGGCCATGGGCCCGAGTACTAACTACGGACGAGAGGGAGACATGTAAGTGCGTGACAAGACGGTCTCCCTTTTTCCCCATGCATACAACACGGGCATAAATCCCACACTCGTCGGCACATACCACACGCCCTTGCCGTTCAATGTATTGTTTAAAAGGAAGCAAATTATCGTATCGTTTAAGAGGAAGGAACTTGAATTAGTGGTTCCCAGGCCGGGACTGATTTGACTGCATTTGGAAGCTCAATCAATCGGCCAATGTACTGAGGGACCAGTAATTTCGCAGTATTTATCCTAAATAAACCACTTGTAATGTTTGTAACATTATCGCATTGGCCTACATAGGCCTATAGCTCCAATATCGACATCCAACAAAATCCCGTTGGAAATCCTGTCCATTAATGTAAATTTACAATTATTCGCCTGTCTTGAAGATTTGAATGTACTACAACCACCAACCTAACCTTTTGCCACTATTGGCACATAGTTCGGAATCTATGAGTTTATCTCAGAGTATACTAATAAATTCCCTGATATACTACTGATCAGTTGGGCGGTAGTACGTGCGTCTCGCGTGCGGGAGAGCCACTTGTACGACCATAAACATAAAGACATGCATTTTAGTTGTGTAACAACCACAACATAGGACCTTTGGGAGACATGTGGAATTAGGGAGACATTTCAAAGTCTCCCTAATGGTTCAGCCCCTAGTTAGAGGCAATATTTTATAGTCGCAAATATGCTAGATCGATTGCTCGTGGTCCAATTAGTAAAAAATACCAGAATTCGTGGCGTAGGATAAGGTAAAATGGGGGTTTGAGTCATTAAAGTTGGGGGGAATTGTGCAAAAGTCCATGGGAATGTCTCCCTAGTGACCCATTATCGTTAATTATGATAACTATTATTATTCCTACTGGCATTTTATCTTTTAACGTTTAGATGTCTGGTGCTGAAGAAGAACCCTTACGTCTACTACATCTCATATCTCGGTCCCTGCTGCATCATATTGGCAATCAACATCATCGTGTTCGTCATGGTGCTGCACGCGGTGTGCTCCTGCCGAAGTAAGAAACTGCACAGCGCTGCGGCAAGCATGCCGAGACACGGCGTACGGAAGACACAGGTTAGACAAAGGGACAGTATGCAGGCACGGATCCATAGGGGGGGGGGGTCAACCCCCCCCCCCCCCCCTGATTTTACGGAGGCCAAGTGTCGGGAGAAAAAAATCTGTGTACATTTTCAGATTTGTTGGCTGATGAACCCCCCCCCCCCCCCCTCTGCAAAAATTCCTGGTTTCTCCCCTGGTATGCGCGGAAGTCTGTGTGGTGACATTATCTGACATGTTTCACCAGGGAGAACTCTGAATGTAATGGGCTCCTTCTTTTTCATAAAGTTTAGAAAGAATACGATAATTGCATGGCATTCGTGAGCATTTTGCCATGCAAACATTATATAGACTGGTGTATCACGCATTATGTACAGATGCTTCTTTTATATCAGTCATTTTCGGTTATATTAAACAAATCTACTTGAAATTTCCTTCATTAAAATCTAATCCAGCAATTAATCATATAGCTGTGTTAGGCGTTGTCAGAAAACAGCTGACATCGTCATACCAAAACGAACTCTGGGAGAGGGGAGTTGGGTTGCACCCCCCCCCCCCCAAACTGCTGATACTAGTTCATAAATTCATTCTCAAATTTCCTTAGAATGCAGGAGAAAGTATGGTAGATTTCAAACTTTTCCGGGGCCCCAGACGCGAATTTTCTTTTCATAAACGACATCCGCATATATGGTTGTTTAGCGCCATCTACGATACTTTTGTGATACGTACGCAGATATATGATTCTTATTTTCCTCAAGTTTGGCGAGCAGTTCGAGCTCAGTCGATACAGTCGATGAGGGTGCTTTCCTTGATTCTCGCTGTTCGGTTTCTCTTTTAAAATCCCGCAGATTGGCTGCGCCCTATCCGTGACCTTCCTCCTAGGCCTGACCTGGGTCTTCGGCCTGTTTGCCTTCGGAGAGGCCACCCTGGCATTCCAGTACATATTTACAATACTCAACACCATGCAAGGTATAGTCAAAATTTTGCTTTTATGTGAATGACACTTCAACAAAGATTTGTTTCAGGAGGAAAAGGAATAAGCCCATACTGGAGTCTTGTATTTTATTTTCCAGTAGTATTTCATAGTTTTCAAAATTAAGGGTCAAAATTAATGAAGAAACGATTATCCTCCATCTATCAACAAACGAACGCCTTATTGCGTCAGTTTAAGCAACGTTTTGACAGGTATTTAGGCCTATTGGTGTATCGTGGTAGAATCGCGTCAACGCAGCTTGCGAAATATTGTTCAATTACATGATATAGAAATGGACGTGGCACGTGCAAAATCTGAGACAAACAAACTTAGTGTACAAAATTCCCCATAGTGTTGTCTGAGGAGCGTGGCTAACTCGCAGCGGCGATAAGTCATGTACATGAAACGCCACTTATAACGAACATTGTATAACGAACATTTGGCTGTAACGAACATCCCCTTTGGCTTCCAAATATTGAATTCTACAATAATGCGCAATCACTATAACGAAAGAGCACTTCAACGAACCGTTGTTGTTTTTATGGAAACCATCGTGCTCGTTATAGTGGCGTTCAACTGCATTCTAGAGTCACACTGGTTTAATCGACAGACGAGTTAGACATGATTTGCAAGAGAGACTAATATTTTTACAAGTACCTGCCTGAAAAGTGTTAACGAAAACCTTGCAAGGGACCTTTTTGGTAGATGCATTTGTTGAAATTCATAGTCGGACTTTCTGTTTCATTACGCACATAATATAAAGCACATATACCTTTTGGGAACCGAAAGATTCTATGAAATTATGGTCGACTTAACATTAAACTGTACTTTTTATGGGCTTACAAAGTAAACATTATTTTGTACCTAATGTTGTCCCATTCCAGGGTTTTTCATTTTCCTGTTCCGGTGCGCTCTCTACCCGGAGGCCGTCCGCTGTTGGCGTGTCCTCCTCACCCAGGGCACCCTGAACCCTCGCCAGACACCGGGCAACACGGCCGTCAAGAACAACATGCAGCACAGCCAGAAGACCTACAGCACCAAACCGCAGCAGCCCAGCAACAAGCCCCTGGTGGCGGTGGTGAACGCCGGCTACGTGCCGGACGAGAAGCTCACCGGGGAAAATCTGCTCCGAGTCCCCATCATGGCGGGCCGGAATCACCGCCACTCTGTGGACTCGTACGAGAAGGAGATCAACGCGTGGGAGCAAGTCATGAAGCTGAGGAACGTGACGCTTAGTAATATCAAGCCCAGAAATGACATCTGATTCTGATACGTTTGTAAAGATCAAGATGGGAATAACCATTACAGGAAGACTAAAAAGATGCGATGGGAATCTGGAAAAGAAGAGGGAGATACACTGACAAAATGAAATAAGGATATCTTGGGTAATTAGCATAGACCTCTAAGACCAAATAAATCAAGTAGAGTTAGAGTAAAATGGCAAGAACAAACATATTCAGCGCAAATTGTTCAAGTCAGGAAAGCCATCCAATCTGATTGAGATGTCAGTATGTTAAGGGAGATTACTTATATATAGCATTACTCAAATTATAGAAGAGCCAACTTAGTTAAACAGTAACATACTGTTTGGAGTTTGAAGGGAAAAAAAAAGAGAAGTATACGGAATGCGAGTGGAGAGGGAAAGGTTGGTGGTGATGTGAACATCAGAGGGACAATGAAGAGGAAGAGAATAGTGGAGGTGAGCGATGGCAGTATAAGGAGAAGCTTGTTGGTTGTGATCGGGGAGGCCCGCACTCTGGTTTAGAAATCAGTCTAGTTGAATACTGTCTTTTTAAAAATGAGCTCATAGTGCTTTATTTTTCTGTACTTATTCATTCCCTGAAATAATAGGGAAAATGAAGATGTTTTGTTCGCTTCTGTTTCCAGGATACTGTTGTCTGTAATCTCTACCGCTGGAATGTCCTGAACTCCAGGAAGTAGGCCTACCTTCATAGGTCCGAGGCACGTTTGGTTTGACTCGGCAGCTATTAAGTCACCTGTCTCAAAAAGGGCGCTGGGATTGTGTGTGAGGCGCGCAAAGCATTGTGGGCAGCTTACTGCCTCATCCAATACACGTACATTCTGTGCGCACGTGTCATGCGCAGGCGGAAGGTTTGGCCCTTGTTATTGTTCAAACAACAATTGTCCCCGCGGGGGTTAAAAACGTCATATCCCACTTCACAGCAGTCAACAATTGTTTTGTTATACCTCCGATTTGGATTCTTTGGATTTTGATATAGCGGTACAAACACAACAATCATGACAATCAAACGGCAACTCACATGCATGTCGCGTGCTATCGCGTGCTCGAAACAGCTGATTGTCTGCTAGTTCGCTGCTCCCACTCATGTGTAAAAACATGGTGAAAATAGCGTGGGTACCAACGATATAAAGGTTTCACACCAATTCGTGCGTAAAATGTCATAGCCACTCCTGCCTCACATACGTGATATCCCACAGAGAGCGTGCCATGACTTTTTATAAATTTAACACGTGATCGTTCTAGGCCAATGAAAATACAGTATTTACGACGGAGGTATAACAATACATGATACTCGACCAATAACGTGCTTACACACGCGTGTGACATGCGCGTATCCTTAATCTGGTCGCCAAATATCAACTGTGACATTTTCTTCTCCCCCAAATGATGTGTGCGAATGGAAATGGTTTTTACAGATGCGCGAACTGTGTGGGAGATGGTTGAGGGGAACTTCGGAGCAGTAAGAGTGGGCGTGGCTAAACGGAGGTGTGGGCGTGGTGTCTGAAAGGCGATTTCAAATTCTTTGTGCATGCAGATGTTAGTGTGCTAGTGTGTGTCATTAGATTACTCTCAATCCGTCCTGCCATTGAGTACTATTTTCAGGTTAGCAGTGTTCCAATTTTGTGATGGTCCTTAAGCGCTTGTCAATTTATTGTGTGCCAATACATTTGCTAGTGATTGTGCATTTTGAGTAAAAAGTAGGCCTACTTTTTCTGCAATTAAAAAAAAAAGATGATTGTGGTCCTGCGTAGCATACAATCTGGTCAAAGAATGCCTAGTTGTAATTGTGTGTTTCTTCTCATTTTGCAAATGCTCTCTGATTTACAAAATTGAGGGTTTTTTATTTACGAAATTTATCAACACCTTGTCTCTTCTTCTTACTCTTTTTTTTTTTTTTTTTTTTTTTGGGGGGGGGGGGTAGTCTGAGTATCACCCGTTATCCACGGAGCCAAGTCTCCTGTGTAACGTCTGCTATGTCAAAGTATGCATATTTATGTGACCTCGCGCGACAGCCAATAGGAGTCCACTTTACTAAATCGTGACGTTATTTGATTCCCAAATCAGGACAGAGCGCGTGACCACAGCCTTTGTTGCTGTGGCTAGCGTGTTTTTTTTTGTTATACATGTCTAGACCCGACATAGAAAGCGCCTGCTGATTGGTCAAAATCTAGAGGTCAAGATGCGGTTGTCTTGCAAAAATTATAGATTAGACTAGGGGAGGGGAGGGGCTTAGGGTGAACGTGGGGGGTTTCAAAAAAAAATCCCCATAAAAATCAAATATGTACAATGATCCCAAAACAAAACTTCCCTGTCGCTCTACATCAAAATCGTGATGAAAATGTCAGTGTTATTTATATTAATATCTATATATAAGGGAACTTGTGCACATCCTAATATCACAAATTACTTCCCATTCATAAGGACATTGGACTGTATAACAGTCATAACCCGTAAAATAAATAACAAACAGATAAAGCCAAAATTATTAAAAGACACCCATGGGTTCACCACCATTCAGTTTCTTTTATTACAAAAAATCATTTGAACATATTCCATATTTCTCAATTACTTTATCCTCATAACTTATTCTCATTTTTTTTTATCAATGCTAATCCGCAAGACCCTCCTACTCCATATAAATTAAAACAAAACAAACCAAACAGCTTCCTTTAACGGCACACAATATAACACGGCACTCGGTTCAACCGAAAGAAAAGAACACAAAACAAAATACACGCATTGAAAGGCTATTGCACAAGAAAACCGGTAAAACTTTGCACTTCAACAACGCCTTAAAAATATAACAGTTAACTGAGATGTATCAATTCATTTTTTATGTTGAATACCCAACATTCACTCGAAGATATGGTCAACCTCTTAAATCAAAAGAAATATCAAAAGTTATAAATTTAAACAAAAATGGGTGCTAGTGTAAAAGCTCTGTTGACGGGATGACATTCATAACACCATGTCTTAAATTAACTGGGAAAAATGGGTTGATTATTCGACCAACAATGGGCGAAAAGTTAACACGTACTATTGGGCAAAAATTTGCATTTACATATTGCGTTGTTTATATTTTGCCCAGCGAATTATATATTTGCCCAATATTTTTACAGTGATTATACTCGTGGTCTCATGTTGTGCTAGTGTTTTAGAAAATGCGTAGTATCGTGGTTGCGTAGCAAACAAAACGTCAAAATACCCCAGAATCGAATTGTATTCTTTATATAAACAATTTTACTCTGAAGAAGATATGGAGTAAATTATTCGCACTTGTGATAAATTTTGAGGTTTTCACACAAGGAAACACATGGAGAAATCCTGGCGGAATCCTGACATTTGCAAATCCACGGCAAACGGTTCAAAGAGTATTCGCAATTTTTGAGAGAAAACAATGCACGAATTGCTAATTACCAGTCGATTTCAGTTTTAAAAACAATGTAAAGTTTGTTTTAATTGGAATGTGGTACGTAAAGTAAGCTATTTTTATAACAGAAAAATATTGTTTTGGACACTGCGTGATCTTAGAAGTCGTTTTGAAAGTATTAGCATCAATAAAGTAGAGACAAGTGTGTTTAAAAACAGCTTATCCTTGAAAAACGATTCATTCTAGGTCCACATGCTTCTTCCCGGTTAACTCAAAAACTGTATTAGATTCTGTTCTTATGCCACTATCAGCAGAGTCTAAAGAAATTCATGGATTCGACACTTATTAATGTATGTGAGGCGATCTGGCAAAATGAAACAAAACTGGGCACAGGCAGGTCGTAGTGAGAAAAGTGCAAAAAACCGAAGGGGTGATTTGTTTTCGTCGATTTTCAGATTGACTGATATTTGTAATCTTTGTATGTTTACTAAACGTATTGTTAAACAACAGTGTAAAAAAAACGCGGAATAAAAGTGTTCTTAAAGAAAAACAATTTGCTTCTTCCGTTTTCATGACCATAAAACTCGAAACTTTATAGGCCTTTTTCTCAGTATATTACCTTTTTTGACATGTCGACAAATGTGAACTTTAAACAGCCATACCTTGTCAATCAATAGAATGTCCGATTGAAGTGCAACAAACGGCATTAAAAGGAACATTTTATTCTCTTTTCCAACGCCCTCAAGCTCTCATTTTGACTTCTGCCCGGTTTTGCCATTGTGCCAAAACGCCTCACATATAGACATCAGTGTCTTGTTGTCGGTGACCAAGTTGGCCCACAGAGGCAGCTCAGGGTAGGGACATGGCGACAGTCTTAGCCCGCCCGCCTCTCTTGGCGCTCATCGGACTAGAAGTCTTCTGGGAAATACTTGGAAACCTGAAAGAGAACATAACAATTAGTAATACACAGAAAGTGACCTTTGTTCATATAAGGTTTTAAAACTTTTTTATCCAATCGCAGAAAAATGACACGAAAACATTTCAAACTGTTTTAAATTTCAGTCTAAATGTACGGTGGACTTGCATGATTCTTTTTTCTTTTATATATGATTCAGTTTTATCCCTAATCAATGATACAACATCAGAGATTTCAATTTCGTTGATAGACATGTCTCAGTTTCAGTCATTCACTTAAACATTTACACATGCTGTTAATATATAAGTTGCGTGATTTGCGGAACTTAAATTCGCTCGGCACTATCTCTATAATAAATAGCACTTTCATGAAAAGCGTGAAAATATACATGTATAATTACGCAATGCCCTTGAACCAACCTTTTCCATCAAAATGTGTACATTACAATAGGAAGACCCCCTTTTCGACCTGCCTCTGACATTTAAAGGCATTTTCTGTAGGCCTATAATCTTCAACGTATAAAAAATGGAATGACAATCTCGGGAACGACAACGTTTCTCTGTAAAAAAAAGGTTCCATTCAAAAATCGAAACGCCACTCACTGCATTCGCAAAGGACGGATTTCTAAAGGAGATTAAAAAAAAACTGCGAAGCTCAAGGTAAACTATAGTTTACTTTCTTTAGTTTACATACTTTTGAAAAGTTGAACAAAAAAATTGACTTTTGAAAAGTTGAACAAAATAATTGACTGGTGCGGGGCTTGAATGGGCAACCTCTGGACAACCGTTCCAGTGCTCTACCAACTGAGCTATCCAGCCATATGTTGGCGGCTCCCCAATTCGTCAATATCTTTGTTCAAAGGGTGCTGGTCAGAAGCCATAATCCCATAGCATGAAGCCAAGGATCACGCCCAAAGTCGCGATGCAGACCTGGCAAATAGCAAACGGGGATCACTCAGAGAGGATACGGCTTTTTATTACAAATGTTCAAATGAACCACAAAGGGAAACTGACTAGGCGAATTATAACAACATTCACAGTAAACATAAAAGTGTTGTAGTCGAGTCCAGCCCAATCCCACTCAAGTCCATCACAAGTACTTCAATTTCAAGTTAAGTCACACACTATTTGACAAAGCAGCTCCTTCATATTTATTCAACCATTTTGCATATTGGGGCGGGATAGGAATCGTGATCTACTAGTGATGGACTTGTGACGGACTTGTAATGGACTCGACAACAGCACTGAAACATACCTTCCGGATTTCCCACCGACCACGGCGCCGTCCAACAGCTCGCCCTTCTCGATGAACCCTCTGGCCCCTGCAGCAGGCGCCCCATCCTCGCCAGCTCTCACCGGTATACCGGAAGGGAATATCTCCTTGGGCGCGCCTAAGTAGGTCCGCTGGAGCGGCAGGCCTAAGGGATTCATATCCCGCTGGACCTCGCCCCGCTCCAGGCGGGTGTACTTCGCCTGCCGGTCCAAGGGGTTGTCGATGATGTTCTCGTGCATGGAGAGGAAGAGCGGGATGTAGGCAATGTAGTCGAAGAAGGAGATCTACCACCAGGAGAAAAGGGGGGACACTTTTACTTGACTTACACAACACCTCGTAATATTATTGACCCATAGGCAACGGGCAAAACTTTCATAAGTTGGTGTCAACTTAATAAAAAAAAAAACATCAGCGAAATCAGATCTGATGTAGAATGCCATGGTCCAGTGGTAACGGTGTTTGACTCGTGTACGATGGTGAGTGGGCTCCAACCCTGCCAGGAACATGGCGTTTGTGCCCTTGGGCAAGACACTTAACTACAATTGCCTCTCTCCACCAAGGAGTATGAATGGGTACCTGTGAGAGAGGGGCGAATGTGTGCTGCTATCGGCTACCGCGTGGTCTTGTAGAGCCCGATGAACGGGGGAATAATTGTAAAGCGCTTTTAGATTGTTGATACGACGGACAGTACTATAATTTATAAGCACTACAAGTTATTTATTTATTTTTTTATCATCAGCTACAATGTCAAGGGGTGTGTACTACTTTTTTACTGGGTTTCTGCTTTGCCCACGAGTGATCTTTAGCAATGATCTTATGCAACTTCAATATTTGGACCCAAGTCAGCATATATAAAATCTACCTGTAGTGAAGGGAATTATTAGAGCAAAGCATCCTGCTCACGGACAGTAGTAACAACCATCTGCTTCAGTTTTTACCCCAATACAAATTTCTGTCATCGTGCATTGAACATTTAAACACGGGATCAAATCTTCAGTGTTGTGCATTTTATTCATTTTTTTTTGGCTTCACAAAAAAACCACCCATGTCGAAACCTTTGTAGAAAAGATACTGATGTAAGCGTCTTTTGCTTGGTTCTGGACATAAGTTATCGGCCTAGATTTTGTGGAAGACAGCGGCGCTTAAATTTCATCAAGCCCATCTAGTTTATAACATAAAAACACTATTAATATCGGATACAATTTTTCTGATATAAACTATTTGTTTTCACGTCAGAGACGAAAATTCAGGAAAAAACTGTTGACGTCAACTGTGGTTAAGATTTAGAATCCGTTTCATCTATAATTTCAAGCAGAGTCGACGTTTTACTCAGAGTCGCCTTAAAAATAAACTTCACGAAAGCACCAATTTTGCTATTGGTATAAATCATACCTCTCCGTATTCATTGGGGTTCATCTTGGACATGATGTACCGCTCTTGTTCCCGGTTCAGCCCGCCAGCCATCAGCTCGATGCGTAGGGACTCGGCCGTGATGTGGTTATCGCTCCGCTCCGAGTTCACATTACAGTAGAAAATGGACTACAAACGAAAAAAAAAATAGATAAAGTAAGGTCATTGTTGTGTTTGGGGGAGTGTAGCCTAGTGGTAAGGGTTCATGACTCATGATCAGAGGGTCAGGGGTTCGAATCCAGCTGCTGGTCAAATGCTGCGTCCTTGGGCAAGCCACTTCACCCCCACTTGCCTCTCTCCACCCAGGAGCATAAATGGGTACCGACATTATAGATGGGGAGTAACCTGCGATGGACTAGCATCTCATCCAGGGGGAGTAGAAATATTCTCAGTCGTTTTATGCTACTGAAACCGGAGATAAACGCCGGCCTGATGGGCCAGATTGGCTCGTGACAGACTTTACCTTTTTACCAGTTGTTGTGTTTTACTTCAGAATTTTTGAAATAAGTGCTATCTTTCTTAATTTGTTTTAGCTACGGAATGGAAGAGGGCTGCGGATGGACCAATCGGAGTAAACTGCAATGATACTCCAGTGATATTTTGTATCCTTCCAAATTGCACAATCCCAACTTTTAACAAAATTCCCAGCCGGTCTTTCGAAGGTTTTAAAAAAGAAAAGGCAGCCGCTCACATCTGGAACTGTGTAATTTGTTTCTTTTTATTCGTAGTCCTGGAACCTTCTCCAAAAGTATTATCCAAAAAAAGTATTACGTAATTATAAATACATTTATAATTATGGATAAATGATTAAAAAAAAAATACAAGAATTAGCAGGAAAGACTTGAACACATCAGAGTCGTGTCAATGGATTACCTTGTACAGCGCCATCTTGCGGGCAATGTCGAGCAGGTCAGTTTTGTCCAGAATGTATTTGCCAAAGGAGCTGAAAAAAGGGCGCACCAATGGTGTTTAAGCAACAACTCAAAACACAGCTTTTTACTTATTATTAAAACCATTCAATACTGTTATAAAAATAAAACACTCATAGTTAAGTTGAATAAGGTTGTAATACAAGCACAAGAAGATCATTATTTGGGTTCGGAACTTACTCCATGTTGCACATTCTCTCGCAGACTCCAGCTACAACTGCGAACATTTTGAAACTTACAGCTGTGTGGTCATCAATGTTCAGTACCTGAATCGAAAATGCACAAAGGAATCATTGTGACAAGATAATACATAGTATCAAAATGCTTGCCCATACAAATGAAATTATGTTAAAGACACTATCTTTGTTTACTGAAAGTTCCAGCTATCTTGTTATACTGTTTTGTTCACAAGATACTAAACAAAGACTATTAGTCGAGAGTTTCACAAAATTAGATGAAATTCTTAATAGGTTTCCTGTGAATTCAAATTGAACTGAAATCGAGGCACCAGGTGTTAAGCAATAGTATGACACTGGGGACCTTTGCTTTTTGTGATCCTCTCAAAACAAGACACTACTGAGTGCCATAAGTGCCAATTTGAAATTCGTCAATTGAAAGAGCAGGCAAAAACAATCTTACCTTGAGTACATATTCCAATTGCTTTGGTTTGATAGTTGAAAGACTGGGTACGCCCTCTACGGCTGCGCGCATCTCCTGTTAAAAAAAAAGTACACAGAAAAAATGCTGATAAGCAAGTAGATATCGTTGTATAAAACAATAAAGAGGGAGAGATTTTAAATAAATGTTACATCAAATACTTATGAGCTTTTCTGAAATAATATGTAAGTCGGAAAAGTGAAAAGGAATAGCCATGTATGCATTTTATTTTCTACAGCTGTTTCATGCATTTATACAAAAATATACAAAAATAGAGATACGATAGTGACCAATGCAAAGGACTCACCTGGCCATTCAGGGAACAGTCGTAGTCAACGTCTTCTACAACAAATGCCCTGCCTAATGGATCCAACTTGTAGTTCTCCACCAATCGAAAGTGGCTGATAAAATCCACAGATTCCCATGCACCTGCAAAGAAAGCGCCATTTTGTAAATTGTATCTCTTAAAATATTCTCGAAAAAATACAGAGCCTTGCCTTCTTCTTAAAAAAAAATCAAAGGAATTAAACAATCAAGTATATGAAATGATTGTTTTTGGACGGTACGAGAATACATCTGTTATTCATCAATTGATTTTTAAATAAAAATTACTTTAGTCCTGTAGCCACCAGACACCATATCAAGAATATAACAAGTAAAATGGTAAATTCTTCAGGCTAAATTACACAGCACATTGTCTACATGGGACCCCAATTTAAATTAGCCTGTGTAGTTGGCTGTTTGGGCAACCATTATTAAACCAACTGCCCTTCGTTTTGGTTTTTCATTTTCTCGCTAGTATTGCTTTGTTTTTCTGCATAAACTAAACTTAAGGTTTTAGATCAGTAAATAAACTGCCATAGACCCTAGTGATAAATACGCCCACTAACGAAATTCAGAAAAGTCCTCACAACTTTCAAAAGTTTTTGAGACTCGAATCAAATTAAAGATTATTTCATCATCTTTAATTTTCTTTATTTTTTGGGGTTTTTTTTTTTTGGGGGGGGGGGGTTAACCGATGACTTTTGGGAGAAAATTCCATCCAAAGATGATCACCCCTAAAAGTAGTCCTGTAGCCCATCGCCATTTTGAAAAATGATGCCTCGCTCCATTGCAAAATAGAGCCATAAATATTGTAAGGCCCAATTTCATCCCAATTTCACAGAAATACGAGCTAGCAGTCCTGTGCACGGCTTCCACCCTTCTATCTTACAAACCCTCAAGTTCATGGCCCTCAAAATGCTCTAATAGCAACAAAAAAACCCAAATTTAATGCAAATGCAAATCATGCAAATCGTGATTTGGCCGGCGTAGGCGATTTCGGGCCTATTCACTGGCCTGCAACCTCAAAGTGTGTTAACAACGTCAAAGCCTTTCCACAAATGCAAATGATCTTGAACCAAGAGGGCACGCAGCCAGTGGTACTAAATGCTCGAGAGATGGCAACAAGGTTCTACTGGCTAGAACTGACAGACTTTATCCTTTTCATTTATACTGTATCTTACCTCTGTCACTACCTCTGCTGACCTCCACCCGTTCCCCAGGCCTGGGATCGGTCAGCTCTGATGCCGTGTCCAGGACCCGTTTGAGATGTTCAGTGAGCACGCCCTTGTCTTTACGGAACGCGTGGTGTACCTTACGCACTCCCTGGACTGGGTAGAAGATGAAACACAATGCATTAAATAAAGCAGCATATCTTGAGTGACATATAAACAGGTATGATGACCCAATTATTGAGAGAAATTGCAAAAGGTTACAGGACCGGGCCCCCAAAAGAAAGGTTGGTTAACAGTTACAGGACCCCAGAACCAATAAGACTCCTTCATCAGGGATGAGAATCATTGGGTTTGGTTGAGTGTGGTTAGTTGATTGGGTCGTACTTGTGGTGTGCTAAGTCTGCTTGTTTTTTTAATGAATTATTACTGATGAATATACTTGTATGATCCCGGTTAATTGGATACTTTGGGATGGATTGGGTTGGGTTGAGTTGGACAGTGGAAGAACAACTTGGGTTGTTCTTCCACTGTCCTTCCACTGTTCCTTCCACTGTTCTTCCCCCCGGTTTCGCGCAAAACTAGTAGACGTTTAGATCGGTATACTCTATACGTCATCAGGATAATGTCTAATACTCTCTAGACTTGATTCAAACGACTGAAAATTCACTCTTCTTACATATATAGTTTTATAGCTGTTTATAATAAGTAGGTTAGCAGTAAATATCTGTATATTAAAATATAAAAATTGCAAATGCCTTTTTAACGTATCTTGATCCAAACCTTGGTCCACCCATGTTGGGTTGGGTTGGGTTAGGTTTAGGCCTTGTTGGGTTGGGTTGGGATAGGTTAGGTTTAGGTGGGCTGGGTTGGTTTGGGTTAGGTTGGGTTTAGTGTGGGTTTGGTTGGGTTTGGGTTAGGTTAGGTATAGGTGGGCATGAGTTGGGTTGCGTTAGGTTAGTAAAAGGTTTAGGTGGGCTGGGTTGGCTTGCGTTATTAAGTAAGGTCAAGGTGGGCTGGGTTGTATTGCGTTAGGTTAGATTTAGGTTAGTTGGGTCAGGTTATAGCTAGGCTGACTTGAGTTACACTCGATTGAGCTTGGTGTGGTTGAATTGGATTGAACTGGATTGACTTGGATCGTCCGTAGCCAGGAGCAGTGTTTCAGAGTTCATCATTAGGCCCATGTCGAAGTAACATGCGAATCGCAAAAATGAAACAATAGGTTGCATTGTTTGAAATGTATTGAAAACGATTAATCAGTTTTAAATATTCCACCAGTTACTATAGTTGCGTGTACGAAGAAATCTGCAATACTTTAGCATATCATAAACAGGAATTTCATGTAATTTACTCACACTTGATCCTGCCGCCCTGTGTGGGCGTGGCCGGCGGCTCAGCAAACCCATCCCACTTGGCGTAGTACCCTGCCTCCTTCAGCTCCAAGGTCTTGGGCTGGGTGGTCATGTTCCCGTCCGAGTCCAGCTCGATGGTCTCGGCGTCCGAGTCGCTGTCACGGGCCACCGTGCCGTCCTTCTTTAGCCGGACTTTCTTGGTCTGTTTCCAGACGTCGTACAGGCTGGTCTTGGGCACGCGGATGATGCGGCCGTCCGGGGCCCGCAGTTCCATCATTTCACCTGTCCGAGTTGGGATTAATTTACGCCTGGTTAGAAGACTAGCTTGAAAATTATTTTCTGGCCAGTATGACTGTCTGTAAACATACAATGTGGGTGCTCTGAAGCAACTAGATTCAAAGTCACATGGCATGCACTAGAAAACGAGTCAGAGCTTTTGTTTTGGACTCCCATGAGGCGATACATGATGGTGCTACTTTCGTGTGTTGGCTGAATGCTTTGCAAATCTAAACTATACCTTTACAGTTGAACATTAAACAAATGCACTTATTAAGAGTAAAAAAAACACTCGAAAAGAGTTGTCCGCTACATGACTCTTTAAAATAGCTAATGTTTCACTCTTTTAGGGCGAAGTTTTCATCTTATATAGTGTTTTTCACAATATGGCTCATGCATGGTGAAAACCACTCAAAAATCCTGAAACTTCCACTATCTCAAAGAGCCATATGGCGGACAACTCCTTTCGAGTTGTTTTTCACTTGTTTTCATTTCGAGAGTAAAATTTCAAAACAATTGATGGATTTGAGTAATTAAACAAGAAATAAAACTACTTACGTTTTAAAATGATTAAAGTGAACGGTGCAATATTCCTGATATAATACTCTACGCTGACGATATTGTCTGTTATTTATTACTTGCTGGATGTATCCCTTAAATTCCACTTACCTGTGAACTCTTCTTTTCCCTTCTTGCTTTTCTTTTTCCTTTTTTCTCGTTCTTTTTTATTTTTCCAGTCACTGAAAAAAAATATCGAAGTGTTCAATAAACAGACCTGCCCGGACAATTCCTTCTATGGATTCTGTTTTGATGAGGTTTTTTTTATCAATGAGCTCATAATGCTTTGTAAACAGCTTCATTCGGCCCATAGTTGAAATAAAAGTTTGGACTTTTTTCAAGAGAGATGTAATTCTTTGACCCTGATTTTGAGCTTAATAGAACCGTCTTGTCTGTTTGGACTTACTCTAGCCACTCCATTCCCTCTTCGCCCAACAAGCCACGTTTACTCCCCTTGGAGTATTTCACCATGGTCTTCTGAATTTCCGGAGGGAGGTCGTAGAAATCCTGCTTCCCTTTGGCATAGGAATCGTCGGAAGAGCCTGACCCCCTGCGATTCTTCCTAGGAGGAAAGAGTAATGAAAAAAAGTACTGTTATAAGATAACCGCGCAGATCCAAATTCGTCTATACAATTTTTCACAAATTATGACCTAACGTGTCCCATAATGTTATCACAAAGCCCTTTGGTAGACGCTTCTCTTCCAGGTGTTCAAATATCCAAAGTACATGTCATCTGACGGTGTGATAGAGAGAAGTGATTTAAGAAGAGATACAGTATGTCAATGTGAGTCATACTCGCCAACTGTAATTCTTACTTTTATACGTACCGCACAACTATGCATTAAAAAGGTTACATTTTATATACTTAATTAAACAAGCCGAACTACGATCATCGAGACCTTTTATTCCAAAAAAGTTAAACAAACAAAAACAGATAATAGAAACATTCATTAATACTTTTTATTACAGGCAGATGTTCTACAAAAAAATGTTCAATGGATGCCAGTCTTTAAAAATGTAAAGTGTGAAAGGAGAAATATAAGTTTCAAAGGAACAATATTTTGAAACTGATACACAAATACAGTCAATTAAAACACGACGGTAGGTATCACCCAGAGGTTTACCTTTTTGCCATGACCTTTTGTACAGCTTTCAGCATCTTCCTCTCCTTCTTCTTTTCTTCTATCCTCTTCTGTTTCTTCTCCTTTTTCTTTCTAACCCTCTCCTCCTCCGTCATCCCCTCGGCGTCGCTGAGGCTGGACAACTCGCTGCTGTGCACGCTGCTGATGTCACTCGGCGTGCTCATGCGATCCATCTCTCGCTCGATCTCGCGTTTTATTCTGGAACGACGAGAGTTTAACATCAACGTGAGAGTGGACGATAAGGTTATGGGTTCACACAGCTGCAGCTTGGTAGAACTTATGAACTGACTATATTATTAGAAGGTGGTCTCAGAAGAACCGGAGGCATTTACTAGACGTTTCGGCCGGTATGCTCTGATCGTCATCAGGAGAATGTCTATATAGACTTGTTTCCAACGACTGAAAATCCACTCTTCTTACATATAAAAGTGCAAATTAAAAAAGCGCACGTAAACACCATTAATGGTGCTCAAGGCGCTACATCATTATTACCCTGCTCATTGGGCCCATGAAACATTCCAAAGACAATCTCAGCTCCCTGGGGAGAATACAGCTCGAACTGCATGTTCGATACTGCCATTTCGGAGCAAAGCAGCTAAAATCAACCACATTAACCATCTCTGCCCCTCACAGGTACCCATTAACTCCTGGATGAAGAGAAGCAATGACTGAAAAAGTGTCTTGCCCAAGGGCACACGCACCATAGCAGCAGGCTGGGCTCGAACCCACAACCTGCAGAATTAGCCGGAGACCACAAACTCAATGCTCCAGACATGGGCGTCGCAAGGTTTACCATGCCCACCTGGGGTCAACTTGCAAATTGAGGTCCAAGCAAGACATAAGTATATGATTCAACCAAGGTAGCGGGTGCCGCGCAAGGAGCGACATCGGTATAGTAACATTAAAATATGGACAATATTTATAGGCCTTCTTTGTTGGAGTCAGGCATTCAGCTTATAGGAAAATTTGCTATACCTTTTTCGTTCTTTTTCCCGCCTTTTCTCCCGATGCTCTTCCTTAACCTTTTGCACCTTCTCCTTTTGCTTGACGGCCTTCTTCTCCTCCTTCTTCTGGGCCTTCTTGGCCTTGATGGCGCGTTCTCTTTCCTCGCCGACGAGGGCGCTGTCCACGTCCGAGATCTCGTCACTGCGGACGCTGGAGACGCTACTGCACACGCTCACTGAGCGACTGGTTGGGGTTCGGTGACGTCTATTCATGAATTGTGAAAACATTTTTTGAAAGAAACTGAAATCAACATGAACAAAATAACTGCCATCAAGGGTTAGGGAATGAAAAATGTCCAAGTCAAAACAGCGGGAAACAATTAGAAGCGGTTACCTCTTTTTCACGTAACTACCAAAATGTTCAAATTCTTAGCAAATATTTGTATCCAGAAATATGCCTCGTAATTTAGTTAGAAAATCGATCATAAAATGTTATTGTCTTTAATATTACAGGTTTTTTTGGACAAAAAGAGAAATATAGGTTTTCTCTGATATAGTTATCAGTATGTTGTGTAATTTGGTTGCTCTATCCTGTCAGGGTCTTTGAGCGTGCAACCAGGCTCTCTGCTTCCTTTCACCCAGAACACTTTAGCTGTGCTGAGATGTAAAACAAAGAGCTATACTTGTTTCCCACGTTCTGTATCTCTTTGGAATTAACTCCTTGCCTAGTGCGTGTTTCCCTCCATATGATCTAGCCTTGTTTTCCGAGGAATATCAATTCCTACCTCCAGCTGTTCTGGGTTTTTTTCATCATATCTTTCTTCTAAATAGCCCTTTGCCAAAAGTGGCTTAGTAAATAAAGCCTAGCCTACCTTCTCTTATCCCGTCTATCTCTACCTCTTCCCCTTCCCCTGCCTCGGCCATCCCCGTCTTCGCCCCGTCTCTCCTTCCTCCGCTCCCGTCTCCGCTCCTTCTTCTCCTGCCTGATCTGCTCTCTTTTTACTTCCCGTGCCTCCTTCCGCGCCACCACCTTCTTCTCCTGCTTGGCGGCGCGTTTCTCGGCCAGTTTCTTGGCTTTCTTTTCGGCCTTGACGCACTCCCGTTCTTCCTCGTCCAGATCGCTGTCGATGGACGAGAGGTCGCTGGAATGCACGCTGCTCGGGTCGCTGGCGTCACTGACCTCAGAGCTGACGGGGAGAGACTCCGAGGACGAATAGTCGTCAGAACTGGTGAGACGTTTAACATCAAAATTGAAAAAAAAATGTTGAGTCTGAGAGTAATGGAGAAGCAATTTTACAATCATTTTTACACAATCCCAGTACTGACTAAATCAAGTTAAAATCAATGAAAGTCAAAACTTCAAGAAATTTCCATTGGGATATTGACTTCAACTTATGTGATTTAAAAAACACAGAGAAAATGTTACGAAGATTAATTTAACAGCGAAAAAATCTTTTCATATATTCTTTCACGTATCCCTTGGTTTAAATAATTTTGGTTTAACATTATTAAGTGAGCAGAGAATTAGCCTAGTCGCGATTGTTTTAATGTTAATTTTGCATTTGATTTTTTTTCATTTACCTGTTATAAGAACTTCCCGATGAGTACGATCCTGAAATATTAAAAAGAGGAATAAGAAGGTGTTTTTTATGGTTTTTTTTTTTAATTTACAGAGAATGAAGTCGATTATATACATTATATATAATGTATATATATATATACGAAAAGACGTCACAATTTCCAACGTCACTCTTGGACTTGTTTGGATGAAAGGTCAACCTCGTTTCCAAGGGAACGATCTTGCCGCACCATGTTGTTTCCCATCATGCCTTGCGCGATCTTAGTAAAGGAACACGCATGCGCCCATGGAGTCGAGGCTGGTGAAAGGTACATTATTCCCGTTCTTATAAACCACAGTGAGCCCTCATTTGGAAGCTAATTGTTTAACTCCTTACACTTATAAGGACTGATGGCTCTTTAATTGATCAGTGACTTTTGATTACACACAACTGTTAAACAAACAGAAAAAAAAAGTTGAGTCTGTTGGCAGTAAACGGGTACCCAGCAGATTTTCACACTGGTTCCCAGCTCTCATTTCCTTGTTTAAGTCTCTGCAGAAGTTGACGCATTAATGCGAGTTCATTATCTGTCGTAATTGGGATCTTTACTTAATATCAAAACCATGTCAAGTTTGTTTTACATGTAAAACAAGTATATTTGAGGTTCACAATTTGTAAACACCAGATATGATCTGGCTGACTCGGCAAATTGAATTGTACAAATTGAAATTTATTTGCAAAAAAAAATCAAAATGTTGGAGCATTAGTGCCTTACATTTTTTGTCATTACAATTAATAGCAGTATAATCTACCATTTCCATTCATGGTTACATTATATTATCTTAAATAGTGTTTGGTATTTCAGCGCGTTAAGTGCTGATTTAATACCCATAGTAATTTCACAATTTCGATGTGTCAATGCTGTGAATTTGGAAACTTGTGTTATCACACGATCGAGGTGCGTGATGTGATCAAAAACACAAGTTGCTCGTGAATATGAACGTGTTTGTCGTGAATATACCAAAATGGGTGAACACAAAAATGAACGGACGGACTGCTGTGTGACGAATGATGAGTTGACGATCAATGAAAATGTGATGCTGAGTATCCGAACACATATCAGGGTTAGTCACATTGGGTGAAATAAAGGGGCGTGGCAATGCTAGAGGGGGGGCGTAGAATCACGCGGTGCAGGTTGTCTCTGGGACACTGCCTACCCCTGAGGGAGCCATCTTTGCCCTTGGTCGAGTTTCTGGAGGCCCGCTTTTTCCGGCCCCGCGTTCCTCGTCTTGGTTTAGAGCGTGTAGTTGATGATGAAGTGTAAGAGGACCTGTCAGTGAAAGACAGTTCACTGGATGACCCTTTCCGGGTTCTGCGTCCGCGGCGCCGGCCACCTTCGTTTTCTAGCGAGTTGCGCGCGCGCCTTCTGCGTCTCACGCGCGCTGCGCGCGTATCGTAGTCAAGGTAGGAGGAGCTACCTTCGCTGCCGGAGTAATCCTCCGTGTCGTAACTGCCGCTGCCCCCGCCCCTGTGCCTTCCACGGCCACGTCTCCCGCCCTTTTTGCCGCCGCCCCTCCTTCGGCCCCGCCTTCTTCCGCCACCGTCTTCGTCATCATCGCTGTAGTAGCTTGCGTCGCTGTCGTCGGAGTAGCGGCGCCGTCTATGCCTCCGCCTACGGCCACGCCCCTTTCCATCTCTAGACCCGCCCTAGATGTAAAGAGAATTTAAAAAAATGAACGTGGAACGTGTATCGACATAATGTCATTTATAGTGAAGTTCCCAGTGAAAGAGGTTTTTCAAGTCTTTCCACAAAACTGTCAAACTTTCTTCAAGTTGACCAATATTTAAGTCATCTTGATGCAACTAAAAACCAGTCAAGGATATTGACTACAAATCTGCACAGTACTAGTGTATGGACATTTTATGTAAAGTTTTACAGTCATTTTAAGAACAAAATACACCAGTCCGTATGCCGACCTTGTTGTTTTGCAATATCAACCCACCACTTTTGTTTGTTGTATTTTTTGCGCTCAAAATATTTGTCTTTTATGATTTTCTTTTTTTCATTCCTCACATTTTCGTACAGCTGGATGCGCCCAGAATAATGACCTAGGACGAAGTGTGGGAAAGTAACATCTGTGTTTTAAATGAAAAAAACAAACAAACAACAGCTTGCTTTTAAACAGCTTGCTTTTTTAACTTAATATGACTTACATCCGAATCGGAGTAACTATCAGAATAACTGTCGGATCGTCTGTGCCTCCTCCTCCGCCTCCTGCCCCCTCTGGCTCCGCCCTCCCCGTCATAGGAATCGCCGTCAAGTGACGTCCCGCTGTCATCGCTGTATCGTCGGCGTCGGTGACGGCGCCCTCTACGGTGACCCCTCCCACCGTGACCTCCATCGGTTGATGATTCGCCCGACCAGCTGACGTCATCGCCGCTGCCGTGGCGACGGCCGCGATGGCGTCGTCGACGGTGGCGCCTGTCTCTTCGTCCTTTTGATTGGAAATTGGGCGGGAAACGTCACGTGGTTCTTCCCGACATGCATTTGTGTTGTCTTGTATGTCCTTTACTAGTTTGATAATAAGTACCGTCGTCGATCGCAAGCGCGCTTATTTTACCGATATCCCGATTACATTAATCAAAGGTTAGAGCAGGCCCCTACTTCTACGGATGTTAAAAATGTTAATTTCAATTATCTAGTTTAAATACAAGAACACATTTGGAAGTATTATGATGATGACGGTTGGAGATTCCAGCTCAGTTACAATTTCGCAATATTTTTTTCAGTGACACCGATATAAATCTTAAAATATCGATTAAAAACTACAGTCGACTGTAGTGAGCTTTAATTGGAGAACTAGAACTTTTTCCGTGAGTTCAGTTACCAAACGTTTTCCCACATTACGTCAGTTTATTACTTGAAAGAGGTGATACGAGACTTGTGCCTTGTGATTTCAACCAAACGAAGTGTAACTGAACTGAGTTGTTCCAACATTTTTATGAACACACTGAATGGGACTCATGACTGAGAGATGTTCGTGTAGCGACGACAATGGATGAGTATATATAATATGAGTATCACTCACTTCAAATCTTTATTTTACAAACTACTAGTACATGTATGAGGAAGGGTTTATTTTCAAATCGCAACATACGCCATTTTGTTCCCTTTTAGAATGCTGCTCTCCTGGCTACCAAAAAGCAATTCCGACGGCTGTTATGTGACTGAAACACAACTTAAGAATACAATAAAGCGTAGGTGAAATTTAGAAACATCTGTTATGCTGTTTTAATTCTTAACGTGCCATAACCGCATGCAAAAATTTTCTCCTTTTTTTCAAATGGATATGTCACGTTTTGGAAATAAACTCTTCCGACAATGAGTCTTTAGTTTAAAAGTAGTTTTTGAGGTTTCCCAAATCTCGACTCTTTCTCCGGGTTTGGCTTCAGCCCTTGACTTGGGAGAATCCAGCTCATTATAAGTTAATGCTCTTCCTGTGATCATTGCATCATATCAATAGGAAACCACCATTTAAAAGCCTTTATACTATTCTAGAGGAAGAGATGATGCCGAAATAGGAAGTAATGTCGAAGTTTGGAAAACCTGATTAGTATTACATAAAGACCACACACAAAAACCTTCCTATTGAAAAGACAGGGGGAAATGAAATACGGATCAATAAAGAATGTAAGATTTTTGTGTAAAGACTTCTCACTTGAGTCATCGCTTCCTGTGTAGTCAGACGAGTCCGAGGAATGTCCGCCATGATGCCTCGACCGATGGTGGCGCCCTCTACGTCTTCTCCTCCTGCCTTCTCCCTCGTCCCCGCTTAGATCACTTTCATCAGAATACGACCTGTGTATGTGATTGAGGATTTAAATGGGGAATTAGCACAAGATGAAACTTTTCTAAAATGTTTCATAATTTGTCATGGGAACGCATACTGTCATTAATCCATTGGGGTTTTGTTTTGGAATACAAGCATGTGAAGTGACTATTTTATTAGGTATATTGGACACCATTTTGCAAAAAACCCAAAACAGGAACATTCAATTTGCAAATTGAGGGAACAGAAATGCGAAAAATCTGAAGCAGTTTATTTTTAAAAAAAACCTAACCCGTCCAAATTTCAGCTCAGTAGAAATCCTGTACATTGATGCCAATCTGTACATGGAATATAGTTGCCATTGCCACTCGTAGTGACACTCGTAGTAGTTCTCGTACTCAGTACTCGTACTCGGATACTACTCGGGTACTTTTTTTTTTAGAGTACTCGTACTCGAACGTCAAAGTAGGCCTACTCGTACTCGAAATGACGGAACTCGTACCCGTCAGCAAAGTACTCGTACTCGAATATATAGTACTCGAGAAAATGGTATAGCTTTACTTACCACGGCCTTATTTTATTATCGATACTTCCATGCAGTTGGAAATGGTTGATTGGCTTGCAGAGAAATAAAAATTTCCTGATTTTCCTCTGTGCACGTCCGGACAAACACATTACAGCTAACTGTGAGTGGGTCTGTATATCGGTCTGACTGGGCCTGGGCCAATTGCGCACAATGAACCATTTGCGGTATTGCCGTATTCGGAAATAGAAGTACTCATACTCGTGCTCGTATGAATACAGGACAAAAATACTCGTATCGTACTCGTACTCGTACTCGGAAGGGCAAGAACTCGTACTCAGACGCCGGAACTTGTATTCGGAAGTACAGGTACTCGTTCTCTACTCGTACTCGGTAACCTAAAGACTCCGCAGTACTTGGTACTCGGGGGAAAAAAATAACTCGACCAAATCTGCTAATGTTTTTTAATGACGTTTTTGTCTGCCAATTAATCATCCACCACACACCTTTGTCCCAATGCCTACAATTTAAAACTTAGTCCCGTGGTCAATTTGACCGCTCTTGGAAAATAACTCATACCTCAGTTCAAAAAATAAATCAGATTTGGACGGTCTTTCAAACTATACCAGTATTATCTATGTTGGTTACACATATTCTACTTTTAGCACTTCGTTATATTTTGTTTGCATTTTTTTACCATGCTTGGATGAAGGATTTCACTGGTTTCTAAGCACAGCGCTTTATCGCTTGCGCCACAGCGCGAGATGACAACATCGAATTGGGCAGCGGGGGACGGGGAGTTTTTTCCCCCCACACGCACCGCATGGGGTGTACGCTGTGGCGTTTTGCACTTTACTTCTCTAAAAAACATGAGAAAAAAAGATAAACTTAGAACATTAGAAATGAATTCCAACGTATTGAAATTCGGATTTTATTTCCCTTTATAAATCCTCCAAAGCCTCATATTAGAAAAGAAACACCTCAAACTGCACTCTATATATGACTTGAAGCTTTGCATGGCGGATGAGATAAAATAGAGGAAGTTTTTGAGTAACACCATGCGGAAAGAAATCTGTTCTTGGAAGAGGTGTGTTTTTAAAAAAACCGGTTGGTTCAGTGTATAACTCGACGTTAACGGTGCTCTGTCCGTCCTCTATTTTAAACTTCACTCTGTAATCTGTGGAGGTCCAGTCAGGCCTCGGGTTTTATGCGAATTCATCTTGCTGGTACCTCCACGTACACAAAGCATAGCCAATTAGTTGAGTTTGGTATATAGGCGACTGATGGCCGCATCGGCCGGGGGGGGGGGGGGCTGTGGAATTGGGGTCAATTTCACGTAGCTGCTGAGCATAAACATTTGCTTAGCACAAAACGAGTGTGGCTTATAAAAGTAGGTTACCAGCCCAGACTCCATGTGATTTTCATGCTATAGGCAAACAACAGCTGAAAACCAGTCAGGGGCAATACACATTAGGCTTCATGAAGTTTTGGCTAGTAACCTGCTTTTATTAGCCCGACTTTTTTGTGCTAGGCAAATTTGTGTGCTTAGCAGTGCCGAGAAATTGGCCCCATGTGCGTTTATATGAATACATGTACACAAACGACGTTACGCAACAGCGCGTAACTATTATTGGCGGGCTGCATAATGCCTTATGCCCTCGCCCTACAACGGAAAGGACAATGTAGCCCTTCAACAATCGAAACCAATTCAACAAGTTAATCCGTTCAATGACTCTTCAAGAATGCAGTGCATGGTACGTATGGGATTAAACGAGATCGTGACTAGTGAAATGGCCTAGTGGTTAAATTGCTGACTCCACGGGTGGAGAGTGACGGGGTTCGAATCCCGCCTATGTCATTTTAGTTTTCAACACGCGCTGTCCGACACTTTCTATAAAGGATTTAATTTACCGTCGTAAAACACCAACAGTACCTTAGCTTAATCGGTAAGCACTGCTGCTGGTACTGTCCGCGAATTCCAGGTTGGCGCCTTCGTACAGGTTCAGGGCATGTGGTCCACTCGGAGGATCAGGGCTTAGGGTGCCGCCCTGTTCCTCCCTTAGCTCTTTGCTTTTACATGGTGACTGGCCCTCCGGGGTTACATGGATGGACAGGGAAGGAAGTGTGTATTGGCCGGGAACGCCGAGAACCTGGAAGAGTCCTAAGGGATTGGCTGGGGCATTGTTATGGCTCAGACCGATCCCTGAATGCTTGGCTAGCACATAACTTTTTTATTTTTGTAATCCTCTATCTTTTATACTTTGGTTTAGTTTGATATCTACAGCTGCTTGGCGGGTCTACGGGTAGTATTAAAATTATTAAAATATTAAAAGTCCCTGCACCTGAATGCTTGGTCAGCACATAACTTTTTGATTTTTTTTCTATCTTAGGACTAATGCAAGAATGGATAATTTAGTATGGTGAGAGCTTGTACCGATAACGAAACTAATGTTTTAAAAGTGCTCAAAATACAAAAATAATGCATTTAAAAAAAATTCAAATAAGCTAAAATGTATTTTGTTTTAAACGAAAGAAAATATGCAGTCTGCCTCACCTTAATATTTATATGGAATGTACACATTCATTGCAAATTCAAAATAAAGATTTGGCCCCAACTACACAGATTGCAGAAAGAAATCGTTCAACTTGGCAATCTTGAAGGGTCCGTATAACACCACTAGAAAAGTCGTCATGACAGAAACTCGAATGTCACTGTCTGGTTTTTTTTGTTCCTGCAAAGACAAACGTGATAACATGGAACCAGCGTCCGTCCCGATATCCGCCGCTCGGTGCGGTTACAAACAATGCGGTCAGTAAACTGAGCAGCTAGGAAAGGACTCAGCTGTTGGGTTTTTATTCGTTTGATTTGTTGTCCGTTTTATGGTGAAATGACGCAGATGACGAAGTTTAGATAATTCGTGCAGGCTTTCAGGTTTTGGCAGCATGCAATTTAAATTAAGTATTAAGTGGATTTGTTTTGGTCTAAACGTCATATGGGTCATTCTTTGTTAAGTGTCTACTTTCATGTCCCGATAGTTTGACGTGTTTTCATTTAATTCTCATTTTTTTTTTTAACCGTGGTCTAGTTTGCCATGTACATCTGCTGGGTAATTTGGATGTGTAATAACACAACATCAAAACGAAAGTCTACTTCATTTGAATACAAAATGTATATGTATATGCTTAAAATGTGACTAAAACAAAACACAGTTTAGTTCCATCTATCAATTGACATTCATAATGACTACCATTAGGGCCTATTCGTGGCGCAATTTAAGAAATTGATTTCTTACACATTTTTTTCAGCAATTATTTCAATAAATGGTTAGAGAGTTCTGACATCAATAAAAAAAAAACGCTCAAAAACCATTACAATGCACCGTGAAAATGGGCATATAATTTGCAGTATGCATAATAATGGTCAGTATTGAAAAGCGACCCCATTTGGAAGATGGGTACCCCCCCCCCCCCCCCCCCCCCCTCGCTTTTTTGATTTTACGGAAGCCAAGTGTCCGGAGAAAAAAAGGTCTACATTTCGGCGTGGATGTGCGGTTGCCCCCTCCCCCCCCCCCCCCCCGACAAGCTGGATATGCTACTGAACGAAGGGGTATCCCCCACCTCTTGGGCCAATACAAGGGTTAGTGCAACCTTTGTGATAATCAGCCTGTCCTTGACTCAGTAGTTCATCATTGCAATGATCCGTTATGGCTCACTGTAAAAAGTGACTCCACGTCATGCACGTGAATCGAACAAGTTGATGCACGTGTAGTGTCAACGTTGGGTAAAACACACACCTGAGGTACAGCCGACTGTCACCCCATGTGCTTCACGTACACCATGCGATACATAACTGGCAACTTCCTAACACCTCATGCACTTGAGCTGCACTTTTGTGTTGTTGCAGATATAACTTCAAGTGCCTCAGTTTTCTGTCAAGAGCCTGAAGTATTCATGCTTTTGGGACAAAAATGTGCTAGTGCATAGGTGCATGAGGTGCAGTCAGTTTTTGTGGATGCTCATCACTTCAGGTACAGGGGCAAGAAAAATTTGCGCCCGTTGTTAGTCCTTTATACCTTGGAACTTTGGAATGGTTGCCTTCCATATATAATAAACTTGTATAAACAAAACTGAGTATCAAACAAACTATTAAAAGCCGTACCTGTGTCTCCTCCGATGCCTCCTGCCTCCTCGTTTCCTCCCAGACCGCGAGCCATCCTCATAACTATCATCATCGGAGTAGCTGCTGTACCTCCCCCTCCTGCCCCTCCCTCGCCGTCTTCCTTTCCCTCTGCCGCCGTCCCTGCTGTCGTAGCTTCCGCTGCTGTACTCGTCATCGCTGTAGTCGCGTCCGCGGTGCCTGCGGTGACGTCCGTGCCGCCGGCCCCCACGCCGCCTGCCGTGCCGGCTGTCGCCGCTGTCCAGCCCGGTACCCGAGTCACTCCCGCTGTACGACCGGCGACGATGGCGTCTCCGTCGGCGGTGCATTTTACCATCTTCGTCTGAAAGTGGAAAAAAATAACAGCGAATGCGTCAACGTTAACATTTGGTTGCATTTGGAGTTGAGGTTCGTGCTGGAATGAGATTCTTTGGGACTTCCATTTAAATTGTGAAACTAGTGACTTTTCCATATTTTTTTTGTGTGTGCCTGAACTACCGACGGCAGTTTGATACAAGTCAACATTTCAATTCAGCTTAGATAAACACAGCACGCAAATTCACATGTGCACATATTCAAAAAGCACGCTCAAAGTGTGACTCGAGTTTGCATCTCTGGTTTACCGCATCATCGATTTTTATTTCAAATCTGTTTGTTTTCGACATGCCTTTATTTGAACACGAATAATTTTAAAACTCGTTTAAATATCAAAACAATACTCTCCAGGGATAAGGGGTGTGTTTCCTCGCCAACACTAGAACCTCACACATAAAGTTGCGGATATTTTAAGACGCGCTGTTGATTGAGAGTTCAGCTTCTCGAGTGGACTTTTCCAGATTATTCCACAAGCCACGCCTATAAAAACGTTTAATTTGGAGGCCTATGCATATTTCACAGAGTTCGTTGCCGAGTTTGACCGAAAAGTCGTGATCTGATTGGTCAAAAAGAGCACAGTTTGATTGACAAGCAGGAACAGTTGTCCATAACTAACCCTCGTAGTACGAACTCTCGGACCCGTCCCTGCTGCAACGCCGCCTGCGCCTGCGCACTGTCCGCTCCCGCCTGGTCCCGCCCTCGCTGACGTAGGACTCGACCGACTCCACGGAGGAGTACCGACCGCCGGAGCCGTGGCGCCCTCTACGGTGCCTCCGACGGCGGCGCCCTCCGCCCTCGCCCTCCTCCAGGATGCTGTTGCCCATGCCGCTCTCGAAGCTGTCGCTGTCGCTGTCCCGACGATGGTGGCGTCCCCTTCTCCTGCGATTCGGGGAGAAAAATACGTAACGTGATTCAAACATGACTAACCACCACCCACGAAAATACACACCTACTCTCAAATCAACATCATGTGGCTACTCAGTTCCCAATAGTTCTTTGCAAACTGACTGAAAATGTAGTTGCTAAAACGCCGATCGTTTTAGCTTTTAATTTTTTTTTCATCTATGAGTAATAAAGTTATTAACCCTGATTTTGACTCGGTGTTTGGTCGAGTCTGACTATTTTTTTTAGTCAAATCTGATTACAGGGTTGTTAGGTGTTAAATCTGTGTCACACGAAACAACATGGAACGCAAAAGCCAAATTAGGTCGTCTCATAGGCATATACTAAGGAATTCCCAGAAAGATTTCCCTAAAGTTAATGTAGCTCTACCTGCATTTAACGTGGCTTGCATTTTATGATTCAATTGTCTCCAAATTACCAGTTAAATTTTCTTCATGTGACTACAGGAATAAAAAGAGGATGCAAGTGGCATTGTGCATCTGTGTCGTGCAAAACCCTCAGATCTCTAACATTTCAAGATATTGACCTTTTCTCTTGGTAATACCATTAGACAAGTTGTCTGTATACGATCAAAATGATTTGGGAATTCAGTTATCAAATCCATTTGCCGCATTGTCTTACCCTCTTCTCCGACCGTCTTTCCCGGGGTAGTAGTTGTTGTTAACATCTGCACTCTCGATACTCTCCTCGTACGCACTGTCCCCAATCTTTCGCCTTGAAACTGCATGGTTTGAAATCGAAGATGTGCGAAATGCTACTGCTTGACGTTGAATAATGTTAAAGCGAATTGTCACCAATGTTCTAATAATGGCAGGATTTCAAGCAGACCCAGGTGAAAAAGTAGGAGAACATCATTGGATCAAAATGAAGTAAAAAAAAAAAACAGGACAAACGTAAGGACTTCGGCGTACAAAATCAGAAAAAAGGACTTTTCGGGCTTTCAGGAGTATTCGTTGATAATCACCATCAGCCTCTTTTGGCGTGTTCTGTACTCGCAACACTTGTGTTCCGTCCTCAACTGAGCTTTCGTAAGTACAGTAGCAGTACTCGTGCGCCCAAACCCTTCACTGTGTGATTTACATAATGACAGTGAAACACTGCTATGAAAAGTATTCAATGAGAGTCCATTTTCTGGAGTTCTGCGACAAAAAAAAGTAGGAAAAAGAGGAATTTCAATAAAAAAAAATTAGTTGCAAAATATATTTAAAAACCTAGGAAAAAGGAAATGTAGGAATACTTGAAAGCCTCTAAAATATCATATGCAGAACACAAAGGAATTTAGTCTAATTCGGCATTACATTCTAACCGTATTACATCCGTAATAAATCCTCGCAATGATTTAAACACGTATAATCATAGCCAACATTTTTTCTTTCGTGTCGAGCATCAATGTGTTTTATCGTTGATCTCCTGGGCACGCTTTGAAGCCGACTGCATAAAACTCGGAGTTAACGCTCTCATGAAATGCCACATTTTCGACAAAGGGTATTGTAAATTATTATTTCATCTATTCATCGATTTTTTTTAACATATGATCAAGTAGGCCTACATATTCCATTACCGTATTCTAAACTGTTAAAGGCATATATTATAGGGTCATTTGCCTTTCATGCATTGTATTCGTTTCCAATAATAACACCACTCAAACTCCGAAGAAGAACGCTCAAAATCTAACCTGTTGAAGTTTCAGCTCCCTAGATACTACACTTTCAAGTAAATAGTGAAAAACCACGAACGACCTTTCGATCACGAATCAACATTTCGTCATTATAAGTCTTCATTCCAAAAATCAGTCAATTGACTGATCGTTGGGAATCACTTATATTTTCTTGACTTCTTCTAAATGACAGCAAGCCAGACGAGATAATTTCACGGGTTGTTTAGTACCAGTATGATCTTCAATCCAAGTAAGCGTTTCTGATAATTCAGTTGATTACTTTTGGGATGAATGCAAATAATCTTATGTGCCTTTAACCAATAAAAAACAATTAATCTGCCGAACCAAAAAAACTTGCTTGGATTAAAGATCGTATACTGGTACTAAACACCGCGTGAAGTTAATTGTCTGGCTTGTGCTGTCATTTAGAAGAAATCAAGACATTTAGGTGATTTCCGACGATCAGTCAATTGACTAAATTTTGAGAAATAAAGACTCCCCATTGACGAAATCGTGTTTCGTGGTGAAGGTTGTGCATGCATGTTTTTCTCAGTCTCAGAAAGTGTAATATCCACTGAGCTGAAACTTCAACAGGTTAAGTTTGAGCAGTCGCCTTTGAGTTTTGAGTGGTGATATTGAAAACGAACAAAATGCTTTATAACGAACGATCCTATTATGCCTTTAAATAACATGCATGCCCAAAGTGAGAGCGCACCGTAACAAATAGGGTCTTTTACCTTGGACGATTTCCCCCTTTTCGTCCACCACATATTTCCTCTTCGAGCTGACCCAGTCCTCCAGCTCCTCGTCTTCAGCCACGCCCAGGATCTTCCTAGCCAGCTTGACATCTTTCTTCATCTCTTGGAACTCTTCCTCCGTCACGAAGCAGTAGCGGCTGACGAGCTTGCCGTCCGCTCCTCGCACGTACGTCTTGATCCTTCGCCGTGACTGAGCTGGATGGCCAAACAAGATTATCATAGTAGTTTGTAGTTTGTCTTGAAATGAATATCTCCTTAATGTTGACTGAATAGTCGAAGAATCCTGTGTTTTTACTTCAATCGGGTATCCTGTTCAACTTGAAAAAAGTAAGCAATCTTAAGCTCACTCTTAACATAAGGTCTACATTGTGATGTACATATTACGATCGAAATCAAATTCACAACCGAAAACCAAATCCATAACCAAATCAGAGCCTACAATCACAATTTCAAATTCAGTTTTAAAAGCACGATTACAATCAAAATCACAATTTCAAGACAAAAAAAAATCGAATCTAAACTTACATTCACAACATCTGTCTAGTTAATCTGATTCTCAATCTGGATGTCTTTTCGTATCGGACTGTATAAAGTCTCACTCTCTGTTTCAAGTTCAATTTAAAGTCTTGGTTGAAATATATCAATCTATAAATCACCTTCTCAAATCATGTATGAATCTTCTATACCCAAATTTATGTCTCGATCTCAGCTACAATTTCATTACCAAAATTAACCTTAAACCTCGACTGGAACACACCACCCTATCAAGATTTTCTCTCACCTTGCCTAGCCTTCGAGGCCAACTCAGCCATGTACCTCTGGCGGACCTCCTCAGCTACCTTGCGATGCTCCTAAAGAGATACGGACAATCGAATTACAAATTTGTTTCGAAACTTTCTCCTATATCACCGTACAAAACCATACACTCACAACAGTTGGTGGGACTTCTTGTTACAGCAGACAATTCAAAACCATTTATTTAATCACACACAAAAATAGCCATTTCCTTAATGATTTCCTACTATTTTCTTCATATTTAGATTACCAATTCAAGATTCTAATTGCGATCGCCGTCCAGAAAATTAATATCCCTTTTCATATATTGAAATAATTATAGTATCCTTTCGATCCTTTAGTTATAGAAGTCTGTGGCCTTTCCTGTTTTCGTGTATCTCTCCCTTCGTTCACACTATCCTAAATTTACGGAGATTTGAGGAACCCTTTCACACTAGAAACAGTCCAACACGGCTGTTTCACGGGTCCAGCGCTCTACAAGGGTACACACCCGACCCTGGTCGGGACTTGAGAGGTTCTACCCAGGTAGAAAATCCAAAATCTAGAGCCGACCCGCGTGTACAACCCGGTGTAAGTGTGAATGATATGCCTTGCCGACCCGTGTTCGATTGGACCCAGTTCCGCTCAAGGTGAACCCGTGTTGAATTCAACACTTGCAGGTGACAACGATAGTGTGAAGAGGCCTTTCGATGGGTGCACACCTATTTAGTTCCCAATACCTATGTTCCCCCTAACCATAACCCTAACCCTAATCATATTGGGGAACATAGATATTGGGGAACATCGGGTGGACCCCCTTTCGATCTATCTATGTACAATCTGCTCTCGTGGCTGGAGATGCAAGGTTATACCTATCAAATTCATTCCAGTTTGTTACTAACTTGTCGTAAGTTGAAATAATATATCTTTTTACCGCTTCAATGACGTCCATCGTCTGTTTGATGTACCAGTAGCTGTGCCGAAAACCGCCGCCAACTCGCAGATATTTGTGCTAAAACAGGAGGAGATAACTGAGTCAGAAAACTATTTACCATTTGAGCCATTTCTCAAATTTGGGTCCATTATTTTCTGACCGGGTTATTCTCAATGATATATACTTGAATGGCAAATTAGTTCCGATGTCTAACGAAATTTATAGAACTATCTGTATATAAATGAACATTACGTCATCTTTTAAATGCCAATGGGAGACACTGTTGTTTCTTTGATAACTTGAAAAGCTGCGTTAAATATTGTGATATTTGCTTTTAATTAACTTAAAGAAAACATATCAAGGAGTAATGTTCATTTGCTTGGATTAATTTTAAATTATAACAGTGTGCACATTACATGCATAAAACAAAACTATCTCATGCAAAAATATTAACCATCGATAATAATACAGGAAAAAGTCAACCGCATGCACTTATACTTGTTGGGATTTTGCACTAAGGCCTAAACAAGTTCCTATCTAATCTAGGTAACCTTAATCTGATTTTGATTTTTATATATTCACCGACAATCTCTATTTCTTAACTAAGTTCCCTTATTTTGAGTTTATCACAACAGTATCTAAAGCACTTCAATGGACCCACTGAAACGGCGAATATCACAAATCGATAATTCGAATGGCCCGGTTTCTGCGCAACCCAACGCGGTTCTTATGACACAAGCAAGGTCATCAATTCAAGCACTCTAGGAATCAACGATTTTCTTTTGTGAAGGTGTTCAGCCGGTGTGAGGAAAAATACTCTTTATCATTCAGATAGGCCTGCGATTAAAGTCGATAAAAATGCAGGGTTGACTGCCCACAGACGACCGGTTTTTTTGGCAGACACCCAAACACTGCTCTTTTATTAATTGTACCCCCTTAAAAAGCGTCTGTAAAGGACACTGCAATCGTATCATAACTCAATAATTGGGCTTTTGTTGACGATACTTACTCGCTCACACACTGCATGGTCTGTCTGGAGTTGGCAGCGAAAACATTCCTCTGGACCCAAAGGCTGTTTGAATACAAGAAAAAAAATCAGGGGGGGGGGAAATGAAGGTTTATTGGGGGTTAAATTTTTTTGGTGAATAAGTTCTGTCTGGCCTTGTTGGCGTAACCCGTCCAAATCCCTATTAAGCGCACGTCGTTAATTTTCAATACGAATTCGTGTATATCGGTGTCGCGGCTTGCAGTTTCGTCCTTGTTGTTATTTAATCGCAGACAAATGGACAGTTGTTCAAGGCGGTCCTTGACAAGTTTGTTGCGTGTTCGGGTTGCTATGGCGGAAATAAATGATGATGACGGCACGCTTGTCCCGAGTAAAAAGATCTTATACATATCGGTTACATGCACAGAAAACCTTTGATGAAACTGTTCCATTTTATAGGAAAATGCCACAACTCTTCAAAAGTGAAGCTACCACAAAATAGCGTTCCTTTTTTTCGTGTTGCCGATTCCATTCAGCTGATGTGCACAAAAGCTTACTAAGCTCAAAAATAAATATTCTTAGCGAAAAAAAAAAAAAAAATTCTGCCAAAATACCCTGTGTATAAGTATTATTATTACCTCCGCCAAGGAGGTTATGTTTTCATCGGATTTTATTGGTTGGTTTTGGTTGGTTGGTTGGTTTGGTTGGTCTGTTAACAAGATAACTCAACAATTTATGGACAGATTTGCATGACATTTTTTAAGGGGTACGTGGTCCTTGGTACAAGTACAAATTGATTCGTTTTTGGAAGTGATCCGGATCTGGGTCTGGATCCAGGATGTTTTTAAGAATTCTTCACCATTTATGAGAGCATTTCTTTTGGGTGTACTGATAATAATGGCGGGGAATTGTTTAGCCTTGGCGGAGGATTTCGCTCTCTGAGCGCTTTCTAGTTGGTACTGATTTAGTCTGCAAAATACATAAAGTTGGTTTGATAAGAGGTTGTAATTGGACCACAGATCAATACATGGTCCTACAATAATGATTATCAGAATTTCAAACTAGAGAGGAAAAATAAAACGCCTGTTTCATGTACGTTTGATGATAACTGAAAGATTTTTTTTTCTGATTAGGCCTAAAGCATATATTTATGAGGAAGAAATTAATGATTTGCTGGTTTCAGTTTTTCTATTCTTGCCATTTTTTTTTATCCTTGCATTTTTTAGCCCTATAAAACAAAATCTCCTCACCCCCCACCCCAAAAAATGTAATCACTCTTGGTCTTCCATAAACTCTTTAACTTGTATAAGACAGGTTATTTTGTTTTCTTTACGTTGATTTGAATGTTGCTCTTCGTAATTTATTGGACTGCCAAAGCCCTGGAGCTGGAGGTTGGATTACAAACATAATTGTCTGAAACAAAAAGTAACAATACGATCTTATAATCAATCAAACCGAACAAAAAGAGGAAATCGAAATGATATCGCATATAAACCAACATTTACCTTGTAGGCTTTTCTGTCCCACGACTTTGGTCGGTCTTTCGGTGCTCGTCTCTCGATCGGTGGAGCTGAGACAAAGGTGATGTACCGAACGATTCTTTCCATCCTGGCACTCTGATAGTGAAAATAAAAACGACATTATATGAACTTTCTTTTACCAAGTCAATGTTTTTTTTTAATTATACGACAACACTCTCCCAAATTTAGTGTAAATAAAAGATAAATAAAAAAGAATGACAAATCGCTCTCTTTTCTCTTTTCTTGGACCCTGTCCGTTCAGCAAGCATTTTCTAATTAATTGACAGTCCAGTGTTACACACTTTAGATATGGGATTTTATTAGGTTTCCTGGGTACTTGGTTGAGAATGATTATGTAAGATACTTTATTTTCAATAATGCATTTCATTTCGTTAGATTTTCAAGACAGACGCTATCCTGTTTCTCGTCTGTTTCTCATGTGCTACAGTTAAGGACGGTATACGCATGCACGAATATTCTATATAAGGTTGCGTCCGAAGTACAGGGTGAGTCCCAAAAAAATTGAACCCAAACCCCCAAAAATATATTTCATATTTAAAAAATATGTAGCACCAAATATAATAATGACTGGAAAGCCAATTTCATAAACTACTTTTAGATGAAAAATATTGCTGAAATTGCTCAATCTGTTTAAAAAATATCACCATTTAAACACAATGGCCCTAAAACCGCTTTCGTCCAATAATGCGATTTCAAGAATCGTCGTCACAATTGTCTTCAAATATCACCAGCGATAAAACCTCAGTTTAAAAGTTAAATATATTCAACAAAGTGCTTCTGAATGCCCGTCTTTTTAAAAAAGGGATGCTATAAATCATATTGTTTGCCTAACCGGGGTTGTTAATAAAGATATTGTGTACTACAGTTATTGTCAGTTGGTGAAACAAGTATTCTGTGTCATTTTCTTTGTTGTTTCAAACAGTCAGAAAACACATTCAACTGCCTTTTCTGCAAAAACTACCACTGCAACGTGTCTTGTTCAATGTCTTTCAATGAACGCTCAACGTTTTCGCTGGGTTGCTTTTTCTAGAGCGCATGGTTATTGCAAGGCATAATGTAACTTATTTTAGAGTTATTGAGAGTAATATAAAAGTAACAACCCAAAATATACATAACGTATGACAGGAAAAAACAATAATATTAATCTAAAAATGAATGTAGCATGCATACAATTTTCGAAATGATTGCAGTGGGAAAATGCTTAGTTAGTTATTTTCGACTGACTGTCTTACATCATGCAGGGTTTGCTTAAATAAGTTATTGGTTGTAAACAACGTCTGAAAAGAAGATCAAATCAAACGCCTCTGTTCGTTTGTTTAATGTGTGTACTACTGGGTCCAAGCTAAACGACTTGGAGTTCTGTTTCTCGGTCATGCTGCACAATTCCCTCCTTTGTTTACAGTTACCTCGGATATTTTACCAGACTCATCGAAATCGAATCAAAAGAATCCCATCAACCGATTCGGTATCACAACAGACACTTGCCCGGTTTGAATGAAACTGGAACCCACAACAATACCCAAAGCGATAACGCCATCGGTGGGCAAACAAACGAAGATAAAAACCTGCTTTGTGCTAGTCAAACAGACAAACTTCACAATTTGAAAGTTAACGAAGTTAATGTTCGCCAGCGTATCAAGTTCAAGTGTTATGGGCCGGCCTCCCGCGTTCTTTGACGGCCGAGGCAGGTAGGCCCGGTAACGCCGAACAGCCAAATTCGGCTCGGTAAACATCCCAGGCTGGAACTTGTCATTGCTTACTGACGTATTTTTTGGCTGAAATTGGGGGAACTTAACAACGATCTTTTGTTTGTTTATCGGGCAGGCAATTAAATGTCAAGATCGAATCTCAGCGAAAGAACTACATGTGATTAATTGCAAACTGGGATAAAAACGCAACAAAGAAGCTGACCATCAAAGCTACGCAGAAGAACACAAGGAACTGCCACAAAATTATAGTTTCGTTCAAAATTAATTGCAAAGTCAACAGCAAAATTATACTAGAAGAAATTTTGTGGAGTGTGGATATTTGCCCTGTATGCTTCGAGTAAAATATAGCCGGTATGAAACAACAAGTTTTACCCACACTCGCCGTAGTCATGGACACACTGAAAGCTCTTCTTTCATATTTTTTTCGCGTTGTATTGGCTCAAGACAGTGACCCGACTCGACTGGCCTCCGACTCGATTCGCAGTTTTCGGTGACTGGCAACGCAACTGATAACTGGATGCGAGTTACTGCGAGCAAATGAATTTGCTTGACTTGAGATTATTGCATCCGACTCGAGTCAAAAGCTAAAACATCCGATTCCGTTCAAACGCGTGAAACATCAGAAGTGGATACTCAAAAGTTAGACAATTTTACGGACTAGGCCGTAGACTTTCATATAGGCTACTTTAAAAGTTTGATCTCATCGTGATTTTCGTTGTGATTAACAGATGTCAAAGACTCAAATGAATCGAGAAAGAGTGTGACTCGACTAGACTATAAACTCCTCAAAAACCTCACGACCGTTTCAAAACCTGCTTAGGCCCTTGGTATTTATGGAAATAAAAGCAATGTTATTCTTGGGAAGGCTGTTTACTACAGAAATTTGCTAAAGCAAAGAAAATATAATGTCATGCATGCAATGTTTCTTGAGTGTGTCTATAGTTCTCGGCAGATTTTCTTAAGCACAAAAATTACGATAATGATAATGAAGATTTAAAGCGTCGGAATCCGCCACAGACAACGCTCTTGTCATTAATGTCCAACCTTAACCAATATACATGCATATTATTATGCAGTGCATTATTAACATTATACAATATTATTTATATACAGTGTATACATTTGCTAGCAACAATTTATTTCCTGTGTCTAATTCTCGGCAGATTTTCTAGTTAAGCACAGAAGAAATAATTCTTTGCTGTACATGGTCTTACCATGATGGACGGGTGGATAGCGGGAAACCTCTGAACATCGTTGAAGGAGGTGCGGCATATTCCTTGCTCGATCATCTGTACGATGGTCGCTCGACTCACCGCACCCTGCCTCAACAGCTCTGTGAACAAATGTTTGTTAAAAAAAATACTGAAGTTACTTTCAAAGCATCGCGCTTTCAACGGAAACCTTGAGTTGAGAAAAATTAAGATACATTTTCACATTTCTCAAAAAGTATATCTACTGATTGAAATTTCGACAGATTTGAGTTTGTTTTTACAACCTGAATCAGATTTATTGTTTGTGTTCCTTGAATAGGAACGAACACATATTTTTTTAAATGGTGTCCCCGTACGTGCCTTAAATCAGGGTCTACTTATTGAATATTGAACAAAGATGACTTTGATGTGCTAATAGACTTTTATGTGCTTGCTATATTTATTCAATGTTGCCATAGAGTGTTAGAATCTCATATAAACAAACATAATAGACAGATATGTAATTAGAAATGTATAATATGCATAGATCTTAAATACCGGATAAGCAAATTTGCGATAACATTTAGGTATGTGAAGTGAGTTGCTTTTGTACCCTAACCTATTGACAGACACACGTACATGACCGCAAAACAGTGACACTACATGACATATGACAATCGGACACACAATACACAACCTAAAAAAAACACAAGCTGGTGTGAGACGAGAGCATAAAACTGAGTTCGTAAATTATAACTCATTATGTGAATATGAATCGAGAAGATGTGCTTATAAGTTTTTAACAAATATCGAGAAGGAGGGTGGTGATTTTAAGGAGTTATCCATGCTGTTCTAGTATAAATTAAAGTGCTATGTTGTATGATGCTATTTTTTGGACAGATTTTAGGCAATGGTGCCGTGCCTACCAAGAAATACTGAAAACTATTTTGGGCCAAAAAGCATAAGTCGGATTTGACAAGAAACCAGTTAAATTTGACTAGCCATTCAGGGTCAGATGGGTGTAAATGAAAATCAGTAAATCTGACTAGAATTTTCCAGTCAGTATTATAAACTATGGAAAAATAGTTATGCAAATAAATAACTGAAATCGGAGTCCCACCCAACTACTTTTTTATAGTCATAGTATGAAACTTTGTATGTTTAACTAAATTCCTAGTCAATTTTCATTAACTAGGAAAACCAGTCAATATTTTGACCAAGTTGTTTTTAGAGTAACTGCTTGAATTTACAGGCGTTGGTTTTCATTACTAAATGGAGTTGGACAAGCTAAAGATGCCGAGCCTCTTTTGTTTGCGTAAAGACAAACATTTTAGATAATTATAAAAAGTGCGCGATAAAAACCAAAAATGGACAGAAGTCTTGAAAGTAAATTCAGTAATGACCTAGTCCAACATAATCCCCTACCTGAAATTTCGGGGAGTTCCGGGGCATCACAGAGCTCAACGAGGTGATCCGTGACGGAACAGCCTACCCTACCCGGCGTATCCGAGACGTGACGGCGGTGGGTCTGGGGAGAGTAGTGTCCGTGAAGAGGAGGATGGTGTTGTCTGTGGTGATGATGAGGTTGCCGCCTCATCATGTGGTGAGGGGGAAGTAGGGGATGGGTTGAGACGCGGGCATTCCCGGCCAGTGGCAAGGAGGACGCGGTGTGGGCCGTGCGAGCGCGCTGCGGTGCAGAGGGCCTCCCGGTCCCCAACGGGGGGAAGGTGGTTGAGTTGCTCGGCATGATTTCTCCGGTCTTTTCTCTCTCCTAGGCCTTACTAATGTTTTGATCGAGTCTCATTCAAATTCCTAACTGGGTCCTGATTACCCATCGGCTTCAGAGATGAATTCGAACCCATGTTAGTTATCCATTGGTTTGAATATCAAAGGCACAAGTCTTGCCACTCTTATGAGATTCCACTGTGAAGGCCTACATCGGTCCAGACGTACTGCAGATTATATGCAAACAAGTTAGATGTTTTAAAATCTTTACCCTTACATGATTATTTCTCTCAGCTCGTGCTCTCGAACGTTTGACAACTTCTCTTATCAAAGGGACACTTGCCACTTGCCAGGGCCACTTTCCAATGTGTAAAAGCCTACATCGGTCCAAAGTTGCTGTTGACTCGCAGTTAAACACCTTCGAAGCTTCACTTATAAACTGTCGTCCATTGCATGATTATTTCTCACATCTCGAGATCTCGAACTTTCAGCAACTGTATCCTTCTAACTCACCAGGATTTGTAGGCCGGTTGTGACTCTGTGTTTCACCAGAGAGACATAAAGCACTGTCTTCTACATGTAACTGTGCATTATTTCAGATAATACTGCAGTCACGTTAACAACACAGTTTATCATCCTCGACTGCACACGAAGTTCATCTTACCAAAGACAAAAAGGAAGAGCTCACTTTTCGTCCGGTAGGGTTTCCAGTTTCCACAACTCGGTGTCTCTGTATTCCATCAGCGATCATAAAAAAAAGTTCTGCCGCTACTCGGATTCATTAATCCGTTTGTTTACCAAATAACCAGTTGACTTCTATAATCTACCCGCGCGGTGCAGAGACTGGGTCATTATGAATTCGATCGGTGAGCGTTGTGTGCGACTCGCAGGGTTTTGTTGATCCGTCGCATGTGTATCGAATGAAACCTCTTGCCCCGTATTATGTCAACGTTCGATCTGTAGTGTGTTGTTGTCTGGCCACGTGACCTCGTTGCACAGAAGCCGAGAGCGAGTCATAATTTTCGAAACCGGCCGGGTTGTGACTGTGAAAGGCCGGGGGGGGGGGGGGTAGTGTTTGGTCCAAAGTGGGGACAGTATTTGGCCTGACACTTGCCTCTCGGAGAACAAAATCTGGAGATCTGTACCTCTACCCCCTTGCAAATTAATATCTAGTGAGAAAAATGCTAACAGTTTCTGGGAAATAATGCCTCATTATATTTGACTAGATGTGATTGAGAGAATGTGAATAATTTATATGTAAATTGAAACCTCTCAACCACTTGAATGCTGGCGTCTTTAAACTTTCATGGAATTGATTTTTGTTTTCGAGAAGAGAAACGTGTCAAGATTTTTTTCTTTAGGAAAAAGTTGACGAAATGAGTCGGAGATTTGTGAATGGCGAAAAGGACCTATAGACTAAAGAAGTTGACAAGATTTACTTTTGATTTTTTTTTCTATAAAAAAATAGCATTGAAGTAACTTCCTTTCATATCATTTTGTTTATGGACTAGTAAATCAATTTGTTATTTTTGATTAAAACAAAAGTATTTTTGTATACTATAGGAAAGTAGTAAAAGTATTGAATACCAAAACAAGTTATTTTGACACCACGTCGATGGGAAAAGTAAATACGAGGTAGAAATAGCATTGTTTTTACTTGCAGCTTAGAATTAAACCAAACATTGACAAAATAATCACATAAAAACGAATATAACGACACATGCAGGAGCACTGCCGCAAGAAGGTAACCACAGCAAAATGAAAGGAGAAGAACGATTAATATGCAACCCCAGCTTTTCTAGGTTTATTTCGTGTACACCTTTGTAAAAACTCTTTTGTCACAAAAAGTATAAGGGACCGTGTTAGGGTCATGCCACTCATGCGAACAGAAACATTATTAATCATTAATTTCCCTTCAAGTGGCCACGTGGGGCCTTACGGCGAGAAGATATGAAATCACTCAATGTTTTGATTGGCACCGGGATTCCTGTAGAAGCGGCTGGTCTTTTGGGACACCGTTATACGGTCACAGTAATATCAATATCCCCATTGAAGGAGCGAACAATGCCGGTATAAATCGAAGTCCGACGGAGAGAACTTTAAAGGTGTTCTTTCGTCCGGCAATCGCCGGAATTGTTTTAGAATGTTTACTTGACACAATTCAAATGTCTGGGTCAAAGGGAAACCAAATAACGGTTTACATTTTTCCATCAAAATGTTGAAAATCCCTGGTCTGTGTATTTAGCTGCCATCGTTTGATAATGAGGATGAATTTTGAATATAAAGATCTCGCACTATTCAATATAGAGACCTCAGCAAAATGACAGCACAGGTTCTTCGAACGAAGTTTGGGGGGGGGGATTTGTTTCATGTTGTGGGTTCGTAGATGCTGGAAAAACCAAGAAAACCAATCATATTCTTGTAGTCTGGTTCCCTTACCCCACTTAAAATGAAACGGACTGTGTGGAATTGTAAGATCAGAGAATCAGTCTAGCAGGCTCGTAGTCTTCACATGTGTGTAATTAATTGCAAAGAAAATGCAGACAAACTAAATATATGAGAAATTAGGAGCACTTTTTGAAGGAAAAAAAAAGTTTTCCCCAACGCTGATCGGCCGACCAGCGTTTTTAATTGGAAAAATACAGTTTTTCTTGAAAATGTCAGCACACCAGGAGCCACAACTTTACAAGATGCTTTAGACTATCATTCCCTGACAATCAAGTAAGACATTTTGTGATAATTTGAACATTTCGTTTTTTCATGTTTGCAAATGTTGTATCTCCCCTTTAACTGCTGCAGGGGGTAGCCTGGTAGGCATATGAGCGTCTAGCTTATGATAGTCGCACTCGCCGCGCGTCTTGTAACCAAGGGGTTGTCAGGGGCAAAACGTGCCGGTTCAAGTTAGCTTGGAAAGGTCTCCCTGTCCGTGAAAGCCCGCATACATGCACATGGGGCTCGGTGCACCAAAGGCTGCATAGGTGAACGGATAACCTCTATGAACCCCTAAAGGAAGAAAAAAAAATCGGATATACAAAGTACAAAAGGTACAGACGCAACCTCGTCCCCAGTGCTTACTTTATTTCCAACCTAGTTTCCAATAGTAAACCCTGGATAGGGAACTTTCTTCCTGCATCCTGATTCGATACGGCAATTGGCTAGTAATGGATTTTTGTCGTGTACTTGGTGTTGTTATTCACAACGTGCAGTACGTGTTTTCGCGATTATTCGTCCACGCCTTCTCGAAAATACTCATTTCCTTCCCAATTTGTTCATATTAATGTTAAAAGTGATACTACATGTTGTCTCGGTAAGATCGTAACAATTTAATCAAATAAATCGTGTTTTTCGTAACTCACGCCATGCTCGCGCTGCGACGAATTGACTCTGCTTTTACCCCAGACACCGCATACAAAAATAAACGCAAATGTAACGCACAAGCAGGCGCCAGAGTATTCCTCATTTGCATACGTGTTCAAAAATCTTGCACATGCAAATGATCCAATACCAGGGTGAGAGAGCAGGTAGTGATGGGCGCGTACTGCTCGACACCCTGGGGTCGAGGTTGGTACAGACGGGGTTGTTTATGCTTCAGGTTGCTTTGATAGTCCATTATCCATGAATGAAATTCGAAAATCGAAACCGGGTTATCGACCGTAATCGGTCGGTGAAATAGTGTATCCTCTTAGGAATTTCATTCGTTGGGTATGAAGAATTGGGATAAAGAAAAGGATTATGCCTGATCGTGTGAATGTTGTCGCACGCGAAAAAAAGTTTTTCGAACTTGTGATTGTGTGAGGCGCCCATTATGACTTCATTGCAAAACAAATATGACGAAGAGTTGCAATGTTAAGCGAAGTTAGTTTCGTCTTATTTGTTTGTCCTAAACTTATTTTTTTCGTTCAATATTTATTTGTTTGTCCTGTACTTATTTTGTTTCGTCCTATATTTATTTGTTAAATTGTGTTCTATATTAATTTTTTCGTCCTATATTAATTTATTTCGTCCTTTACTTATTTGTTTCGTCCAATACGTAATTTGTTTCGACCTATTTGTTTCGTTCTACAGGGTGAGTCAAAAAAAACCAACGAAACCCAAAGTCGGGACCATTGTTTTCGGTGAAGTTCTGTATGTAGCACTTTCAAAATCTAGGATATGAAAGCCTAATTCATAAGCTTTCCTTTAGTACAAGAATCATTCAAATCAAGTCCTTTTTAAGTTACGGAGTTTTAAACACAACCGCCGTTAAGGATGTGTGTGAATTGTTTTCGTTTTGCTGAAAGAACGCACACTTTTTTGTGATCCGTTGACAGAACTTTAAAACGGTGGTTGTGTTTAAAACTCCGTAACTTAAAAAATCCATAAGTGATTTGAATGATTCTTGTACTAAAAGAAAGCTTATAAATTGGGCTTTCATATCCTAGATTTTCAAAGTGCTACATGCAGAACTTCACCAAAACAATGGTCCCGACATTTGGGGTTCGTTTTTTTTTACTCACCCTGTATATTTAATTGTTTCGTCCTATTTGTTTCGTCCTATATTTATTTCGTTCTATATTTATTAGTTTCGTCCTTTTCGTTTCGTCCTATATTTATTTGTTTCGTCCTATTTTTCCGTCCTATGTTTGCGTTATTTGTTTCTTTTTGTTCATTTGTTTCGTTCTATATTTATTTGTTTCGTCCTATATTTATTTGTTTCTTGCTAGGCTATCGCGAAAAAAGTTGGGGAGGGGGATTCCGCCTCCGGCCCTTTTAGGGTTAATTTGAAGCCACATTTCTTGTCGTGATGCTTGTATAGTTCTGAAGATATGATAATTTTCCATTTTCAGCCATGTCCGCTTTTCCGTGGGCCATTATGGAAATGACAATCGTTTTACAAAAATTGAAGTCCCGAAGAATTTTATTCCAGCGCCACCACCAGCACTGAATGCAAAAAAAAGTTGCAGTTAACATATTTACTGCCTTTTGTGTTTGACATTTTAAAGACGAAGACGGTAAAAAGCACCGGTGCATAGACGTCACCGTCGCCGGTCGTACAGCGGGAGTGACTCGGGTACCGGGCCGGACAGCGGCGACAGCCGGCACGGAAGGCGGCGTAGTAGCAGGCGGCACGGACGTCACCGCAGGCACAATGGGCGTGGCCAGGATTTTTTCTAGAGGGGGGCAAAACATATTTTTCCCAAAAATTCCTGTTTTTCTCAATGATTTTCTCGATTTCTTAGTTTTAGAGGGGGGCAAGGACATTTTGGCCCCCCCCCCCAACTCATTAAATTTACACCACTATGACTTCGCGCCTCTTTTTTTTTTTTTTTTTTTTGCTTTTCCGGGGGGGGGGGGCAAGCGCCCCCCCCCCCCCTTGCCCCCCCCCCCCCCCGACGCCCATGGCAGGCGCCGCGGACGCGACTACAGCGATGACGAGTACAGCAGCGGGAGCCGCCATTGCCTTCGTCTCCTAGCGTGCTGGGTAAAAAACTAAAAGCTGAAAAGGGAGCACTTTTTAATAACATTTACCAACAAAAGTGGAAAATAGTTTTCATATATATTTAAGAGGAATTGAATGTTGCACAAAATAATGTTCCCAAGTACTAAGATTCATGTCATGAGCCCTTTAATGGAACGTTTAATGCTGTTACAAAACTGCATTACAATGGAATCATTTTTTTTAAACATCTTCGGCCTGCCATTTGTTTTTACCATCATTCTTTCCAATTCTAGCGAGCTAGCAATTTTCGTGTTGGTCTATCGAATTAATTCCAAATCAAGATATGTGATTTTCGGGGAAGACAACCTTAGTCCTTAGGTGGAATTAAAGTGTGTCCGAGATGATTGTCATGCACAGCACATTGAAGTTGCTACATCTGCAGAGATCGAGTTGTCTGATTAGATCCAGCTAAATCATACACCGAAATGTCGGTATTGCAAGGCTGTGGATGATGGAAGCGGAAAAATCGATGACCATTACATTTTCACTACTTAGTTCTCTCGCCTCATACATATTCATTTCGCGTCAGATTTCGCGTCAGATTTCGCGGACGCCAAGGATTTATAACATTAACTGTATTTATACTGGAACATGAGGGCGCTGTAATCAGTGACGTATGCAGAGGGGGAGGGGGCCAGAGGGGGAACCCTGCCCCCCCCCCCCCCCCCCGCGGAAAATGTGCACAATTTTTGTTGCTCAGCATTTGTTTTTAAATAAATGGTCAAAGAGTTCTGACATTAATCCCCCCCAAAAGAAAACCCTGTAAAATACCATTGAATACAATGCGCTGTGAAAATGGGTATATAAGGCCAAAACAAATAAGTCTCCGGTTTCTGGTATGCGCGCGCGTCGCCGTAGCCATGCGCGTTGGCAAAATGAAAAAGTTTTTTTTTTCAATGAAAGATGATGTCTCAAAACCACCAAACTCACTGGTTTGACTGGAATCCTGCTGCTGCACAATTTGAACGTGTTTTTAGATGGGGTTATGATCGAGAATAAGCTTTATGTGGCCTCTCTGGACTCCCATATATTTGCACTAAGTTTAGTCGGGCACCATTTTGCAGTCATCCGCCGACATTTGAAGCAAAACAAAACAGGTAATTAAAAAAAAATCAGTCTAGAAATCAGTTAAATTTGACTAGCCATTCAGGGTCAGCTGGGTGCAACTGAAACTCAGTCAATCTGACTAGATTTTTTTCAGTCAGTATGTTTGACTTTGGGAAAAATAGTTATGCAAATAACTGAAATTGGAGTCGAACCCAACTTCTTTTCTAGTCATAGTGTGAAACTTTTCACGTATAACTAAATTCTAGTCAATTTGCAATAACTATGAAGACCAGTCAATATTTTGACCAAGTTGTTTTTAGAGTGAAGGCAATCAATTTTTATTGCGCCACGAATAGGCCCTAATGGTAGTCATTCTGAACGTCAATTGATAGGTGGAACTAAAAAGTGTTTTGATTTTGTCACATTTTAAGCCATTATAAATTTTGTATTTAAATATAATTCATGATGTAAACTTTCGTTTTAGTACGAAAGCCCGTTAGTGCCAAAACAATTTTTTTTTTGAGGGGAGGGATTTTTTTTGGGGGGGGGGGAATTTTTTGTTTTTGTTTTTTGTTTGTTGAAATTGTTTCTGTTTTGTTTTTTTGGATTTTTTTGGGAAACTTTACGAAACGAAGGTTTGGTACGCGGGCATTGCCGTACTTCATGTCCATAATGTACAAGAACGATTTCAGGCCACAGCGGAAGTGCCGTTTCTTGGTCCATGGTTTCATAAAGGTCGCGCAGTCTATTTTTAGTAACTTCTTGAATTTTTTTTTTTTTGGAAAGTTTTTTTTGTTGGTTTTTTTTGTTTGTTTTAATTTCTTTTTTCTTTTTTTTAAAGGAATTTTGTTTGGGGGGAATTTTTTTTTTTTAAGGAATTTTTTTTATCTTTTGTTTTTTTATTCATTTTTTTTTTCAATTTCTTTTTTTTTATCTATTGATTTTTTTGTCATTCCCCCCCCCCCCCCAAATTTCCGGCAAACATCATGGCTGCCGCGGCTCCGGACACACGGAGTCTCCATTTGATTAGGCATTACTTCAGCAAGCGTAACCTACACCGTAGATTGCGAGAACTTATCGCCGAAAACACCACACAGACATTGTTGATGTTGCATGTTTTATAGGGCGCCGCTGACAGCAGGTAGGTTAAAAAAAAAATTTAAAAGACATTTAAAAAAAACAAAAAGAAAAAAAAACCAAAAAAACCTTTCAACAAAAAAAAATTCAAAAAAAAAATTTAAAAAAAAAATGTTGGCACTAACGGGCTTTCGTATTTTAGTATAGCTTTATTGCATAGCCTTACCGAGCAGATGTAAATTTCAAACTAGACCATGGTCTAAAAATGAGGATTTATAAAAAAAAAAAAATCAAAAAGTTATGTGCTAGCCAAGCATTCAGGGATCGGTCTGAGCCATAACAATGCCCCAGCCAACCCCTTAGGACTCTTCTGGGCTCTCGGGTGTCCCGGCCAATACACACTTCCTTCCCTGTCCATCCATGTAACCCCGGAGGGCCAGTCACCATGTAAAAGCAAAGAGCTAAGGGAGGAACAGGGCGGCCCCTAAGCCCTGATCCTCCGAGTGGACCACATGCCCTGAACCTATACGAAGGCGCCAACCTGGAACTCGCGGACAGTACCAGCAGCAGTGCTTACCGATTAAGCTAAGGTACTGTTGGTATTTCAGGACGGAAAATTGAATCCTTTATAGAAAGTGTTGGAGAGCGCCTGTTGAAAACTAAAACGACTAGCGCGGGATTCGAACCCGCGTCACTCGACTCGCCGATTGATAATTTAACCACTGGACTATTTCACTAGTCACATTTCGATCTCGTTTAAAACCCATAAGTACCATGAACTGTATTCTTAAGCGTCACTGAACGGATTTTTGAATTGGTTTCAATTGTCTATAACGAGGACTGAAAAATGCGCCTGGATGTAGGTTTAAAGGCTTCCAAAAATAATTCAACGTATGCGTGACGACTCTTCGCCAAATGAGGGCGCTATTATACGCTGACTATGATCGAAAGGTATCCTATCGTCTTAGTGTGTAAACTTACGTGATTGATTAGAGAGTACCCGACTAGTCTCAAAAATGGCAACAACATTTCATTTTGTGGCGGAAACGCCTCCCGATTCAATGTTTTCCGAGATCCAGACGTTGAATAAATTCAATAATGAGGTAGGAAAGAAACGGTGATATTATATATAGGGCCTAAAGCTCGATTTCTTTTTGAGTTAGACGGATATTTTCCTGGGGAAAGAATGTTGCAACCTGACGCCACTTCAGAGAGCAGCGGTTGTGTACAAAGTCAATGGAGAGTCCAGAAAATTTCCAAGTGAAGTATTTCCTATTAAACAAAACTGGAAGTGTTTCTCAGTCCCAGATTCATGTCTTATCATCATTTTCGCAATGACTGACCTTCATCGAGATGATATTTGAAGAAAAAAGAAGCGTCAGATTGCAACATTCTTTCTTATGTATGATGTAAAGTCTTTTGACTTTAGTTTACAAATACAAGTAGGCCCTAGGCTCTTGGCCTTCTTAAGACGTTATTCGTTAAGTTCTTTATCCTGTCTGAAAATTAACCCTGCACCATGCCCATGAGGCACGGATACACTTAGCCCCACTAGTGTGGCCGTCGGTATGCTGCGCTGAACCTCTGGCCACACACCGTGGTACCGCGCGCTACTGAGGACGAAGTTTTTCATAAAATTCAGGGCAGTTTCTTACATTTTCAGTTTCTTACTTTCTTATGGTTGTATTCTATGATGTCTCCTATCACTTCTGGGATGCTTAGCATGTGCTTAGGTCTAATAATGTTCCATTTTCCGAGATATTCTTCAATCTTTCTGGAGCCCATATGCACTCGTGAAACGTCTGGTGGTGGCAGCCATTTTGAATGTGACAAGAGATGACCTCAAGCTGTGACGTCGCGTTTATGCAAATTGCTTGTCGAGCGCGCGAGGGCGCGAGTTGCAAATGCGACGGCTGTTTCCTGTGCCGTAGATCCTGAATAGAGATCGGTGCACGTGGCCCCCTGACGATAAATGCATGGTACAGGAAACAGCCGTCGCATTTGCAACTCGCGCCCTCGCGCGCTCGACAAGCAATTTGCATACACGCGACGTCACAGCTTGAGGTCATCTCTTGTCCCATTCAAAATGGCTGCCATCACCAGACGTTTCACGAGTGCATATGGACTCCAGAAAGATTGAAGAATATCTCGGAAAATGGAACATCATTAGACCTAAGCACATGCTAAGCATCCCAGAAGTGATAGGAGACATCATAGAATACAACCATAAGAAAGTAAGAAAATGAAAATGTAAGAAACTGCCCTGAATTTTATGAAAAACTTCGTCCTCAGTAGCGCGCGATACCACGGTGTGTGGCCAGAGGTTCAGCGCAGCATACCGACGGCCACACTAGTGGGGCTAGGATACACTTTGATGAAGTGACCTAGCCCCATAAATGTGGCCTATTTACTGGACTGCTTCCGTAAACATAGGCCACACATCCACATGTACAAAAACGTGTCGCACTTTGCCAAATTTTGATTTTCACATTTAGGCTTAGTTTGTAGGATTTTTTGCTTTAGAAGCATACTCACCCTCTTTATAGGCTAGTCAGAAAGTGCTGCCTTTTTCAGATGTCTAATTTTTGTGAAATTTCATGTTTAAATTTTGATACGCAAACGTGTAAAAATGAATCTGGAAATTTCACGAAAAATATACATCTAAAAAAGGCAGCACTTTCTGATTAGCCTATAAAGAGGGTGAGTTTGCTTCTAAAGCAAAAAAAAACCCTACAAACTAAGCCTAAATGCGAAAATCTAAATTTGGCAAAGTGCGACACGTTTTTTGTACATGTGGATGTGTGGCCTATGTTTACGGAGGCAGTCCAGTAACGGAACATTTTGGAACTGTGTGAGTAGCCTGTCAAACTCAAAGTGATTTGCATTTAGCATTTATTGAACATGTTGAAGAATAGCCGTTTTGTGCCACAGCTGTTTTGTGCCATTATAGCTTCAGCCTTCAGAGTGTATTACTAACCTGACTAACTTTGGCTTTATTTCTTCTTCCATTGCCTTACAGCAATTCAATGAGGTTGTGTCGATTGTCTTGACTTTTCTCTTGGAACCAGATAAGGTAAGACTTAGACCTAATTGATAGTTGTGAGACATTCTTGCATAATCATAATAATGAGACAGAAATGGGTACAGGCCATAGTGGGGAAAATGCAAACAATATCACCCCCACTGACTACACATGTTTTAAAGATATAGTAAAAAAAAAGTTGTGGGGAAAAGTTCTTTTTGTTGGGAAAAACAATTGGCATCTTTCAGTTTCACGACTACAAAGCAGGCGAAACTTTTAAGACCTTTTCTCAATATGTCGATAACTGCAAACTTTAAACAGCCATAACTTCTAAACAGAATGTGCCAATTGATGTGCCAAAAAAAAGCCTTGCAACAAGAATTTTATTCCTTTTCCCGATATTTGCAAACCCTCACTTCTACCTTAGCCAAGTTCTGTCTCATTTTGGCCGAATCAGGTCTCCGTTTGTTTAAATGCCAATCTGTTGGGACTTTTCAGGTTATAGGTTTAAGGTCATAGGACCTGAAACTGCAATTGTGACCGGCTCTACAAAAAAGGGTATTAAGTCGCGCTGAGCATTATTGTGTAATGGCCCACTCATCATTTTTTTGTCATGAATGACATCTTTAATACCTACAGTTTCAGGTTTCATTCACAGAAATGTTGATTTTGATGAACAACGTGGTAAAAACAACCATTTTGTGTGCATTGTTCTATTGTTCTACAACAAAGTCAGCTATTTCAAAGCCTGAACATTTTCTCAGTTGTGTAATTTTAACTCCAAGGTAGTAATTAATATGCAAATACGTCATATCTCCAGAACGGGAGGGGCAATGGAGTTCAATTATATCAAATGAAAGCTAACATTGGGGGCTTTCCAACCATGTATATAACTCAATTTCACTTTTTTGCGACATAGCCTAATACACTTTTTTGTGGAGCCAGTCACAATTTATGTTTTCAGTCAGTTTGGGTTTTTCTGTCGGATGTATCCTGATTGATCCTTCATTGTTTGTGAATTCTAGTCCAACCAGTTGATAGGCCAGCTGGATGATTTTGCCAGGGAGGAGGGGGTCAGTGTGGCCCCACTGAGGAACATCGTGCGTAGCCTCATCACGATCCTCAACAGTGAGTATACAAACTGAACATCAAAGGTTCATTGAACTGGGAAAACTGACTGACGTTAGATTGGAACCTGCGACATCTGGCTCACCGCACCGGTACTCTACTTACTGTCAAAGCTCTCGAAAAGAAGAATTCCATACACAGACAGCACTAATTTTTCCCTGTAGTGACTTATCAGCCGTCGGGAAGCGATAACATATCCTAAAAACTCAAATAAAGTGGGGCAAATATTGAAACATTTACTGAGTAAACACTTTTTTTCAGACCAGTCTCTCAGGGTTTGTGCACAGGGTGTCAAGTGATGTCCAGGTACGGTGCATATATATGGAACTCTTTCCCTATAGAGCATTACATGTATCTGTTGAAAATTTCTCAACTTGTTGATGAGTGTGATCAAAGATTAAGTGATTTGTGATAAGAGATCATGTTATCTTGTGATTTGTGATCAGAGATCATGCACAAAGTTATGAAGCTAGAAGAATTAAAGTTTACAGGTCAAATGTTCACGACGATTTTAATAAATGCTTCGTTGTATGTGTTTATTCCGTTCAGATGCAGTGAAGAGAAATATGACCCCAGCCCAGCTGAAAGAAGATATGGTTAATCTTGGTATGTGATTTTGTGTTACAATTAGCCTTAAAAATAATAGCCGGATGGTAATCTTTCATTAAATTGGTTTAAAACCCCCTTTGTATTAAGAAATGGGTCTTAATTTGGTACTATGAATAATACAGGGCGAGTCAAAAAAAGCGAAACCCAAATGTCGGGACTATTGTAGTGAAGTTCTGCATGTAGTACTTTGGAAATCTAGGATATGAAATCCCAATTCATAAGCTTTCTTTTACTACAAGAATCACTCAAATCACTCATGTACTTTTCAAGTTACAGAATTTTAAACACAACCACCATTTTGAAGTTCTGTCCACGGATCACAAAAAAGATGTGCGTTCTTTCAGCAAAACGAAAACAATTCACACGCATCCCTGTGTGATTTGTTTTCGTTTTGCTGAAAGAACACTTCCCTTCTTGTGATCCATGGACAGAACTTTAAAACGGTGGTTGTGTTTAAAATTCCGTATTTTGAAAATACACGAGTGATTTGAATGATTCTTTACAAAAGAAAGCCTATGAATTAGGCTTTCATATCCTATTTTGAAAGGGCTACATGCAGAACTTCACTAAGACAATGGTCCCGACATTTGGGTTTCGCTGTTTTTGACTCACCCTGTATATACCCCTCAATTAAAAGGACAATGCTGTTTTAATGTCACAATTTTTTTTGGAGGTGAAATTTGTATATATGTGTATACATACTCATATTTACTCGCGAGTATTGCTCAAGTAAGGGTGAAATTTGAATGATGACAGCTGCAAGTTTGTTCATGTTGCATTCTGTTTGATCCCATGTGTAGGATTATCTGAGGAGAGAGCAACTCATCTTTCTAATCAGGTACATCATTCAAAATGTGTTCTTTAAATTTCCTTCAAACCTTAACTCTCTAGAAGTTCCCCAGGACTACCCTGCTAAATCCAGCAGACTCCGACGTTCCCAAGTATGAGTGTCCTGCTCAATTCAGAACAGCCCACACAACCCAACTTGCCAAGTTGTTGGGTGCCTGAACATATAAAATGACTGGCCTGCTCAATCCAACAGAATCCCACTGTGCCTTATTTCGTCGCTGACACCACGAAGTGACCTTAACCCCCGCGAAGTGGAACATGTGTGTTTTGAGATACAAGCGATTTAAGTTGGCGATGTTTTGAAACGGTGATCTGGACATCGTTTTAGCCTCAAAATTCATCTTTTTTTACATTGTCTGAAAGCAGGGATCCTGAATGTCACGTTAATGTATGATTTTCATTGAAATAAATTGCTATTAATGAGTTATCAAAACTAATTAACCATAACGTCACTTCGTGAAAACTCAAAATTCAGATTACGCTGTGTTCGAGTTTTCACGAAGTGACGCTAACCACGTGTATTAGCTAATGGGCTAGCGCTACTTCGTGAAAACGCCAGAAGTGAGTCGCGCATATCACGTGACATTTGTGTCACTTCGTGAAAACGCAAAACCCGTTTTTGACGCGTAGTGTGCAGGCGCTTTACACGCGAAAGAATGGTACAGTACACTTCGTGAAATCGCATTTTCCGGTTTTGACCCATTAAGTTGCAAATGTTAATTAATGTTTATTAATGTTCTGACAAAACTAATTAACTATGTGCTTAGTAACTTCTTTAGGTGATAGATTATGTGTAATTAATCACAAATCAGGACAAAGATCGAAATCGCAAAATATCGATTTTTCGAGGTTAGTGTCACTTCGTGGTGACGGTGACGATTTGTCTGTTTGCTGCTGGATCCAACAGAGTCCAACTTGGTGTCATGTACCAGTACCCAACAGAACCTGAATCTGAATGATTTCAGTTGCCTGCTGAATCCAACAGGACCCAACGGAAATGTAAAATAGTCAGATAATGTTGGATTGAGCAGGGTGACGGTAGAACTGACAATATCCCTTTCATACAAGATACATTTAGGGGGAGTGTGTGGCCTAGTGGTTAGGGTTCGTGACTCTTGATCAGAGGGTCCGGGGTTCGAATCCAGCCGCTGGCCATATATTGTGTCCTTGGGCAAGCCACTTCACCCCCACTTGCCTCTCTCCACCCAGGAGTATAAATGGGTACCAGCATTACCTGGGGAGTAACCTGCGATGGACTAGCATCCCATCCAGGGGGAGTAGAAATATTCTCAGTCGTTTCATGCTACGGAAACCGGAGATAAACGTCGGCCTGATGAGCCACATTGGCTCGGGACAGACTTTACTTACTTTACAAGATACATTTATAGACGTCAATTTATAGACGTTGGGAATTGTCAATGTCAGGTCACAGAACCAGACTTAGCCGAATATGTAATCAATTGCAAACAAAATGTGCACTGACCTAATTTGGTAAATTGGATGCCAGTATTTAGAAACAGTCAAGTTTTCCTCTAACGATGGTCGGCCGACCATAGTTGGAAGTTGATACAAAAATTCCACTCTTCTTGAAAATGACAGCACACCAGGTGCCATGATTTCACAGGATGTTGAGACTATTATTCACTTACAGTCAAGTCAGGTCTTTCATGATCATTTGATAGTTTTGTTTTTTTAATGTTTGCCAGTGTCGTATACTACCTTTAAGTCCAAGCACATCATATAGATTTTGTGTTTTTTGGTGTCCGATTCAGTGGAAGTCCAATCTGATAGGCTTGTCAAGGACAGCCGTGGGTCAGACACTGATGATCAACCAGCTGGTGGACATGGAGTGGAAATTTGGAGGTGAAATGTTTTCATTCACATTATTCATGTCACAAGTTGTGCAGTGGTCTTATGGGACCAAAATGTTCTGAAAGTCCCTATCAATGAGTCTGAATTTTCTAAACACAGACGATGTGGTCCCTGCCAGGGCAAGTACATATGTACAGTCGAGTTTCGTTAAGGCCACAAAAAAAAAGTCTCTGGTTTCTGGTATGCGCGCGCGTCGCCGTAGCCATGCGCGTCGGCAAAATGAAAAAGTTTTTTTTTTCAATGAAAGATGGTGTCTCAAATCCGCCAAACTCACTGGTTTGACTGGAATCCTGCTGCTGTGCAATTTCAATGTGTTTTTAGATGGGGTTATGATCGAGAATAAGCTTTATGTGGCCTCTCTGGACTCCCATATATTTGCACTAAGTTTAGTCGGGCACCATTTGCAGTCATCAGCCGACATTTGAAGCAAAAAAGTCGGGTAAAAAAAAAAAAAAAGGCGCGTCGCCGCACCACTTTTTGGACAAGTTCCATACCAGAAACCGGAGACTTTTTTTTTTTGGCCTAATACAAACTCGTTCGGACCTAGCCAAATTGTTTGTTATATCAGAATTTTGTATTAAGAGGAACATCAGTCCCATTCATTGTGCACATAATGCACGGTCGGGACTAAGTCTTTATGTTTGTTATAACCAGAATTTTGTATTAACAGAGTTTGTACTAACGAGATTCGACAGTATACTGAAAGATAAATATCAGCACTCAAGTCTCAAAAGGAAATCTCTGCGCTGGGTAATAATTATAATAATGAACATTTATAAGGCGCTGGTATACGCCAAGCAAGACGCTCATCGGGCACAATACACAACATATAAAACTATTAAATCATGAATAATTTAAATTTGATAACAGAAAGTAGTGACAAAAGTAATGAGCACCAATTAATTAAACACAAAAACGTGAGGTAAACATATGGGTTTTCACTGAAGATTTCAATACAGACAATGATGATGACTGGCGAATTTCGGCCAGGGGAAGATTGTTCCAGAATTCGGGAGCGGCGCGTGTGAAAGACCTGCCTCCCCAAGAGTGATTGGTGCAGGGATTAGTAAGCTGTAGCGCTCCAGCCGAATGAAGACTACGTGACGGTTGATATTTCGTGATAATAAAAGTTTAAGACAACTTCAGAGCTCTCAACACTTTCAGTCTATCAAAAATCTCTCTGTTTGTTATTCTCAAATTCAGAATGAATACATTTCTATTAAATTTTGTTTATTTATTTTCATTCCTAACAGTGACCGCAGCTAGCAGTGAGCTCCAACAAGTTGGTAGTACTTTTCTCCAGGTGAGAAAAATATCCACTTGGTTTTATTCCTTTTTTGGGAGGGGGGGGGGTGTCATTTTCACTAACACAATTCATAATCTAATGTGAACGTACATGCACAAATAGACGTAACAAAAAAAAACCGGTAACAATTCTAGATGTAACTTCTTTGTCAGCATTGAATGCAACTGTGTTAACATCACAGTTTGAAATATTCCACCTAGAAAAGTATATTGTCATTTTGTATACAAGAATAGCTATGTGTTGTATGTGACGTGGTGACTTTTCTGCTGATTATATTGGGACTTTTTATTGACAATATGTTTGTATTTTTTATGTATAAGAAAATATAAGATCTAACATTATAAGATATATCATTTCAGAAGATATATAAGATATATCATTTCAGATACGGTATGTGATGCGATCAAGCTAAATGAGTTGTTTGTCAGGAATTTTCATCTGGAGATTCATGCCAAAATAGGGCCACTCCATCGCATCACTTCATCACATCTCTTTGTGTTCTGACAATTCTGAAATTGAGCTCTTTTCAAATCTGATAAAAAAAATTGACCAGGGTCGACAAACAACTCATTTACCTTGATTGCATCACATATAACATTTCCACATTCCACATAAATTCTGGTCCTTTCTTTCCATTCAATCAAGTATTTTCTCAACATCGCGGTAGTTTCATATCGGGCATTAACCCTCACTCCCTACTGTAAGTACTGGACCAAGTCCGCCAAAATCCATCAATCACACTGCTTCCAATGCATGCTTTGCTTGAGGCCTACAGGCCCAAGTCCATCATACTCCATCAATATTTAATCAAACCAGGCCTGCAGGACCAAGTCCCCAAAAATGGGGGGGGGGGGGGGTGAATTTTGATGGAGTTGGGGAGGTTAGGGTTAAGCATGGTGTTGTGACTTATTTCCAAGTTAAGTTTTACATAGCTCTTGAGAAAATTCATTTTCAAACAAGTTGTGTAATTTCTTCTTTGTTTTTTGTTGCTCCTTTAGATGAAACTGGTAGTCAACAAAGGAAACAAGACAGAAAATGTATATATGGGTAAGTTTAAAAAAGTCTGAATAAGCCGGTTTGGTATTCCAAAATAGTCTGATGCACAACAATATTCGACAATTTTTTTGGAATAAACGCGGCAGATAAATGCACACAAGGCTATGGGGGACAGGGTAACCAAATCTACATGTACACTCTGTGTTATTGTTTGGGCAATCGATAAGAGATGGAAACTTTCATTCGCACACAAGTTTGGACACACAAGATACCCCAAAACACTTAGCTGTCCAAACGTTTTTTTGCGAAACAATCCTTCAGAACAATTTTGCTGGTACCCCACTATGCTTTTACACGCGTACGATGAAATGTTCATCCCTAAAGAAATATCGTCAAATCTTGATGTGCACATGCCCAATTGGAATACCGAACTGGCTTATAAGCAGCAAAAAACATCTCAGACAGGTTACTCAGTGCAAAGTGAACTTCGAAAATTAATAGTTTTCCTGTTTTCTCAGTGATTCACAATTCACACTGAAGATGATACACATAACTTTTTGTGAATTGTGTGTTGCGCAAACATTTAAAATTTGATAAGTTGAGCAACTCACAATGTGTATGATACACATCTTTTATGTTTTCGTGGAAAATGAAGCTTAATCAAATGCTTAATATTCATTTGTTTACTCTTTTTCAGAGCTTTCCTTGCCGCAGTTTTACTCATTCCTGCACGAGATGGAAAAGGCAAAACTTAGCCTAGAGTACTTCAGCTAGTATCTGAAGCTGCTGGGTATTGTATGTAATCATCCTAGTCCAAACCATCGCATGCCGTCAGATCCCTAATTATTTTCATACATTTGAACTTAACTTTCAGTGCAAGTCAGTTCTGGTGACTTGTTCATCAAGAAAGTAGTCTAGAGGCTAGACGTTGTTAACCGGCCACTGCTCGAGGGTGCTTTCACGACCAACCAATATCGCCCACGAACCCGTCAGAACAACGTCTAGATCACTTGCTATTTGTTGTGTTATTCGCGCACACCGGTTTGGCCTAATGTATGCAATTCATAGTAGTTCCGAAGCAAATTTCTTCCAGTAGGTTTAGAGCTGCAGCAAGACTTTTGTGCAATTTCACTGGTCAACTCTTTTGTTGTGTGTAGTATGTGTGGGACTGAAAATGGACCGTAATTGCCTGCAGAAGTCGCGCATGCGCACTAGTTTCCCCCATTTTTCAGGGGGAGATTTTTAGCAAGTGATCTAGACGTTGTTCTGACGGGTTCGCGAGCGATATTGGTTGGTCGTGACAGCGCCCTCGCGCGGCGGCCGATTATCACGGCGGCGCGGCGGGCTATCACGTACAAACAATAAAAACGTCTAGCCTCTTAGACTACAAGAAAGTTGAAATTGTGTTGTGGACAACACCTTATACTGAGAGTATTTCTAATTTAATGGAATGTCTTGTTTGTGATCTGATTTGAATCATTTTGCATCGCATACAGTTATAAAAGATTCCTGCAACAGCTCTGTGTATCGTGCTATGGTTGTTGTAAGATCAGTTTTAGTCAGTTTACTCTCAGAAAAGGTTGCAGTGCAGGTGGTACGTTTTTGCAAAAGTGAGAAATGACTCTTGGGTGGATGACGAAGGGATTCAGTTACTAAATAGATATATTCAAACTATGTTAGCGAAAGAATTGTGTGTTTTTTTGGCAAATGGTATTTGACCTTTTGGGCTGGTTAGTCATGATTGTCACAGAGTGACGTGAATTTGCTATTGTGAAGTCAGATTATGCCAAAATGTTCTATGAGCATTTGCTATGAGAGGATAGAATTTACATGACTATTCTTGTCACATTTTCAGAAATTCAAATGATAATTCAGCCCACCCGTTTCTTTCAATATACTGAAAGAACTAAGTTTAATACACAACTTGGAGAATTACTACGTCACATTTTTTTTCCCATAGTTGAGTTTTATATTAAAATTATTTTTTTTCTATAAATACTAAAAATATAAAGCATGTAATAAATACATGTACACGATCAGTCTAGTGGATTTTTGTGGGTTTTTTTTTGCGTTTTATTTGTCTGATTCTGATATTAACGAATGACAATACTGGTCTTTTTTTTAAGAATAATTGAGATAAAGAGAGTACAATATTCACTTAAAAAACAAGCCGCACACTCTGATAATGATAATACTTGTTTACAATCAGTATTTAAATGTAAAAACGTAAACCCTGTATTTTCATGATTGCTTCAGAGGTCATTCATTTTCATACAAAAAGTAAGAATTGCAATATTACAGAAAGTTTACGGTATTGATACAAAAATATATAAATATGCACATTTACATGAATGTACTGTCGTAAACACATAGGTTGTTCCCTTAACCCAAAGAGTACTGTCCAAATAAAGCAATACGCACACTACTACCCAAATGTTGCAGTAAAATATTTTACAACCAAAGTATTTGTACATTAGATATTAAAAATTACTTCTTCAATTAATAATTGAATTTGGTAAAACACTATGGTGGGAATGTATACAGCACCATGATAGTTAAAAGACAAAAAAAAAGCTTCAAATGCTACAATCTAAATGGTACAAACTACAATGGGTTGTTAACTTAATGCAACGGCGTCAATCGCTTCTCAAAAGTGGGGGGGGGACACACCTAGATAAAAAATCATGCGAGCGCCAAGTACCGCACATAATCACACAACTGATTTATTTTCACACGATGTAATCACTAACTTTCGGTTATTGCTGATTATACAATGCCTGAATAAATCCCCGTCATCTGATTGGTTGGTCGTTGATCACATGTTATTGAATTATTCGTCCCAACCCACGGCCAGGCTGCGCCGCAAAAACAGAAGTTCTATTCCACGGTAAATAGAAGTTCCACTGCACGGTCACACTACTGGTGGCTTTGACCAATCAGATGACGAGGATTTATTCAAGTGGTTTCCAAAACAAATAATAGACGTTTCGCATTCGTGCAATGGTAAGAATAATTTCATGAGGTGACGGATGGAATGTTCCATTGCACTCGGCTTTGCCTCGTAGAATGGAACATTCCATCTGCTTACCTTGTTCTTGCCACACCATGCAAATCTTCAAATATTATCTTACCCATATTTAAGTATGCACCTCTTATATGGAAAAGAAGTAGAGGTTTTTGTTTGTAGTTAGAGCCATTAGAAATGAAAACGGAAAATATATTTACACTTGAAGTCCAATTTGTTCACAGTAACTGTTTTAACTCAAGTAGCAGAGTTTGGGTTCTATAAAACTGGAAATGCCTCAAATTAGGGCAGTAAAAGGCCATCTCAGACAATTAAAAATATAAGAAATATAAAAACGGTGTATAATTTAAAACACGACCGAATCCCTGTTCACACTCCAGTATGAAAGAGTTTTGCACAAGGCACATTTTAGAGAAAAGGTCATTTTTTTTTGGAGGAAAGGCTGTTATCTGAGTCCTTATAATTAGGAACATGACATTGTTGAGTTGCACAGGTGACTCAGGCATGAAACTGAGTTGATATTGTCTAATGGCAGCCCTTTTACTCAGATATTTCCATCGTACCACCTTGTGCAAGTATCCATAAGCCGAATTACCAAGACCACGCCACTGTCTAGTTTGTCATGCTTATTAAGTTACGTTGGACTGTGCTACTACATTTTACTATAGGCATATCAGATTTGGAAACTAACTCGGCTTCAAGACGGGCCCATTTATAAGTTTTCCCAGCTATTTTAAAACATATTCCGTTCGAATTCACCGATGATTATATTCAAATTAGTCCAGCAACATCCATAATGCACTTCCAATGTCTAATTTTGTCTTTTGTCAGACAATTTCAAATATCAAGCAAATTCAACCAATGAGCACACGTTTTTGTCACAGAGTACTGGATTTAGTCTCATCTATGCTGAACCTTGTTATTCAGAAATCAAATTCGTCCAATTGATTTACATAAGACAAATCCGATCTCTGAATGCTGCCATTCGGCAACAGCTTAGACGAATTTGATCTGTAATGATGAATATTCTCAACCCAGTGACTAAAGAGGGTGACTAAACTTTAAAATTGAATGGTAAATGACTAAATTGGTTTTGTCAAATTAGGTTTTTGCCCTTCACCGACGGACAAACTCTGTATACTCAGTGGTTACCTCCCGAGTCAAAGTTGGGGGAAACAAATCACTGAGTTGGGACTCGAACCCACGACCTCCTGCTTGCTAGTGCAGATGTCTTGCCATTCGACCACCGAGTTAACAAGATCAGTTGGCTGGTTCGAATCTGATGCAAATAGCAGCGGGTACCGCATATAATAAATTGGTTTTGTTAAAAGTGTTTTAAATTTTTCGGGGACGAAATTGAATGATAGAGTTGGTGACTTTGAATTAAAAAATCTTTCAAAATAGCCAGGAAAACCTATACTACATTCTCTAGCCAGGCCAATTTATTGACCAGAAGTTTTGTCAAGTTCTTCGCAAGTCATCTGGCCCACGATTGAAGTCGTAAACTTGACAAAGGCATTAATCCATGACAAAGGCAATAAAGGACATAAATTTGTTAGCTCCTGTCACTATGTACTTGTGCCTGGACTTGTGAATTGAGTCGTGAATTACTTGTGATAAACAGTGCATTTAACACGACCCCAAAGTCCACCCGTACTACACAGTCCCAAACAGGTCGGACATGAGATAGTCCGTGTAGTGCCCCTTGATGATCCCCTCGGCACTGTCGTGTGCCGCCATCCAGCAGTCCACCCGCTGTTTCCGCATGTCATTGTTCCGCGAGCCGGCGTGCACGCTGACGCGCCGGCCCCGGATCGTGATCTCACCCTGCTGGCTCGCCGTGGGCTTCGTGCTGCTGCTGGGTTTTCCCTTGTTGCTGGAGGCTGCTGATAAACGCACTTTGGTGTGTTGAAACTGGCCTGAATTTACACACACACAAAAAAGGAACTGAAATAATCAGGGCATGATGTCTTGATTCCAACTGTCGGACCAGCTAACTTTTGTGAAATCTCCAGAGGCCTAGTATTTTTTTTAGATCAGTAAAAGTTTTGACCAAAAAAATGAAGTAGGATTTGAACGTTCGACCTTCTGAACATCGAACGGACGTTAAACCAACTGAGGTGTATAATATGTCGGCGATCTCCTATAAGACATTGACTTATTGGGAGACCAACATTAGGCTGGAAAAGGGGTTCGGTGTTCTTGAGTTCACAGTGCAAACCCTCTGCAGAATATCATATCGGATTGCTGGGCTTTTGTTCCGCTAAGATAGGCAGGAGTAGACGTTTTCAGCGTTTGCTTCTAAGAACCTTTCTTAGAAGGCTGGCGTATTATATGTAATCGTACTCATTCATTCAAAATATAGTACATGTATCCAGCTAATAAGTTGTTTTGTTCCCTGTTCCTGGTCCTTACCAATGAGTCCCTGAGCTCCATCCGACAGCCCACTGCCGTCATTCAAGAAGAACCCCATGAAGCTAGGCTTGTCTCGGTTGCTGGGCGGCATCTTGTGCCGGACCACGGTAAACTTAATGCCCTTTGTTCCAAGCCAGACCGTGGCCAGCCGGCCGTCCAGCCTCACTCGGACACCGCCCAGCCGCACCGTCCGCTTGCTGCCCCACGGCAGCGTGTGATTGGCGTTGACGGTGATGGCAGATGGGTTGAACCACATCTCGGACTCGCTGCCGCTGCCTGGAGCTGATGGGGTGTAGACCACGCCTATCTCCCCGATGTAGGTGCGTTGTTTCTGCTTTTTCTTCGGTTGTTGCTTTTCCTTCTTTGAAAGTGGTTTTGCGATAATTCTACCGTTGATGAACAGACCTACATGACAAAATAGAGATATTTTAGGACGGAGGTGAAAATTGGTTCATTGACGCTTTTTTTTTGAGGGGGGGGGGGGGAAAAATACATCTTTACTAATACCCGCAAGCGCACACTGAATCTACTCACTATAGCTGAACTTTGCTTTTTCACGTACAGTAGATGCTCTGAAAAGTAAGCTACTGTGTCAAAAACAACGTACAATTTTTCAATCCAAGTAAACTATTTCAGCGAACCTAAGATGTAAAACTGCTGTTCAGCAAAGCAGAACAAAAACAACAAAAAACTGAAGTATTATGCACAGAATCTCGAGTCTGATTAGTACCTCTTCTTTTGTCCTTGATCAAGCTGAACACATCACCAGCCTCGCCGTTAATGTCAAAACACAATGACAGGTTACTCTTGGGGACGTTCACGACAAAATGCGGGTCTCCATCTGTAAACAAACACAACACATGTTTTTTACAAAAGCACAAATTGATACAACATTTCAGAAAATGAACAGGCTATTACACAGAAGTGAGATTGAAAACCATGGCCGGGTTATAGCCGTAACCTGGCTTGATCTGCATCAACGTTTTTTTACGACGTGCACATCTTCAAAGTTGTAAAATTTAAATTAGATCAACTCTTCATCTTCCTCAACCCAGAACTGAATGTGTTGACTTCAAATTTCAAACTCCCAAATTCCAGTAACAGAGTAATGTCCAAGCTTTACACAGGGTGTCCCCAAAAAACCTAACACTCCAACCACCCTCTTTTTCACAGCTTTCAAAAACATCACACATCTTGATACCAGGGACGAGATTGTCGATTGAAAAACAAGTCTGAAAATTTGTCACTGTTTTTACGAAGAGCCACATGTGTCCAAAACTACCGTTTTTTCGATTTGGATTTTTTTTCAATATTTTGCTTTAAAACAATGTACTTAATCATTTTGACATGTTTCTGTAAGCAAAACATCATTAATTTCCAAGTTACATTAATGTTGCAAGGGGCAGAAATCTCAATAAATGCATTTTGGCCCTTTGAACGCGTACAAAACCCATTGCACGGAAATATGTAAAAGTAGGTCAAATGAGATTTCCGTTTTCACGAAGAGCCACATATCTTTGTTACATTTTCAGCTGCGCGCGCGTACACATGCGCGCCTATGGAAATACACGTTAAACAGAAAGGGCCAATATATCGGAAACCTGAAATTGAGTTTTTCACACAGAGCCACATATCTTTACTAATTAATTTTCACCAATTAACTGCTGTATTAAGTCTTATTACTGGGTTCATGTAAAAATTCAGCTCTCGTAGAATCGTGTGATAGTTTCCTTACTGCACAAAGTTGTTGCAAAGTGGTGTTTTTGCAGTTTTCAAAATGAGAGAAACTTCTTTTGCGATTATCTGGAAAACGCTTTTTCTTCAAAAGTCACACGTGGCTCTTCGTGAAAAATGTGACGAATTGGATGAAAAGTCTGAAAGATGCATTTCTGTCTATACACTAATAATGACTTTTTCTCAGATTTAAAAATTTTGATTTCAGTCAAAAGTCTGGAAAATCTCACTCCTGCTTGATACACATTTGACAAGCTTATTTCATCCAAAAAATCCTTGCAGTTGGAAAAATATTTATTGAGTTATGGCCAATTGAAAACGTTTGTGATGTATTTTTTTGAAAATTGAATGGTGCCAGAGATGGTGAACATGTAGAACAGTGCGCGCATGCACGTGACAGCTAGCGGCACCCTACAAATTTGACTGGGCAGTCGTGCGTGCGTGCGCGTCTCGCATACGCACACGCAAGACGTGCAGGGGCCGTATCATGCATGTAACCAGAAATTTGGGGAAGTCGTTTATCCTTGTGTCGCTAACCACTAAAAAGGGAGACCACCTGATACACATCATCGGGTAAATCAGTAGATCATAGATTGAGGGGAAAAAAAGCATCGGGAAGTAAATTACAGATAGAGTTTATTAGCAAAGAGCTTCCTTCATCCCAATTTATTTCTTGCCATCAAATCTGCGACTTGTATCAACGTAAGCACGTACCAACTCCGCTTGTACCATCTCCTCCATCGCCAGTTCCCCCTGGGGTAGAAGGCTGTTCAGGCTGGACCGGTTTTGGTAAGGGGCTCAGCACCACGCTCAACCCATCCCGTACCTCCGCGGGCAACGATCGGTCCCACACCCGCATGGCTGGAGGCTCACGCCGGGCGGCCCCCTGCACCTCCCCGACCGTCATCCGCGTGTAGGGGTTGAGGTAGGCGTAGCGGAGGGAGGTGTCGGTGATGTCGCGTTGGATGCCCGGGCTTGGGTTCTCCGTGAGGGCTTGCTTGCGCTGTAGGGTCTGGATCATGATGTAGGCCCAGATGCGCTCCACCAGGTCAGCGGGGATGGAGGGATCCAGTAGGACACGGGAGGGCACCTTATGTGTGTAAGTAGGAATCAAGATGAATATATATAAGTTCTATTTCACTACAGGGACATATCTTTTAATAACAAAAACTTATCAAACCATTCCTTCTTTGGCATAAGAAAATCTGCAATTAAATGACACTTCTCATGTCATTTGTCAACCGTTTATAAAGTTTAATCTATAAGATCTCAGTTTGCAAAACATAATAGTTTATTGTATAAAAGACCTTTACTCATTCCAATATGCAGTTTACTTGTGATAACAGTTTTACTTGTGTAACATTTTGTCATTTTTGCAGGCCAGGTCTCTAACCGGTTTTCAACTACCTGCAGCTGTCAACTGCATTATGTATAAAACTGTGCAAAAATAGACACAAATTTATTATTTGTCTCCTCAATTGGCCTTAAATCGAAGTGTGAAGAAAGAGTATCAGTAATAATTTCCTGCATGTAAACTGTCCTCTTTAAGTTAGTTTGGAATAAGATGTACAATAGCTAAACCAAATATACTTCATTACACTAGAAATCAAACTTTTCGAAATAGAATGGTTGCTACTACTTGGCACAAAACATATAAACCACTTTTATTTGTGACCTATGCCAAATAAAATCAACTCATAAATATGGATAGAATAAATTAATGTTTGTCTTTGTTCTTGCTTCTTTCACTTGACCTTTTATTTCCAGTTACTTCTTGTATACAAGCAATATATTTACTCACAATGGTGTTTGTATCTGACGCCAGCGAGATTTCCTCACTTGCCGTCTTCCCGTAAACAAACGATCTCAGCACGTGACTTGACAACCGCGCCTCATCCAGTTTCCCAACCACGACAATCTCAGACCCGTTGAAGTAGTTTGGGAAGAACCGCTCGCTCAGCGTGTTCGGAACCACGCCCTCGGAGTAGTAAAACTGGACGTCGTAGAGCAGGGGCGTGGCCACCTCGTCGTAGAACCTATTATGGTCCATAGGGTATTCTTGAGTTGAGACTTAAAGCTACAGTCCATCATTTGTAATTTGTGCATTTTGTTCGTTTGAAGCAACAAAAGAGTTCAAAATCTAATGAAGGATACTAAGCAACTAACCTGATGAAGTTTCAGCTAAGCTTCAGCTGTACATTCCGAGAAAAACAGCATTCTAAGATCTCAATTTCAAATCAAATGTTACTGAATCATGTTTTGAATTGTTTTGAATTGCAGCTATACGCGACGTCGCGCACTGATCCGACGAATTATAACAACCGCGCGCGCGTGTGCGTCGTTCGAATACTTGTGCGCGCTTTGCTGAATAACAAAACAAACTACTAATTTAAATTTTCCTACGGTGCTTCTTAAGAATCACCGTTGGAAATGCCTTCTTTCGTTAATTACTTCAAAATGACAGCTTTCCAGAAAGAATAATTTCACAGGGAGTTTAGTTCCCTTACTATCTTTCAACCAAGTTTGTTTTTTAACAATAATTACGCCAGTTACTTTTCGGATGGCTGCAAATGATGGACTCTAGCTTTAACTTGATTGTACAATAAGCCTCTGCACTGATGACGTCACACTTTGTCAACTTGTGCGCATTTCTACAGGGCTACGAAACTGTCGTCCCCACCAGGCTCCCTTAGGAAAGCACACGGTGTAAACAAACCGTGACGTCATCAGTACATAGGCTTATTAAAAAACATATATCTGAACTGCGCTGAATTGACTCTGCCTAGTTCAATACAGGAAAATACTGAATTGGATTGCGGTCCGATCGCAACTGGACTAACTTATTTGCTCATGGGGCTGTGGTTTTAAATGCTGCACAAACTACACGTAATAATTACAAAAGATGGTTTAAGGAGGAAAACATCAGTAATAGTCTTGGTTTTCATGTTTCTCAAAAATAAACACAAATTTGAACAAGTAATAACATCTTAGAACAATGATTTTAACTTCTGTTAAAAATCTTGATCATGGCTTCCTTTTGAGCATTATGACGAGGGCAGCTATTGGTAATCATCAATGGTACCACGCCCAGGGCTCCTGTTTCAAATAGCCGATTAAAGTATTCCAATCATCCTGCATTTGATTGAAGTTGGTCAAATTATGGTCAACTACTTGTATATTCCTCAATCCAGCTTGGTCAATTATGTTGAAAAAGTTGAAAGTTAAGTTGAAAAAGTTACATTGTGTTGTTAATGCACTGACAAGTGAATTGAATTGTTGATAAAGAAGTGACTATCAGAAAAAACTAACCCTTGCAGAAGGATGCTGGCGTCTACTCGCTCCGGTATCCGCCGGGCCACGCCGTGGTTGTTCAGCGCCAGCCGGTTCAGGAACTCAAAGTCCGCATCTTCTCCGAAGGCCAGGCAAAAGAGTGAGTAGTCACCGTTGATGGCGTCCTGGACGTTGCGCTCGATCTCCCTGGTATCCGTCTCGCCGTAGGTCGGTTCCCCGTCGGTTAGCACGATCAGCATGGAGATGACCTTCTCCCCGCCTCGGAGCTTCTCCCCCTCGCGTCGCAGCATGTTGACGCCTTCCAGGATGGCGCGATTCAAGTTGGTGGCTGAATGACGAGTACAGAAGAACATGAATATCAATATTATTGTCTGACCATGGGATAGGAGTGGGAGCTCTACCTCTTAAAGCACGGCGCTCTCCGGCGCTAGTCGGCGCAGTGAAGCGGATCGCAGCGCGCCGAGTAAATTATTAAGGATGCTGGCCCTTAATAAAGCCCCTCCTGATATTAACTAGCAATCATGACAGGAGGTCTTGAAAGGTCCTGGGTTTATCCTTACCATCCACCTCCTGCAGGTCGTCAACGTACGACTTGGCGTACTCCACGTTGGCCGTGGAGGCCTCCACCATCCGGTACCGGTCCAGGAACTCCACCTGGTTGGAGAAGGGTAAGATGTTGAACTTGTCTCCCAGTGAGATCTCGTCCAGGATGGTCTTGAGGGCTGCCTTGACTTGGGACAGCTTGGTACCTTCCATGGAGCTGCTGGTATCGATGACGAAAATGACGTGCTTACGGAGGACGGACAGACCACTCGGAGAGAAGAACTGGACAAAGTAGTCATTCAAGACCTGGGGCGAGGAATAATTTGGAAAGGTCTTTAATATTCTTTTGATGGGGGCGTGCATGTGGCCTATTGAGCCTATCAGCAAGGTGGGGGTTCGAATCCAGCTGTTGATCATTTACAATTACTTGCTCCTCTCCACCCAGAAGACTAGCAAGAGCTGGGGAGTAACGTGGGACGAATTTGAACAAAAAGTATCCTCGGTGGTTTCATGCCAAGAAATGGAAAAGGGATACCGTACATCTAAGAACTCTTATCATCACCGTAGTGTTCCTCATTTTCGTGTTCATTGTTTTGGTTTTGTTGTAGATTTACCCTAACTCCCTTGTGTGTGAACGATCATACTCAAAATTGGACGATTCAGGAATAGTGGTAATATGTCGTAATTCGTGTATGCCAATAAGCACACACTCTACATGGATACACTTACGCACAACAATTGAGGACGCAACTATGGACCACGTATCTTTATAATCCACTCACCTTAATATCCCCGGCGCCGTCAGAATGATTGACGTCATACTCGACGACAAAATCCCCCATGATTCCTTCGCCGCTCAGTTCCTCTTGCTCCTGGCGTGTGGGCCGGTACGCCACTAGCTGCTTGCTGTCGCTTACCCGCGTCATCGGCTGTGGCTGGATGGGGTCATCTCCCCCCGCCAGGGATCGGTCCCTGAGGTAGGCGTTGGCCACGCGCAACCCCTGGGGCTCGGTGATGCTGACGTCCACTTGCAAGTTGTCCACAACCTGTACACAAGATAGCCAGGTAAGGGTCAGCTTTCCCCGATCGTGGAGGATTGATCACTAGTTTGTTTGGTGCACTTTGATTGATCAAACCCAAAATAATTAAGCCAGCTTTTTTACAGACCCTTAAAAAAATCTTGCACAATAAAAATCAATAGCCACTGCACTTTCTACAATCACCCAAATACCGTCCACTTTCATCGGGCTGTCACACCGAGTGAAATATCAAAATAAAAGCCGCATAGGCCTACATGCCCACTCTTTTGTTTTTAGAAAATGAATCAGACAAAACAAAATTCTGTCATACTTGGAATCCTATCACACTTGATGAGCTCAAAAAATGTGCACAAATTATTTCAAATGGTCCAACTACACTCACAATGCGCAAGAAAATCTGGAGGAATTTTGTTGACAGACACCTAAAATAGGTTGCGGAGCTAAATTTTAATTTCTTGGATCACTCAAGGTCATAAGATGGAGGAGGTCAACAATGTAAAGGGTTTGATAACATCAACGACCGAGTTAAATACAGTCCAAGCATAATGCTCGGATTATAAGAGAATGGTACCCAATCACTGTGTTTAAAGAGGTTGTGGAATGCTCGAAGACATTTCCGTCATTTTTCGGGTATATGTAGCCTAAGGTGTGATGAAATAAAAACGACTATTGTTTCTGTCATAAAATGAGTACAAAAGGTACTTTTGAGAGCTGTTTTTCAAGTCCTGTCATGCCTGTTTTGACCCGAACATGCAATTTGTGTAAAGGTCGTCGTTGCGGGCAGCAAACAAAACACAGTAAATCGTGACGTAATAAACAGGACTCCCGATGCAGAGTAGCATAAACGAGTCCTGTTTATTACGTCACGATTTACTGTGTTTTGTTTGCTGCCCGCAACGACGACTTTTACACAAATTGCACGTTCGGGTTCGAAACAGGACCTGAAAAATAGCTCTCAAAAGTAACCTTTGTACTCATTTCATGACAGAAACAATAGTTGTTATTATTTCATCACACCTTAGGCTACATATACCCAAAAAAATGACGGAAATGTCTTCTAGCATTCCACAACCTCTTTAATGGCGTCCTAATGTGAGCAAGCAGGCCACAAAAAAAAAAGACAAAATATGACTACCTGTCCGGGATACAAGCCGAGATGCTGCTTGAACATTCCGCGACGCCTCGGTAATAGAATCTGATAAGTGAGGGCAAACTCGGCCGTGTTGCCAGGCTTGAGGTTGACTGAAGTGATGAAGGCCTTGCTCTCTGGGTCCCTGTTATAAATGTACAAATACCAAAGAATGTTAGTTGTTCAGATAGAATCATTAACAACAGCTGAAAATTTGACTCATACAAACAGTAGCGTATCCAGCGTTTTATGCCAAGGAGGTAAAAGTAAGACTTTATTGTATCGACGTCTAAAATACTGTTGTTTTTTGTTTCATGAAGCCATCAAAATGCCCCCTCCGCTAGATAAGTCACTGCGTACAAACCTTTTTATGTCTGAGATCATCAAAAGGAGCAAGAAGCCATGTATTCTTTTAGAGGCAAGACAAATGTGTTGCCCTTGCTTGCTATGTGAATCAATGCAGGTGGGCGATACCTCACACATTTACTAGCTGCTGAGATACTTTTTCAACCCCTTACTAATGAAGCATGATGAGTCAAAGTGGACCCTCTACAATTTGTTTGGTTAATAAAAGGGGTACGTTAGTCTCCAAAAGGGTGAAAATTCAATTCGGTTATCAGATGAGTATTGAGCTCATCATCATCATCATTATTGGTCGACTGCAGCTTCACTACTTGTGTCGGGCACGATGACGGGCACGCCACGCGTCCTGTTCCATCATCAGTGTCCCAAGTTCATCTGCAGTCGCGGCGCCACTGTTCTCCATCAGGGCCTTCACCATGGTTTTGTATGGGTGCCCACGATTCATCCTTCCATGGGTTGGTTCCTAGATGATGACTTTGCTAGCGGGCAGTGCCCTGCCAGTCGCATCCGTCCCCCTCCTATCTTGTTGGTCAACTTAGGGAGGTTGCCATAGAGTTGCTCGTTGGTCACTCTCTGCGTCCAGTCGACACTGAAGGCCATCAGGAGCATCCGGGTGTAGCAGCCATCAAGAGACTTGGTCATGGACTTAGTGAGGGTCCCAGTTCGAATGATCTCTATATTGAGCTCAATCTTTTTATACATATGTGTTATATCAAGCCTTACAATAATTTTGGCTGGCAACAACTGTTTAGATATGTTTATTCTTGCTGATTGGCAATTTGCGAAATCAAATGTCTTAAGTATTTTTTCCTTCACTTTAATACAAAACATTCCCTGTACTTACAGTTCAGTAATAAAACCACCGCCCTGCGCAAATTCCAGATCGCCCCGCTGGATCGTCACGTTCTGGCTCTTCTCATCGGCAACACCCTGGTAGCTCTTCCCATCCAAAGTTCTGTTCGATGGGGATAAGCAGACAGTAAAATTAGCTATGAATTTTGGGAAGTCATGTCACGGGCATATTGGTAAAGTGTTAACATGCAAATTCCAAATAATGACTTTTATACGTTGGTATTAGCTCCAAAGTTAAAAAAGGAAAATCAACTGTTCATGGTGATCCAGAATGGTTATTCATTACAAAAATTGTGTTTGTCTCCACATTTATACGTACAAAGTATAGTTGGTGATATACGCTCTTAGAGGAATCTTCTGTCTGAAGACGGCCCATCCCCCCTTACTGCCCGTGTTCTCCATGGTAGAACTGATGGTGGTAGTGGCAAATCTTAAGACAATCTTAGAGTTGACAGTCAAGCTTTTCGTGTCGATACCATCCTGAAAAGCAACAATAAATTCTAATCATATTAAGCTATACAAATATTAGGCCTGCTTTTCCTGAAATGAACGCCAGTTCAGCGATACAGTAAACTTGGTCAATTCTTTCGGGATTTCACCGGCTCTGGTAATCAAGTTAATTTAAATGTTTTTTTTTTTTAAGATACCTCTTTCAGAAAGGACAGAACATGATTATGCTGTTGGCAAAAACAAAACACAGATGAATTTACGTTTTTTTTATCGAACAAAAACTTTAAAATCAAACTTTATCGATTCCTTTTATGTTTTAAATCACTATTATCGATATATCGTTTACTGGGAAAATTATAAAACTTGGTGGGAAAACCACTTTTATATCTTTATACTCACAGAGCTTTTAGTGGCAACGTTAAATTTATCCGGCCTTGGCTCAACACCTGGAATTGGTTGCTTGCCTGTAAAAAAATACATGTAGAATCAACACCCAACATCAATTCCAAATAATGCTTACACTTAGGGACCGTGACCATTCAGCCCTGGTATGAACAGGGCCCCCGGTACCTCGTCCGGTCCAAAGCCAGTCCGGTCTTCAGCCCAGTCTCGTCCGGTACATGGTCCTGTCTGACCAGAAGTTTTGAAGTCAGTCAGGCGCATCAATTTATTGCCCTTTGGAGAACGGCCAGTGCAGAACAATAGCAGACTTACCGGATTAAAGATAAAATCCTTCCAAACGCCTTGGTAATTTACGGTCCCATTGTGCGCGAAACCGCATGGCAGGGGTTTTGATCTGTGCCGACGAAAGTGTTCTATTGTTTCGCGCTGAGAGATGAAAACCACAAGCAGGTTTCTTCTGCGATATATTACATGTGTCAATACTTGCAAACAATAGACCACAGGATAGAGGAGTTCCTGATTAGCAACCGGACCAGCTCCTAGGCCGGTAGCTGGGACGGTACGAAAGGACTTCTTGGGAGGGGACGAGCTTACCGGGGGGCCCTGTTCATAGAGGGGCTGAATGGTCACAGGCCCTTAGTATTGGTCTAATACTTTGATATCACGGCAGTATAGTTTAAATGGATTGAAACTTGTATAAAAGTAGCAATTGATACAAATAAATCTCTGTCCTGTTTGGTAACACATACCACCTCACTATGTTTAATTTGTCAAATTTCAAAGATGCTAACTACACAACAGCATACTTCTTTCTAAACAGCAAAGACCCTGCTACTATTTTCTAAAATGAAGGAAGATAGTGTGGTGTCTCGGTGCAACCTAGCATTTGAATAGCAATAATTCTTGTGCATGCTAGAGAGTGACAAGCGAATATCCAAAACGGATTCGTAACCTACCTGGTAAGTCTTCTAGCAGACTCCGCAAGATGTCCATGGTAGTACCAGTGTGCAGGATGGAGGGTGGGGGAAGACTGTTGTCCACAAGGGGCTGGTCGTTGTCTGGGTCGGTCAGGAGCATTGGAGTCAGTGGAGTCACAAAGTTATACCTAAAAAAAACCAGCACAAGACCATGGCAGCTGTCATCACACTTTGCTTTTTTTTGTGGTTCTAAACACTGAAACTACTTAACGTTGGAGTTTTTTCAAATTGTTGTTTTTGTCAAGTTGGATATCAGACTGTTGGATAGATTAGCTGGTAGCACACCAATTGGACGTCCTGGAGTTTGCAGGTACAATTTCTATTGTTATCAACATCTTTGGTCATCATCCTTCCACTGAAGAAACTTTTTAGCAGAATCAAAAAGTTTGCAGGAGTCATGTACAATGTGTAGGCACTTTCCAATGTGTGTACGAGATACACCTTTAAGGAGTTTAATAACTAGTTAAAGGCTCTGCACTCTATTCGTGTATAGTTTCAGAAAGTGAATGAATCTGCAGTGATACAGCATCATCACGAAGGTCCTTAACCTAATAAAGAATATTATGATGCGACCAAGCTAAATAAGTCGTTTACTGACCCTTGGTCAATTTTTTTTTTACAGATTTGAAAAGAGCACAATCTTAGCATTACTGCTGTGAAAACCACATGCGGGTACCATCTTTAGTTAAAAAATTATGGAAGTCGGAACACCAAGAAATGTGATGAAGTGGCCCTATTCTGGCCTGAGTCTCCAAATGAAAATTACCGACAAACGACTCATGTAGCCTGATTGCATCACAAATCTATATGGTGGGGCGCTGTGGTCCAATGGTTACGGTGTTCGACTCGTGTGCCGTGGTGCATGGGTTCGAATCCTGACCGTGGGAACATGGTGCTTGTGCTCTTGAGCAAGGCACTTTACCATTATTGCTTCGTCCTTCGGATGGGACGTAAAGCCGTAGGTCCCGTGTGTTGTGTAATGCACGTTAAAGAACCCAGTAACACTTATCGCTAAGAGAAGGGGTTTGCCCTGGTGTTTCTGGCAGTGGCTGCAATGTGCGCCGCAGCACCTTGTAAACCATTATAAGGTGCTACATAATGGGTCTCATATTTCTCATCAACTTTATTTACCTTTCTTTAATAATTGACATAATTTCCAGCGCCTTGAGTACCTAATTGTTGGTAGATACGTGCGCTATATAAGACTCCATTATTATTCTTTTGGATTGGGGAAAAAATATCTAATAAATCTGGTCCCTTCCTGCATCCAGCCATCTAAGACTAGAAAAAACACCAAAGAACAACATAATGACAGTAACTGATATAAACATTTTCCAAAACTGTATGGTTATGAATAAAGGAGACATCCCAAAGAACCATGTAATTAAAGCTAAGCGGTAATTGTCCTAACCTTGTGGCGAGCAGGGCGATTCTATCAGCCAGCGCCCGGCGTGCGGCTGGGTTCTCTGTGATGGCATACTGGTTGATCAGGTCCTGGATGGTCTTCATCACCCAGATGCGCTCAACCACCTTCGGTACTGTGTGGTCCTGGGTCAGCTCAGGGGCTGCGATCTGGATGAGGGTGGGATATACAGGGGTTTTTTTTCGGTGTTATTCTTGCATGCTCATGAGACGATTACGTATGATTTTTATCACAAAAAGTATATCAAATTAGGTTTTGCACCGACGTATAAACACTGTATACTCCAACTTTATACTTCCAATTGTATAAAAGTTGGAAAAAATCACTCGGGTAGGACTCAAACCCACGAACTCCTGCTTTCTAGTGCAGATGTCTTACCACTCGACCACCGAGCTAACGGGATCGGTTGGCTGCTTCAAATCTGATGTACATAGCAGCGGGTACCGCATGAACTATTCATAAGATGGAACTTTTGCGTCGGGATGATGTAAATCAAATTAGGTTTTGCACTTCACTGATGTATAAACACTGTATACTCAGTGTGTTACCTCCCGAGTGAAAGTTGGGAAAAATCACTCGGGTGGGACTCGAACCCACGAACTCCTGCTTTCTAGTGAAGATGTCTTACTACTCGACCACTGAGCTAACGGGATCGGTTGGATAAAAAGTGTTCTAAAATTGTGCTGGTATTTTGCTATTGAGGGGCTACACAAGGCCGGATGACTGTAATTAAATGACCATTCACTCTTCGACATCAAAACAGAGTTGAATCAGCTGTACAACAGAATAGTCTCGTCAACTTTGATATATTGAAATTGCACTGAAAATTTGCTTTAAATTTAACCCTGCCGGACGCAACACAGTGCATCAGGTGGAAAAGTCTGGTGCACTTGTGTCCTACTGTGTTCAGGGACCACAGACTCTGAGGCAGTGTGGCCTTGAGACTTTTTGCCTGATGGATCTTGCTACTCTGGGCAGGCTTGTCACTTTAATAGACAAGTGTTGCATGCTGCTGCGTTTGGCAGGGTTTCTAGCCTAAATATCCTGGAGGGTTAGGGTTAACAGGGCGCAACACAATATGGGGCCAGACTTAACCCATGACCCGATGTTCATTTGCATCAAATATGACTTCATAGGGATACCTGCTCTACAGAGAACCAACCAATAACAAGAAACTCGAATATCAAGAGAGTTTGCAGGCAATATACAACTGTCCCTGTTACAAAGAGATTCATAGAGAGATTCTCTTTGAGACACTAGCCTACATGTCCCAATACGTGCCTCAGTACTTTGGAGAAGTACACTTAAAAGAGTGTACGTCAGTATACTGAAAATGTCATGCATAAGGTGGAATGAAGAGATTAGGAAAAATCGCAAAAGTCAACCTCCAGAGAATAATAATGTCAACCCTAACTCATTAGGCCTGTTTGCTAGGATGTAGTCTCAATCCTGCGAAATCCTCCAATTGGCCTCATGGAAAAATAGCATGTTTAGCCTTAATCCTGCAAATTCCTCCATTATTTCTAGAATATGGTCCGTGGAGGGGTGACCACTGCCTGAATACTGCAAAACCCTGCAGCAGTGACTGTCAATATGTTGTGGCTTAGCCAGTGACATCCTGGAGCAGTAACGAGGATTTGAAGCATAATCCATGCAGGCCTTCACAATGCATGGCTGAGCAAAAACAACACAAGGTCCGACCCAAGTAACGCAATTTTGCCATGTAACCTCAATCCTCCAAATTCCTCCACTCTGGCAAAAAGAGGATTTTGAAGGATTCAGGGCGGTTAGGGTTGAAGGTGCACAAGCCTTCGAGTAGCGTTCTCACCCTAATATCCTTCCTTGTGTTGCGGTACAGCTCTCCTGTCGCGGTCTGCCCGTGCACGCTGCCTTCCAGCGTAGTAGAGCTAGGATTCTCGTACAGCTTCCCCGCCACAGACACCTCCGACCCATCAAAGTAGTACGGAAATCGCCAGGACGTCAACTCCTCTGGGTTCGACACCGCGGACTCGTAGACCATTTCCACGTCGAAGACGACCGGCCGAGAAACCTCGAAGTAAAACCTATTGGAAACAGGAGTCGATTGATAAGATTCTTGACTTGAGAATTTTTAAGTAACTTATTCCACAACAATTCAAAATAATATTAGTGTATATTGTGCACATCCTTATGAGTTTAATCTAAGAAGGCCAGTCAATATTTAAACTTTTATGGGAAATTGATGTTGAAATAAAGTAGATGGAATTGTTCTAAATTAACTGGACTGAGTGAAGTGAAAGACTGGAATTAACGGACCGTTAGTGATTGTGAAACAGTTGTTTATTAGAGTAGAGTCTACATGGTGCAACATATGATTTCATTGTTTCTAAATTAATATAGATGAATACCAACATCTTATAACAATAACCTAGTCACTTCTTGCATTCTGAGAAACTTCAATGTCAAAACAATAATATACGAATGATTTTTTTTGCAAAGAATATTAAAATAACTTATGCATTAAAATAATAGACATTTTAAATTGAATGTAGACACAACTGGAAGCTTCATGGATGCAGTTAAATAACCTATCCAAATAACACTGAGTATGCAGCAGTGTTGTAGTACTTGTATTTGGTAATTGTACTCCAGTACTACTCGAGTACTTTTTTTGGAGTACTCGTACTCGGACTCGAATGTCAAAGTACTCGTACTCGAAATGACGGTACTCGTACTCGGGCAGCAAAGTACTCATACTCGAATAGTAGTACTCGGGGGGAAATGGTGTAGCTTGACTATATACCAGGCCTTATTTTATCGATACTTTCAGTTTGAAATGGTTGATTGGCTTGTGGAGAAATCAAAGTTTCCTGATTTTCATCTGTGCACGTCCGGACAAACACATTTAACAGCCAGCCGTGAGTGGGTCTGTTTGACTGGGCCTGGGCCAATTACGCACAATGAACCATTTGCCGTATGGCCTTATTCGGAAATACAAGTACTTGTACTCGAACTCATACTTGGAAGTACAGTACTCGTACTCATACTCGTAAGTACAAGTACTCGTACTCGGAGACCTGTTCTTTTACTCGGAGGTACAAGTACTCGTACTCGGCAACCTAAGTACTCGGCAGTACTTGGTACTCGGAAAAAAATACTTGACTAAAACTGACTGAAAGTTGTACAGTTGTTAAATTCAATCAAAAATTAATGTTTATTTATTCATCCAGAATGTCTCAAAATCTGCACCAAAATGAAACAATGATATTAGCATTGTCTTTAATAAGTTGAGTCGTCGGCATCCTTCGATCTCGTGAGATCATGGATCTGCGCCTGGAAGGTAGAGACTATATCATCAGCTTGTGCTGGAACATCGCCTGCCATTACAAACAGTTTGTACACGGTGAGTCGCAACACGAACAGCAGTATTAAACTTTACTAAGTCAGTTATTGATTACGTGAAGTGCGTGTGGAACGGTTATTGTCACAGCAATTGCGTTTATCCCTTGCATGTGTGTATACGCCGTGTGTGTCAGTACAAGTCTACCATAGCCTGATCGCGCGGGCGCGCACGCGTTGAGTTGTTACTTTTGTAACAACACAGTGGGGGAGCGTAGCAAAATGATGTTCGCCGTATTTTATGGCAGCCAAAGGACTGTTGAGTAGACAAATTTGTTTGGTCCTTGGAACGGGGTCTTAATTTTACCAACTGCATTGAATGACCGATCAAAATGAAGCTTACAAAATCCTCTTTACAGTGCCAAGTGTGCATTTATTACTTGGAGTAACGGGGCGTCATGAATCCGGGAACTTTCAGTGCAGTACGCACACCGCGGTAGCCCGCCGGTCACGCTGTCAATTGCGTGCGAATCTCCGTAGCTCATTCTGCTGATAGTCCAAATGTGCGTGTTGTCACAAGTAGAGAAATGTACCAGGTACGGATGTATGGTTGTTCATTTTGTAAAACTTTTCCTACAGAATGTTTAAGTAGTATATCTTCTAGTTTAAACTTGGTGTGCATTAATCTGAAAGTCTTGGAAACAGCCGTGAGGCCGTCTTTTTCTTTGCTTTGTGTAGAATCGCTATGGAGTAGAGCGCGTCGTGTTCATGCCACTACATGTACACGCGCGTGGTTGTCTATGGAAGATGCGACTGAACTGTTTGTAATGCTGTGGCTACATGTATAAAGGCCGATACGGAAGTAAGTTGTAGATTGAGAAATGATACTAAAAAAATGCTACCAACCGCTGCAGCTGCTCGCTAGCATCGGCCGTCTCGTAGATCCTCCTGGTGTTGCCCCGGTTCTGGAGGCCCAGCTGGATCAGGAGGTCAAAGGAGACGTTGCGACCGAAGCCCAGGCAGAACAGCGCGTGCTTTCTGTTGATGGCCGTGTTGACGGTCCGGACCAACTCGTCTGGATCCTTGACCCCAATGGTGGGCTGCCCGTCAGTCAGGACGTACATCATGGACAGGATGTTTTGGTCTTCGCCAAAGGAGCCAGACTGAAGGTCAAGGAGATTGTCAGCTTGTATGATGGCTTCAGCCAGGTTGGTTTCTGTAAGTCGATGTTGGAATGGTAAAATAGTTAGCTTCGATGGAAAAATACCTCTGACGAAAATCATAACGGCAAGACGCCAACAGTATGGTTTTTCAGGTTAAACTTACACTCCAAGCTCAATACAGTAAAAAATATTGACATCGGTCGTTCATTAATTTGGAATGAAAGAGCAAACTGTTTCAAAGCTGAGGTCGTACAGATCACACAAAAAAGGAATAACAGATCAGTTTCAAAATAAATTGATTGGGCCAACCTAATTGTGGTGTGATCAAGCTAAATGAGTCGTTTGTCGACCCTGGTCAATTTTTTTTTACAGATTTGAAAAGAGCACAATCTCAGCATTACCGCTGTGAAAACTGCACGCTGGTACCATCTTTAGTTCAAAAATTATGGAAGTTGGAACACCAAAAGATGTGATGAAGTGATGTGATGAAGTGGCCCTACTTTGGCCTGAAACTTCAAATGAAAGTTCCAGACGAACAACTCATTTAGCTTGATCGCATCACAAGTTATGAATGATGATGAATAATAAACTATGTTGAATGTCTTTCAGATAATGAGTGCACTATGACTGCTCTATTAAAGGTACTGTATCTTGGTAGAAGTTTGTGGAAAATGAACGAAGAGAGGTGGTTTTAAGAGGTAGGTCAGCCCATAAATAGGGGGTCCAAAAGTGTGACATTTTTGTGTCCCTATTACACCTGACCTTTGTAATGTGTCATACAAGTATCATCAAAATTAATCTCAATTAACTAGTTTTTAATTGTTTTTGAGTACTTTGTTTTCGAGTACTTAACTACAGAATCACTCTTAGAGATACAAGGAATTAAAGAACGTGCCCTAAATTTTAAAAATCTCATATCAGATGTAGCTGGGACACGGGGGACAATGGACGCCAAATTTATGGATTGACCATAGACATATAATAAAACCTAGACATGACATTATCTGCTTTTACGTTGTAAATTCTGTGAGCAAAACGGGCTGCGTCACGCGGCCTGGCGTGAATAATCATGTGGCTTCGATTCACGCGCATACTTCATACGCATACCATGTTGTTCAGGCCAGCGGTACGGAGCCGCCAACGCACTTGTGCACCACTTAGTTGTTTGTTTTCCACATGCGTGCGGGACCAAACGATTCCAAATAACGCGCGCAGTGAGACCGCTCTCATCATGGGCGTGACGCGTCACGCCAATAATGAGCGTTCGCGTAATTAACATTATTCTATACGCTTAGCATTTTGCTCACAGGCGCAATAGCAAATGTCGTGTCTAGGTTTTATTATATGTCTATGGGATTGACCCAGTACCAGAAAATGAATGGAAAATCTATATTTTAAAAAACAGAAAACTAATATGGTTTATATGATGTATCTTGTTTTCTTAAGGAATGCAAGCAATGGATTGTACCTCCTTGGTCTATCAAATCATCTACAAACAGCTTCGCATCGTTGATATTCCTCCGCGTGGCCTGCACCAGCGCGTTGCGTCTCCAGTACTGAACGTCGTCGGAGAAGACCAAGATATTGAAGCGATCCTTGGGGCCCAAGTCGTCCAGGATGATCTTGAGTGCTTCCTTGACCTGGCGGAGCTTGGTGCCGGCCATAGAGCCACTCACGTCGATGACGAACACCACGTGCTTGGCGGCGTGTTGGAGCGTCGTTGGCGAGAAGAAATGGGCAAAGTAGCCATCTTGGACCTGTAAGACGATTCACGCATCAATGTAATATGTTGTCTTCATTAAGGATTAGTTTTGAACTACACAAAGCTAAAACTCCTTGTAAGCCTAAAATGAATGTCATGGATCAGGCAAATCCTTCTCTCAGGAGCCAGTGTTTACATTTGGCCAAAAAAAAGTCTCCGGTTTCTGGTATGCGTGCGTCGCCGTAGCCATGCATGTACATGTAGGCAAAATGAAAAAGGTTTTTTTTCAATGAAAGATGATGTCTCAAAACCGCCAAACTCACTGGTTTGACTGGAATCCTGCTGCTGCACAATTTTAACGTGTTTTAGATGGGGTTACGATCGAGAATAAGCTTTATGTGGCCTCTCTGGACTCCCATATGCACTCAGTTTAGTCGGGCACCATTTGCAGTCATTAGAAGACATTTGAAGAAGAAAAAATGGTAAAAAAAAAAAAAACCTGTGGCCGCACCACTTTTTGGGCAAGCTCCATACCAGAAACCAAAGACTTTTTTTGGGCCTTTTCAGAGTAAACAAATGATACTAAGTTCAACAGGAAGCATCGAGCCTTCATTTTGAATACCATCTGGAGATTAAAATTGCTTGGAGGACAATTCAACTTTGGAGATAAGTTTGTGAATACGTCGAGCAACTAACGTTTAAAGAAATGGTACAGGGGAAAACCTGAGAGTTAAAGCTTATGTTTCGGTCAGTATCCTCTGAGAAATAAATGTTTGTTATTGACATGCCTTAATTTGAACACGAACAATTTAAATACTCTTTTAAATATCAAACCAATACTCGCCGGGGATAAAGTAAAGATTCCAAGCTTTAAAATAGTATAAAATAATAGCGGTACGTGTTTCCACGCCGACTCTAGAGCCTTGCTAAAAAATGTTGCGGGTATTTTGGGAAGTGCTGAACAGGTGAAGCACTATAACTGTAGGCGTACCTCTACATAGCTCCCCTCCCTGGAGTGGATGACGTCATATTCCAAAACGACATCCCCTGCCATTCCGTCGGGTGTGAATGTCAGTTGATCGGTGGCTGATGGAGCATAGTGCATGTGGGCTCTGTAGTCACTGCTACGTCGGATCAAACTCTGCCGTGTTCAAAACAAAATCAGAGTTACATTATACAATACGGTACTACATGATACTTTAATACAGGGGTACACACCTGTAAATAGGCCTAAAACCCATCCGCCGAGCTCATGAATGAAAGTTTACCCTCAAAATATTCTACATGTATATTAGGGGCTTATTCACGAATCGGCCATTATTGCACTGAGAGTGAGGTAAAATCTTTATTTTTGGAACTTGTGTAGAGAAATGAAAGCAATGACATTAATACCAGTCTGCTCTGATGAATAATTTAGAAATTGTGATGAAACATACGGTACCCTAATGTTTTAAGCCACATTGTAAAACAAAATTAAAGTGACGCTTTAGAAAATAAATAGTCTGGCACCGTCCCATTCAACAGTTCACAATTTATGAAATACATTCAGGGAGCACGACAAGAATGGTTGACTTGTGCATAAGGATCATGCTAGAGAATGCCTAGCAGATAGACAGGTATAGCTCTCTAAAGCTGAACGAGTGAAAACCACTCTATATAAGAGCCCTATTGGGGGCAACTCTTTTCGAGTGGTTTTTCAGTATTTTCGAGTCGTTTCTCACTCTTTTAGAGGGAAGTTTGCATCTTGCTTTAGTGGTTTTTCACTATGGCACAGAGTGAAAAATAACTCTGAAAAAGTTAATTAACTTCCACTCTTTTCAAAGAGCCATATGAAGGACTACATGTACTTCGAGTAGTTTTTCACAAAGGGAAATTGCTTGTTTCATTAAAGCATCGAAATAAATATCGATTCACTGATTTTTCAAATCGACAGAAAACTTGACTGTTTAGGGATTATTTGGCCTTATTTCAGTATTTTGTATGAAGTGGATACAATGCCACAAAATTCTATTACTATTTTATAAATCGCCTCCATAATAAAATAATGCATTTTTATGAGTGTCTTGTTTCAAAAGAATGCCTCCTACAAATGGACGTTTTTGATTTACCCGCAGATCCTCCTCGTCCGTTTCCGAGGCCCGCGGTGCGTACTTGAGGAACATATCGCTGATGCCCTGCGGCTCGGTGATGTAGATGTCCAGCTGCAGGTCTTCCACGGCCTGGCCCGGCCAGATGTTGACTCGGTGCTCGAAGACGCCACGTCTCCTCTCCAGTAGCTCGTCGTAGGTCAGGTCAAAGGTCACGGTGGACTCCGGGGCCACGCCCAGCACACGCATCATCAACGTGTCTTTGGTAGGATCCCTGATGGGAGTATACATTTTGTTTGGTACTTTTAACTAAGCCAATTTTGTAATTAAGCATGACATTTGTAATGTATTTACAAAATAAAACATGTACACTTCTGCATTGTTTTGGGAAGTAGCAGATCTAGCCCCCCCCCCCCCCACCAGCTTCCCGTTCAACCGCTGACTTATGTTATGAATCTATAGTAAAATGCAGCCTTGACTCCATGGGCGCGCGCACTTTCCTTCACTAACCCCTGGCCGTGAGGAATACGTTAACGACGCTGACCGGCTATTCAGAGCGTACTGCATGCGTATTTGGAAGACAGCACGCCCTATATACGCTCATGTGATATGTCCTGCGCGTCAGGTTACGTACAGACATTTATTTCAAAACTGCGCGATAAATGAACGATATGGACTGTGGATGCATCGTTTCCCTCCCCCCTCCCAAAAAAAACTGTATCTTGTGTTGCAAAGGGACAACAGAAGTACGTACATTTAATATAAATCCTTAATAAATAACGCCGCATGAAAATCACGTTTGAAAGGAATGATTCTACCCAACATAAAATTAATTTTTTTTTAGCACTACAGTGTCACACGTTAGATACATCCACTACTTGTGTGCCACTATTTGGAACGTTTAAATTACACAATTCTAGGGGCTATGATCGCGCAAGGCATGATAAGAAACAACAAGGCGCAGCAAGATCGTACCCAATGAGGTTGAGGAAAGTGGTCAAAATTTATCAATAGAATGTTAAAGTTCCTTAATGTATTCTTGAATTGCCTTAGAATGCATGAGAAATCATTGTAAATTCCATAATATTCCGGGGGGACATGCCTCGGAATCACCCCCCCCCCCCTCATTTCTTGAAAGCAAGATCCGCCCCTGACCGCGGATAAAACTGACATCTTAATGGAAGAAATTATCCTGAAATTGATAAAATATTGCGTTACTGATTAAATAGCAAAATGAATCAGTATAACTATAAAAGATGTATGTGACAAACATGTGCATCTTCCACAGCAGATCGTTTCAAGGACTAAAAAGGCACAAGAACAAGAAGCGGTGGTAAAAAAAAAATAGAGGAAAAAACAAAGATACATGTAGTACAAAAATGATAACAGATTATCTTAGTGACTGTAAATTTGGTATAAAAATATACATGTAATACCGTTTAGTCACCAGCACCACCTGCCGCCCGTCTGTACTTGAAGCAAAAGCCAACTGCCAGTCTGGGTTCCGGATGTCTTCTACTTTGCCTGTGTATGTCTTCCCATTCAGCTCACTTCAAATAAAAGTACGTTGATTTCATATTCATAAAAACCTAAGAAACTGTTTACCCATTCCTATTAGTCGAGAGCCCATCATGTGGTTGGTCTCAAAAGGATGATAAAGACATGGCTAGCCATTCTTAAACACTTTTATAATGTCACGTGAAATATGGACTCCTAAAAATCCAGTGCCAGCTCTTACCGTTTTTTTTTGGTTGAACGATCCAAATCCTCACGTAGTCATGCGTAATACTACCAGTGAGTCAGTATCTGGTCAGTATTTTATAGTCCTAAATTCACAACGCAATTATGCCCCAGGTGCATTCTGCGCGACATCGCGCAGTACGTGCGACGCACGCGTCAATCTCCATAAAAGGAGTTGTTTACATCTTACTCGCGAGCTGGACACTCCATTGTTTAGCTAGAGGGGTGTTTCAAAAACATGAAGTGAACTTGTTGAACAAAATTGGGGTTTGTTGACCGAAAAGTTTTGATTTTATTTTTACCGAAAAGGTATTTATGAATGGGAATACATATGTGCTTGGTCGGTATTAATCACTCTGTTTAAGACTGCATGGAGCCGCTTGGAGTCTGGGTGCTGATAATTACCCGAGGCGAATATCAACACCCAGACTCCAAGCGGTCTGAAACAGAGTGATTAAAACCTGCCAAGCACACATTTATTCCCTTATTAATGAATGGAGGGTTCTTATACCATGTTCCCCAGGACTCAAGTTAGATCAGAGTCAAACGCAGCAGTCACGTAAAGATTCGAGTCCCTATTAATGTTACGAGCCCCACAACTCAAAATCGAAAAATCTTACAGTTCAAGTTTTGCACACTGCCAGATGCCATCAGTGTACAAAAATCCCGGTAAAGTACCACCAGCATTATCATTGAAATTTTGGATTATTTGATGTTTTATGACTTACACGGAGAAGTCGGAGATGAAAGCACCGGGCGGGATATGCAGCGTGAAAGGCACGTCTTGCCGGTCGGCTGCCCGGTTGGCCACCTCGCCGGTCACGGTGGTCCTAGCATACCGGTCGGTGATCAGGGACTCGATGTGCAGTCTTTCCAAGTTTATCAGTATCTGTTGGAAAATAAAGTTAAAACAGTGGTAGGAATGATCACAATGGTAAATGTTAAATTCATCTTTTCCTTCAACATTTGGTCAAAGCTTCGCTGACTAACCTGACTTCAATCCTCTTTAATACCAAGAAGAACACCAGACAATGGCAGGGAATATCAAACGACAAGGATTAACGATCAAGTTCTTAAAATATATAGTAAATAGGGATGACATATGTGGATAATGTTCTTGGCCGGTGACTGTGATAAGTACATGCTTTGGAATTTAGGGATGAAACTTTGTATGCGAGTGGTGGAGTGTGGCCTAGTGGTTATTAGGTTTTGCGACTCATGATCAGAGGGTCAGGGGTTCGAATCCAGCTGCTGGCCATATGTTGTGTCCTTGGGCAAGCCACTTCATCCCCACTTGCCTCTCTCCACCCAGGAGTATGAATGGGGACCAGCATTAGCTGGGGAGTAACCTGTGATGGACTCACATCCCATCCAGGGAGAATAGAAATATTGTCAGTCATTTCATGCCACTGAAACCGGAGATAAATACCGGCCTGATGGGCAACATTCATGACACTGGCTCATGACAGACTTTACTTTACTTTGCTTTTCTTTTACTTTAACTATACTCTGTATGTGAATCTCTTATGTGAGTTGTATCTGGCCAACTTGACTTCTTGAACAGTGTGCTCTATGCACCGTCAGATGGTTTAATTTCTGAAAAGATTATGAAAGGTAAGACTATTAAATTAATGTGGGCACGTGTGGTCTAGCGGTGGAGCACAGGATTCATGTTCGTGAGGTTGTGGGTTCGAGCCCCATCGTGGACATGCGTTTATAGTGCCCTTGAGTAAGGCGCTTTACCTCAATTACCCCTCTCAACCCAGGTGTTAAATGGGTACCTGCATTGTTCAATGCTGGGAAGGTAACAGACTCGTTGTGGAGGAGGTGTGGCATCTCCCCACAGCAGCATATGAGTCTGGCCCAATCGCTAACGAAAGAGAGATGGGCAGTCAATTCCTGTTAACACAGGTTCGCCCCCTTTACCTTTACTTTTTTTTAATTAAATTAATTACATAGTCACTGTTTATCTCTGAACAGTCTTCCTGAAATAAGGCTACTTACATCTGGGGTAGTTCCGATGTTTAAATCAGCGCACGCACTGCCTCCTATCCCAAAGGTGCTATCGCTCTGGCCCCTCTGCCCGTACACGGGTCCCTGGATGCCCCACTGAAGCCCCGGCGGGACGGCCACAGCACTGCCGCCGTCCTGGCCTGGCGGAGAGTCAACGAATGTCATGGTCATGAGCGGAGTCAGCAGGTTGTACTGCTGGGACAACTCCAGCGACTTGGCTATGATCACCCGCTGCTCGTTGAGATCGTTGGACACCGTGTACTGGTTGAAGAGCTGGGCCAGCGAGATGAAGGCGGCCGTGCGCTCGGCGAAGCCTTCAGGGACGTTCTCCGAGTTGATCAGGACCGCTGGTTTCGTCTGTAAAAATGTGAATACATGGCAAAATCTGAACAACTGCACTATCTACTCTAGCATCCAATTCACTGAACATAATAAAAATGTGTGAGTGTGCATGGTATATACGTATTGCAGAGAGGCAGTGCAATTGTGCTGATACATGTGCAAGCTAACGAACAAAGTGCACCTCCCAATAACTCCCAGCAAACCCCTGAACCCAATACTAGCCATTTGAGACTGTGCTAAATCACATGATTTGGGGCAAGCCTTATGCAAGCAAACCCCCAGCTCCGGAATGGTCTAGTATCTTTGTGCCATTCTCACCCACTGTGAGCAATGTATTGATGCTGAGCGTCTTTTACATAACTACGCAAGAGCTTGCCCCAAATCATGTAATATAGAAACAGTGTAAAATTTGGTCTTCAGAATTCGAAGTTAAAACGTGCCAAGAATTTTGAGCAATTCAGTGTACCAGATATAAATTCAAATGTAACTCGCAAAGGGTATAGGTTATTTGCAAATGGCTTATTAGAAGCCCTTTGCTTATAAACAAAAAGCAATGGCCTTCCATTTCATTCCAGAGCACACATCTTCAACAAAATCTACGAAAGCAAGCACAAGCTAGGCAGGAAAAGCAAAGATGTGGTTGCTTTTTGAAATGTGCAAGGAACTAGAAGCCACACTCTAAAAAGTCGCATGTCAGACTTGACCCAGGACCCGGGGTCCTTTATGACCTGCTAGTTTTCAGGGTCAAAATGATACTTTTTTGGATCGAAACGATTTCAAGGTTCAAAGGATCTGTTAAAAAAATGCTCCAGAGAGTGTCATTTGACCCAGAGAGTGTAATTTTGACCCAAAAATATATCCGTTCAAGTAGGAGCCAGATTCTGGGGGAAAATCTGACCCAGGTCTTTTTGGAGTGCACGTACATGTATAAAACAACAAGCGCAAACAAAAATCATGTTCTTCAGGCTACAGCATAACATGAATTTATACTGGCCGTCAGGCGACAAAGAATTGATAACTGAGTCGACACTGAAGATCCCAGCTACATGTACTTGTGAAGCTGTCTGCGTGAAATCGCTGGAAAGAAACTCTGTGTACAGAGGCAATTCACTCTCCGATAATCACACAACTGGACAACCTCCTTTGAAAATATGGATGGGAGTCTGCAATGTAATTCATTTCAGTCATTTTTATTCCAAAGAGTTTATTCATATGGGCTTTGTGCACAAGTACTCCTTCAACGGTCAGAAAAAAAGAGTCGGGGGAGACCTATAGACTGGTTCCCGTTCCATCCATTGGTATTTCGAATGATCCAAAAATATTGGGATGGGGATTAGTCTGGGAGACTATCGCAAGTTAAATTTGAACGTATTCGCGCCGACGAAGCCTGACGCTCACGCGAAGACGCTGTGGCTAATAGCTCTGGCACATTCAGGAAGTCATGCATTCTTCGCGCGCAAACCAGAATAGTACAGTACGCACATGCTGTGTGCCCGTCCATAGAGCTCTTAAAAGTCGTAAAAACGCGCCCTCTTTTGTTGGCGCACGAAGCCCATAGGAAGAGTTGTAAAACTTATGTTGGTTATACCTGTTGGTGAGATTTTCTTGAATGGACTAAAAATGAAAGATGTAAACCTTCTAAAGTGCACAGTAATTCGGTGTCTCACCAATATATTTCAATGGCTCTATTGTGACACCAATATATTTCAAGATACCTATTAGTACCGACCATCTCTAAGGGAATAATAACTGATTCTGAAAGCTGTTAACAAATTGAGTTTTCTCCCAAGACGAAAAAAAAATACACATCACATCAAGTACCAAATGAAATGATAAGTGATTTGGTGCTTTTTTTGTTTGTTGACACTGATAGTCTTCTCAGTGAAACTTACATTTGCAATGGGCACGTACTCCTCAATGGTGATCTCCCCGGTCGCGCTGATGGCCGTGATTCGGATGGGCAGGTTGGCGGCCAGCAGGTTTGCCAGCCGACCGCTGATGGCGAACTCGGATCCCTCGAAGTAGTTCTGGAAGACGGTCTGAGTCAGCGAGTCCTCGCTGACCACGTTGCCAAGATACTCGATGGCTACGTTGACAAGGAGGGGCGTGGCTACCTCATCGTACACACCTGTGAGTCAGAAAGAAACCGTGCTTTGTACCGGTAACTCAGCTTATTATTATTTTAGATTTAACGAAGCGCTGCGACGCAACTCGAGTTACGACGTGTAACACGTCGCAACTCGCGACGCGTCGTATAATCCATTTCACAAAAGATGAGTTGAACGCGTCATAAGTTCCTTGACAACAGCTTAAAACATGTCGCAAGTTAGGAAGTGTCTAGTGGTCATTGCAAAACAAGAAGCGTCCTTTTCTTCACCAGTTTTATGCCATAAACATTACATAAACGAGATTATAATACCGAGGCAATGTGTGTACAGTTGTAAATAGAAAATTCATTGAGCAATCATGAATCAGCCTGGAATATTGCAGTTGAAATTTCGAAGTAGCTATACAGTCCACTGAGAGCTTGTTTTCCTTTAAATTTGCATCACATGGCCGCCATTTTGTTTTACGTTTTAACAAATTTTGAGCGGAGATCCGAAGACTCTTTGTTGAATATCAGACGACTATTTACTGTACGCTGATTAAATACATAAAACAGTCACTGAGTTGTGCTATAAATACACCTGTACATGTACGACGCGTCGCACTTACGACGTGTTTTGTGAAATGAATCGCAGGATGTGTCGCAGCTGCGATGCATCGTAGGGATACGATGCGTCGCAGCACTGCGATGCATCATAAGTTACAATGAGATTCATGAAATCGGGTGCAGGGCTGGTATCTCAAGAATTTCACTTAAAACCATAAGTATTTTTTTGCTAGATCAGTACCAATATTATTAGAAAACACATTTACAACTTAAATGAAAAGGACTGTTCATCTTGAAACACTTAAATTTATGAAGCATATTTGTGACCCGCTCCGCAAAAATGAGTCTGTTGTGGCAAAACTGTCATTTTGAGTTAACTACATTAATAAAATGGGAATGAAATAAGCTTTCATTTGGTATATCACGGACCTCTCTAGGACATTTGGTTGCATTGTTGTGCTTGTTTCATTCTGAAAAGTTTTTGCAAAGCTAGAAGTGTCTCAATGGAGAAAAAAGGCTTTGAAAAATGTCAAATACACTGTAACTAACCAAGAAAAGCACCAAAGATTCATAATTTTTTTTCTTTTTCTTACAATATTTACATTTCTGTGTAAGATATTTGAACTAAAACTATCAAACAACCAAAATAAAACAAAAACAAAAAATCAAAATTTTGAGCAAATTTTTACTGTTTCCATTTCAAAATGGCAAAAGCTTGAATTCAAATTATGCGACATCAGACTCATTTTTGCAGAGCGGGTCACATTTAGACCTTCCCTGTGCGATGTGTTTATAATTACAGAACACAATTTTTAATACAAAGATTGACATAAGTCATAAAAATACGACCGCTTTAATTTTTCAATTGGCACATCAAGGACATTTGTTGTTGATAATTATAAGAACAGTGTGAAAAAGGATCAACAAACAAGTTCAATTTCCGTGTACACTGATATTTAGATCATCAACGGTGCTTATTTCAAAATAAAAAAAAACGGTGCTTATATCAATACCCAGATAGCCTAACCAACATAATCCGAAGGAAATAACAAAGATGTGGTCAAGTTTTTTGTGGTCAAGTCCGTCCATAAGTTTTTTTAAATTGTTTTTTAGGGTATATAAAATCTGGCAAAACTACATGTTTGAGACTCACCAATGAGCTGCTCAGAGGCCGCAGAATCCTCGAAGATCTTTCTGGCGACGCCAGAGCTCCCCAGAGCTAGCCGGGCCAGGAAGTTAAAGTCCACGTCGGCGCCAAAGCCCAGCGTGACCACCGAGCACTTTCCCTGGTTGCCGCTCTGGATGTTCTGCTCGATGGTCCGGGGGTCGGTCACACCTTTGGAGGGCACGCCGTCCGTCAGCACGAAGAGGATGCAGATGCCGGGGTTTGAGGCCGAGATCGGGTCCATGGCGCCCGCCAAGCGGAGCTGGTCCAGCCCCTCCATCATGGCATCATTCAGATTGGTACCTTTGTGTCAAGAGGAGGGAAATATTATTTAACGCCAAATCTCTCGGTTCATTGCCAGGAACCCTCCTGAATCATGTACTGCACCTTCCACTTCTGTGACCCAGGTTCGAATTCCGCCTCAACCAACATGTGGATTGGGTTTTCAGTCCCTTTTTCTTAATTTCTTCTCATTGTCTCCTCTCTACAGGTTTCTTCAGGCTTGCGAGCTACAGTGCCTAGTGCGCTTTTGAGGAATCCTTGCTTTCATTACAAGAAATAAACAATAATAATAAAACCCGACATGCCCCATGGTGCATTCTCTGTATGTCAATTTTCAAGAGTTATCATGTCTAACGTATAAAGTAAAGTTGTGACTTGCTTATTTTCATCCTACGAACCCCCTTCAAAAGCATTCGGATGGATTAATTTTGCAGGATCCAGGACAGCAAGTTTAAAGGTATGTTGCTACCTATTCAGCTGTTTGATTCCAGCATTTGGAAGACGCGTGGTTAATTATCATGTCACCAGTTGGTAGGGATTTTTCAGAAGAAAATGTAAATGTATGCTGCCTGGTTTAAGTACACAAATAGGTGTAGTTATCTCACCAGTTTTTGATTCTAGATCAGTGATGTACGCCTTGGCTCTGTTGATATTTGTTGACGACGCTTCGACCATTTCATCCTCCCTCCAAAAGTAAACCTTCGAAAAGCAAAGCGACAAAAATAAAGCATTGTGCAAATAAATGACAATTAATACATATGTATGTGTAGATATGTGGCTATATAGGAGCTTTTATGCCGATAATCATGGGCAACAATTGGACGTTTAGGAGACACAGACTGTTTCTGTCTAAGAATCTGAAATAAATTGAGAAGCTCATACTTGTTAAACTACAAACAAAACACAAATACTCCTAGACGTGACAAAACTTAGCCGTGCCTGTGGAACTAGCTAGGATGTATTTGAAAGTACTTCAGCTGTTTACTTTAGTATCAAACTAAGATGGCAGTGCGAGAAGTGGAAATCACCACATTTTTCCCTGTTTTCAACACCCAACATTTGCATGGAATGAACTCGTCATGAGTATCCCAGTGTGTAGATCAGTTCATCACAACTCAACACATACAATGAACACAACAGAATCCATCAAACTACTTGCTTTTATTTGGCAAGGTTTACCTCATCTGAGAATGGGATGATGTTGAAGCGATCGCTGGGTCTCATCTGGTCAATGATCGTGGCCAAGGCTTCCTTGGTTTGTCTCAGCTTGAGCCCGTACATGGAGCCGCTCACGTCAATGACGAATGCGACAGTCTTACGGATGGGACTCAGGCCACCGGGAGAGAAATGATGGACGAAGACGTCTCCAAAAGTCTGTGGAAGTGTAAGATTCGAGAACAGAATGATTACCAAGCTACATTAGCAGGAACCATGGATTCAATATTCGGAAATGTGGCTTTGTGTTAGCCTTGTTCAATGCGGTCTGTCGGCTTTTTGTCGAAGGGAGATAATCGGGCCCTGCACCCACAATCAACGCGGCTACGTGCGTGTACCACCGACCCTTGTCCGTGCGTGTACCGTACCACCGACCCTTGTCCGTACAAACGGTTCGGTACTAACACAACCAGCAAGCACACACACGTGAGTACGGACTGTACGCATGGTGTAATAAGGCAGTAAATGTAGGCCTACTATGTTCTGCGTGTGGGTGTACGTAGGTACGTGTGGGGGATCTACGCGCCGCGTGGCCTGTCGAACGACCGCCTTGTTGGGTCTGCAACTTCCGGGTTTAATGTCTTTCTTTACTTTTTCGTCCAGTTTTGGAAAAAAAATGGGCGGGCTTCAGGTATGCGGGTATGCCGTAATGATTATGTAGGTTCGTCTTGGACCAATCACATGAAACAACCTTCCCAATAGTATGATTAATTCATTTTTAAGCTGACCAATCGTAAGCTTCACAAGAATCATGTGACGTCACGCGGCATGCATAATGCATTAGTCATCATGGCGTCTTCCATGTCTTTTTAGCGAGAGCGAAATGTTCGTCACTTTTTCAACTATTTGACATTGATTCGAGTTTTTCGGCTCGTGTAATGAATCCATTTGAGTGGGCAACGATCGTCTAATGACAGCATTACCTGCAGAATTCGTTGGAGCCTTCAATACTGCTTCGGACAGACTGGGACTGAACGACTTTCACCCACAGCAACGGGCCGCCATTGCAGCGTTTCTTCGCGGATGCGACGTGTTTGTTAGCCTATCGCGGGCTGACCAATGAGAATTCAGTATATACGCAGGGGGTGGTACCTCATTACCGTAATAGGTTTTGCTGGGTCAACTCAAAACCATCAAGGCGTTGGGTTACGCGGACTAGCTCATGCATGTACATGTACATGTACATGTACATGTACATGTACATGTACATGTACATGTACAGTACTGTGTGTGCATGGCTGTTGTACGAGTACGCGTGTGATGTACATGTACGTGCGTATATACGTACATGTACAAGCATAGCCTTGCTGTATGGTACAAGATACTTTCTCACTAGCAGCGTACGGGCGCGATATGTGCACGCAATTATATGCCTTGCCAAGTTGATAAGGGATTTTCTTATCGGCGATTTTTTTTTATCGGCGAATCGATAAGCCCAACGCCATGGTCAAGGCTACTTTGTGTGAGTTTGTCATTTTCTCCTTAGAGAAAAAGCTCACAAGCAGTATAAGAAATACATTATTGAAACCCTCCTGCTATCTGAACAGCACAGACAGTCAAACAAATCAATCCTCATCCTCTACCATATGCCTTGTACACAGGCTGGCCACAAACAGTCAGATTCCAAGCAAGCACTGTGACTAGTCTAATTCAGTCAACAGACAAAAAACAGGCAAGTGGTAGGCTGCTACCATCTGTTGATGGGGGCGCTGTTCAAAACCGATGATTATGCACACTGGCGGATAATATATGGTGCTTTTCAGGGCGATACATGCGTGAAATTAAACAAAGGCACCCAGAACAGCTGATGGCACCCAAAAAAGGCAGCAAAAAGGGTACTTATTCAGAAAAAAGGGCACTCTTTACAAATTATTGGGGGGGGGGGGGGGAGCGCTGGTAAAAAAAATGGCATTTGAATGGAAAATGGCAGTCTTTACAAAATAAAATATCTTTATAAAGTATATCACCATTATTGGACCGTGCCCAGTCTAATGTGGCTTTCGCGAACACGGAATTCCCTGGTTCGCATTCATGAGCACCCTACTGAGATAATGGCTTCTCGATCAGTTAACGACTATAAGCGGGAGTGCATGGTTTGTCCTTGATCATACCATGGAGCCTTTTTTATAGCTCCATGATCATACAGTCAGGCTATCCCCAATGTATGTGCGTCATTGTGTCCAGAGCCACCTGCCTCTCAACAGAATTTGAGTGACGAGTGACGAACCAGTTAAGTTCTGGTGAGCTATACCTACATCTACATGTAAGAAAGCCACATTAGACTGGGCACGGTCCAGTAATGCCCCCCCCCCCCCCATTTTGCAAAATTCATCCAGGCCTACCTGTACATCTCCAACATTCAGTTCATGCTGCACGTCGTACCTCAGGATGAAATCCCCATTGACGCCCGAGGGCTGGCCACCGATGGTCTGCTGCTCACGCTTGCTGGGCGTGAACTCCATGCTGACCCGCGACTTGCCGCTCTTGCTCAGGTACTCCTCCAGGGAGATGTAGGAGCTGGTGGTACGGGTCAGGGCGCCCAGTCCCCCGGCTCCGGAGCTGTCTCCCGAGATCTGGATGATCCCGGCCTCCGATTTGCTGATCCCCTGGGGCTCGGTGATGTAGGCCTTGATGCTGAAATCACGCACGGCCTGTAAACAGAGATGAAAACCTGTAGCCTAAATCTGTCCAGCCTCTTCACGTTCATTTACCATTTGTGTCCCAGGGCCAGTGGCGGTGCTATGGGAGGGGGGGGGGGACATCTGCCCCACCCCACCCCCCAAATTATTTCCTTGCCCTCCACACCCCCCTCCCCAGTTTTTGTCCAAACACTTTACCAACAAAGATTAATTATGTTTATTTTTTTGCTGTTCAAATTCATAAAATGTGGACACATTCTGGGTCAATGAAAGCCTTATAAACATTGGTACTTTAGACAAAACACGCCACACTTGCATTTATGCAGCCGTAGATAGTGTGTATAGATAGTGTGCAGGCAACGTCTTTGAACATTTCGTTACGTATACATTTGTTATACACCATTCTGCAGTTTGATACATTTCTCATTCATAAAAATGACTACATGTACACTTCAAAGTTTATTTAGTGGCTTACATTGTATTTCTGTACCATTGACAATGGGCAAGCGCACACATACACAGGCTTAAGATTTTTGACTGCCCCCCCCCAATATTTTCTTGCCCCCCAATTGCCCCCCCCCCCCCCCCCCCCCCATCATCATCTTGATGACGTCTGTGCACGTGCTGCACACGGGCGTTGCTCAGTGACTACAATGACAATCATAACGAGTTAATTGTTCTTTTCCACTGTTCGGCATTTTGAGTGATTTGGTGTTGCTGGTTCGAGCCAATATACCAACCATCCTCAGGTCATCAGACAATTGCTGTTGGTCAGGTTCGCATAAGCCACCTCTACGGTATGGTTCTGTAGGTTGATTATTTTTGTCCAAGAGCAATGAGAGTGGTACGTCGCGCCGGGTTGCATGTCCAATCAGTTGAAGCCGCTGTTTGCGAAGCGTTGTTGATGCTGGCGTGACCTATAGTTTTGCGCCGCCACTGCCCACGGGATGCTAAATATTTCAAACTGTTTACTCCAGGCATGCCAGGACTCTTTGCTAGATTTGCGATTCTTGGTTTTTGTAGCATGTCACAGTTTGATAGGCATGTAAGATAATATGGCATACTGTATTTCATTTTCTTCTTGTACATGTACATGTGTAGTTTGCAAACTTCAGTGGTCTTTTTGGAGTTTCGATTCTCCAAATTCGAAGGATGATCTTGACAGGTAGCCAAGACTTGCATTGTTACTGGTCTTATTCAGATCTCTGAGATATATGCTCCCCGGTAAATGTGGAGAACTCCTCAAACCTAGTTGCACTTGTAGGAGTTGCGCAGATTATAATTTTTTAATTGTGATGGGCTTGGTAATAACAGTATGTACCCCCATAGCAGAGACATTTTGGAAAAACAAATTCGCCACTCATAACTTTGTTTGGGATGTAATATGGAACAGGCTCAACTATTGCTGTCTAGACAGTAAAGTCATTTTCAATCAATTGGAAAATCATTCATAACTGTTACCCCACGCAAGTCTGGCTTTGCAAAAGGAAGAAGAGTGATTCAGAAAATTGCACATTTTGTCATGATAGTATTGATTACATTGAACACTGTTTTTGGTCGTGTAAAATGGTAAAACCCCTTTGGAACGAAATTGAAAAGATTGCTGCATCTAAGTATGGCAAATCGATCAGTCTGTCCGTGGAAAACATACGGGGGTCGGGGAAACATACAATAGTTATCGGTTTCTGAATACTTTAATTAATATAGGTAAACAAACAGTGAGTCGTTTTAAATTTGGCCAGTATTCCAACCTTATCATCCTTTTTGAGCAAGAACTCCAGCTTCGTCATGTCGAGTAAACTGTTTTGTTAGAATTTTTTGTTGTGTGTAATTCATTAGTACCTATAGAGCAGACGATTAACTGTTCATGTACATAGATTATTGTTATTTAATTGTTGATTGTATCTTTGAATAAAACAGGGGAAAAAAAAAATGTACTTCCAGTACATGTAATTAGTTGAGCTGTCCTTAAATTCCTGTTAATGTACCCTTAAAGCTATAGTCCATCATTTGCAGCCATCCGAAAAGTAACTGGCGTAATTACTGTTGAAAAACAAACTTGGTTGAAAGATAGTATGGTAACTAAACTCCCTGTGAACTTATTCTTTCTGGGAAGCTGTCATTTTGAAGCAATCAACGAAAGAAGGCATTTCCAACGGTGATTCTTAAGAAGCACCGTAGGAAAATTAAAATTAGTAGTTCGTTTTGTTATTCAGCGCAGCGCGCACAAGTATTGGAACGACGCACACGCGCGCGCGGTTGTTATAATTCGTCGGATCAGTGCGCGACGCCGCGTATAGCTGCAATTACAAAACAATTCAAAACATGATTCAGTAACTTTTGATTTGAAATTGAGATCCTAGAATGCTGTTTTTCTCGGAATATGAAGCTGAAGCTGAGCTGAAACTTCATCAAGTAAGTTGTTCAGTATCCTTCATTAGATTTTGAACACTTTTGTTGCTTCAAACGAACAAAATGCACTAATTACAAATGATGGACTATAGCTTTAACGCACCCTTAAGGAGACATTTTATATCATTATAGTTTAATACAAGTGCAGTGCCCATCTCAAATGTGCATGTTCGGGAAGCGCAAATTGCAATGCCGCTGGGATTGGTTGCATGCTTGCAGAGTTTTTGAGAACTGCTCGTGCAAACAACACACGCGATTCAATGGTGTTGTTTTCACAGGTTGAACGCACACTCACGTCAAAGTTTGTGCCAAGGTGTAGACACCAGACATTAGGGAAACATTTCAATATCTGCCTAATGTCACAACTAGGCTATTATTTAGAGACAAAATTTTAGTGTCGCAAATAGACTAGATCGGTTTCTCATGGTCAAAAACATAAATATACCAGAATTTGTGGGGGTAGGATAAGGGAAAATTGGGGTTAAGGAAACGTTGGGAAAACAATTGTGCATAACCCTATTGGAAAGTCTCCCTAAGGGAACCATTTCCCATAACAACAATACATGTAGTTACATGTATACTAATTTTACTCCCATTCTTGTTTCAACAATTAAAGTACAGTCCATCATTTGTAATTTTTGCATTTTGTTCATTTGAAGCAACAAACGTGCTCAAAATCTAAGGAAGGGTGCTGAACAACTAACCTGATGAAGTTTCAGCTCAGCTTCAGCTGTATATTTCGATAAAAACAACATTCTAGGATCTCGAGACAAATCAAAAGTTGCTAAATCGTCTTTTGAATTGGGCCTGAATTCAGCATCCGAGACACGTTCTCACTGAGCCAATTGCAGCTACGCGATGTCGCGCACTGATCCAATGAATTATAGCGACCACGGGTGTGTGTGCATCATATCAACACTTGCATGCTTTGCCGAATAAAAAAATGAACTAATACTAACGGAAATTTCCAACGATGTGTCTTTCTATAGACGCATCGTTAGAAAGGCCTTTTTTCGTTGATTTCTTGAAAATGACAGCATGCCAGAAAGAATCATTTCACAGGGAGTTTAGTCCCCTTACTATCTTTCAACAGAGTATGTTTTTCAAAAATAATTATGTCAGGTACTTTTTGGATAGCTGCAAATGATGGACTGTAGCTTTAAGGTAATGCACAGTATGTACTATGTATTGCTCCGCTCTGGGCGCAGACATTTTGATTTTATGTGCGTGTTTGTAGAACACAATCAAAAAAGATGGATTGAATTTTAAAAGTGCACTCTAAATGCAACGCGCAAGTAGATGATACGCAAACAACTAATAAGCGTGTCATGATGGTTCAAAAAGCGTCACGGCGAAAAGCGCATCTGCAGCGGAGGGACACGCATGCGTTGTGCTGTTTGCATGGAGCAAAATGAAACGCTCATTTGCTTATCGTGCGTTTCGGTTTTGGGCGTATCGACTTCGATGACGCACCAGTATGGAAAACAAACGCAGATATGCAAATAGCCGTACAAAATTTCGAGTTTTCTATAGGTTTGTGCACAAACATGGATGCGCCCACCAGGCATTACTGTGTACATCGAGTTAGCGCTCTAGTAATTTAATATAGCTCTATGCTTTATCCCCATCGTGCAGCACACTCGTGCTTACCTGTTGTGGATTGACGCTTATCTTCTGCGTGTACCACCCTTGGCTTCGCTCCAGCAGCTCTTGGTAGTTGACCATCACACCAACCCTATCTCCGGGAGCGACGTTGACAGTCACCATGAACGTGTTTCTGGTAGGATCCCTGCATCACGAGAACATGAATGGGAAACCAAAAACTGCTTAACTGCATTGCATCGGATTTCCTAAATGTTGCCCTATTTAAGACCTACTATCGTTGTTTTCTAAACAGAAATGAATAGCTTAAAAAGTCTAACGTTTACCATTTTGCCAAAAACGTGATGTGCCAGTGCCTGAAGAACACTTGTTATATTTAACATCAAGCACGCTTTTAAAGTCAATCATTTTCGGGACAATACTTTTAAACTTGATGTGTATGAGGGCTCTTCCTGACGTAATGACATCTAGAGGCAAAATTATGTCCATCATTCAACAGAAACCCTTTATGACAAACTTTATGTAAACAAATGAAAAATAATAATAATGGAGCTGTAGGACTTGCATCTGGCAAGTATACAAGAAAACATTGAAGGTACAATGTACTTACAGAGTAGTGATTCGTCCGGTGGACAGACTTCCAGACGCATCGAATGTATTCTCGTCTTCTCCTTCACACTTATCCCTCACTCTGCCGTAGTAAGTCACTCCATCAACCTCCCTGGGATAAAACAAAGATTATATTGCGGAATTTAGTTTTGGAATACTTCCATCTTCAGCTTGGCGCAGTGAATACGGAACAAACACCGTACCGACAGTGGTTAAATTTTGTAAACCAAAGTTGGATAGTACAAAACACACTCCTCTCCATCAAGTCTTTAATGTTAAAAAGACAGGCAGAAGCGGTATAGGGGCGTGCGTTGGTCCGAAGTAAAGTGTCAATTTGACTCTGTCCGTTTGTCTCTGGCCATACATGTACTAGATGTTTCCTTGATTTAAAGAACAATTCAACAAAGTCAAAGATAAATTGTGAGGATGAGACCTTAGTAAAATGGTTTGTCTCAATTTTCATACAGATCTAAATTTCAAATGACATCACTTCCAAGCACTTCCGTACCCATTAACCTGCAAAAAAATGAGTGGCAGTGTCATATGAAAATCGGACTCCTATGAAAATCGGACTCCTTTTCCCTTATATTGGTTAAAACCCTCTCACGTGACCGGTCCCTCTCCTAATTATCTATGCATGAGCATGCGCAATACCACCTATGAGTCCGTATTTCATAAAACCTAAATTCATGCTACATTGCACAGCGGTCTTGCTGGGCTTTTTAGCTTGAGTCCAAAAACACTAGAAACTGGATTCATTCTCAAGAAATAATGCTTCTTTGTACTTACTTGGCGAGAAGTCTTAATGAGCAAAACTTTCTCTACATTCTTCCAAATGAAATAGGTCAGTTAGATCCTTAAAGTCACAATCGGGTTCACATTAACACTTGAACTTTTCAAATTTATGTTTGTTTAGCTTCCCCTGCGCGATATTAAACAAGAAACGACCCATGAATACTTTGAACCAGAAAGCACTCAGAGAGCGCAAACCTCCGCTAAGGTAAACCCAAAAGAAATTTGTACTCACATAAATGGTGAAGAATCTTGTAAAAAAATCCTGGATCCAGACCCAGATCCGGATCACTTCCAAAATCTAATCGATTTGTACTTGCATCAAGGCCCATCCCTAAAAAAGTTTTCATGCAAATCTGTCCATAACGTTTTGAGTTATCTTGTTAACAGACAAACCAACCAACCAACAAACTAACCAAATCCGATTAAACCATCATCCTTGGCGGAGTTAATTATTTAGTAATCAGAGATGCCACAGGGTCTGCTTGAAAAAAACGGAACTGGGTCTGCTTGAAAAATACGGAACGGCTGCTTCAAAAAACGGAACTTTTGTGTGTGTGAAAAAGCCACTTCGTGTCCGACACAAAGTCCCCGTTGTCATCTTTATCTTGTAGCCAAGCCAAGTTCTGTTTATTTTTAATTTTGCTTCTATGGCCTTTAAAGCTGTCGGTTCGTTCAATCACTTTGACTTTTTCCATATTCCTAATATTTATTCTGCCTACCCGAGTTTCCAACGTAATATTCGACACGAAACGTGCATGATTCCACAACACTGCTGTCGGTGTACATGATCCGTGCACTACGCGATGCGCTCAACGAAAACATGGTTGGTACCCGCATTTTTTGTATTCACATATATCACTGCGATCGGAAACCACCGATAGCTGAAATGATAGACTTGATTTCCAGGCTGAATGCTACGTGTGCTTAGCACACAACACGCCCGTACGCGGTGAAGCACGCGCGAGGCGCCATTGTACATGTATACTGCGTGCAAATACGTTGGCCGCTTGTATCGCATGCAGGCTCGGCAACAACATACACAAAGACTGTTTTTAAGACTACTAAACCGGAAAAGTGGCATCTCTGTAGTAAGCATTTTGGTAGAGATCTTACATGGAGAAGCTGGTGATGTACGCGCTGACTGGTAACTGCATGATGAAGTCCAGGGGTTCAGAGTCAGCAGCCTTGTTGCTGATGCGACTGGTGATGGTGGTGCTGGCAAATCGCACCGCTATCTTGGTCTCGACGTGGAAAAGTAGGACATCGTTCCTTTTACCGCCCTGTTCAAAAATCAAATCATAAAGTTAAAGTTAAAAGGTGTGCTGGAGCATAAGGAGTGGAAGCATTATCAGTGTGACAAAATTGTCAGCAAGAGAAAACTGCAATGTTTCTATTCTATTGTTCCTTATGTACATGTAAGTCTACGCCATAGTTTTGACATTTCTCCTTTACAATGTACATGTCATTGAAACTTCTGCTAACTATCAAAGTTGCCGGGAAAATAAATGCATGGGCGAATTAAATCAATACATTGCAAGTGTTTTGCGAATAAATATCATTTGAACATTGTTTTTGACAGGGGACAATGCACAGGTAGACGTTACATTTATATTTCATACAAATTTCTTCCATATCGTAACATTTCATTGGGATTTTACTCATAAATCATGAGTGCATTATTTGTCAATAGAAAACAAAGTGACAAAAAGCGAATGAGCTTTTTACTGCAGCGCGTCCTAAAATACCCGTAACATTTTTTTGTTGCAAGGCTCTAGCGTCGCCTCGGAAACACGTACCGCCATTATTGTTATATCATTTTAAAGCTTAATTGGAATCTTACCTTTATCCCTGGTAAGTATTGGTTTGATTTTCAAAAGGGTTTAGAAATGACGCTAGAGCCTCGCAAAAAAGTTTCGGGTATTTTGGGACGCACAGATGCTTCTCTTATGCTTATATGCATGTACATGTACAGTGTACTGTATCTTACCCCTGTTTGTCGTCTCTCTCGAATGGAGCGCAGCATCTATTTGTAAAAAATTTAAAAAAATATAAAAACAAGGATTTAATGAACCTGAACTTACTATATTTTGCTGTATTATTCAATTTTACCCAAATAGCCCAAGAGAAGAACCCGATTTGGAAAGTGAAGCTTGTGTCTTACAACTTATAAAAGTTCACACTTGAAAAAAATCAACCGAAGGTCACTTTTTACTAAGTTGGCCAAATTGTCAAATTACATATATGCACACAGCACAAAATCAGCAGAGCCTCATTGCTGAGGAAAAAATATTCAACAAAATAATGTTTAGCCCTAGATAACATACATTTCTTTTTCTGACTTAAAATGTTGAACTAAAAGTCTTCGCAAAACGTGCGTTGGTTTTTTTCTCTGATGTTATAGGACCATGACTTTTTAACCAACAAATCTGTCAAAAGTTCTTATTTTAAAGATTTAAAAGTATTCATCACGTTGAATTGAATACGAGGTGCACTGTATGTTATGAGGTACAATGTTTCAAATTTTAAGGCATCCTCATATTTTCTTGATGGGGAATATCTTGTCTTAAAATTCTACATAACAGTTTTTTTAACTATTAAGCCTAAAAGCTCTTAAAAGTTTTCTCATACTTTCCATTTCACAAAGAGTGATTCTTTTGGAACTGAGATTAAGGTATCCAGAGTTGTAATGACTCGAGTCAATGACTCGACTCAAGTCCGACTTGAGTCACAATTTTTGGTGACTCGACTCGACTCGAGTCCCTAATACTATCCAGGAACCAGATTGTTAAACACATTTTCTAATTCGCTGTTTCATCATTGGCTTTGGGCGATTTCTTATAAAGCTCTTGGATTCGAACGCTGGCTAAACTTATGGCCTCCTTTTATCAATTTTGGTATAGTGTTCAAATATTCGTGACTCGAATTGACTCGAGCTAAATGTTTGACTCGACTCGACTCGAGTCACTTCTTTAAAATGACTCGACTCGACTCGAGTCACAAAAATCAGTGAGATCGTTACAACTCTGAAGGTATCAGCATTCCAGTTATGGAATGTTTAGTATCTCAATTCCATGAATTAACTCGTAAAATGTACACCAAAAAGCCTCAGAATTCTGTAAAACCTCAGATTACAATGTACATTGTACATGAATCGCCTACGTAAAACCACTCCGTACATCTTGTCAGACAATGAAAGGTGATGAGGCCACTGTATGACTACATGTAGTAGGTTTTTGTCCCCCTTCATCATGTGAATAGAACATTTTGGAAAAAAAGGTACAATGTAGTTCGTCTGAAGCGGTCGTCCATTATCCTTAGTCATTCACCCTTCCGTCATTTTCTAAGCCTGCCCCTCTGTTAACCCCACTGAAATGCGTGTTGCATATTTGAAACGCTTCTCACTACACACCAGCTGTAGGGAACATGGGCCCAGGGAGACAATTACTGCATTGATGTAGTACAGCGCATATTAGTTGAAAAGCAGAAGTACATGTATTTAAAGTAATTAAGTCAGAATGACCAATTCATTTTGCACACTACATGTATATGGCTGGTGGTAAAGGATATGTCTTATTGCAAACTCGTTTTATTTTCTTTCGCCCTTACTAGGGTAAACGTCATCAGGTTGCTACATGTGTTACTACATCTATACATGTAGTTATTACTGAGAATATGAGATACAATTTCAAATTTTTTTTTTTTATTCAAGTTTTTGTGCTATGGAACAAAGTTATAGTTTTCGTTTTGAATTATGAGAATGTTCATTTAATCTAACTGAATGCGTATGAATTCATACCAAATTGTCAGTGTTGTGAGGTCTACTACACGTAATTCGTATTAAAAAAATATCACTGCTGTGTCAAATGGACTTTTCCCTATCAAAGTGTTGTGGTTAGGGTGTACACAGTATAAGCGGTCAATATTTATAGAGAAAACAAAGATTAAGTTCTACCAAATCCCCCGGAAGTTCTTCAGACATTCATGGTAATGGTAATGAGTTCTCTGAAGCCATGAGTGGTGGTGAACCAGTCACGGCCGCGCCGTCACATTCAAAAGGTGTCAACTCCATTGTCTGCGGTTGGGAAGTATACTGCGAACTACATGTATACCAAGGTGCACCCTCGGGCGCCATTCAATTACTAATAGTTCAAAGAATGACACTACAGAAAGGGGTGTGTATTGTACAGATGTGTATTGTATGGACGTGTTTGCGTTTCCTTTTATACTAACTTTCTTTTGCCAATGTTAATCCGCACGTTCAATGAGGCATCTAAACCCACTACATGTATACTGAAAAGGCTGAAGGCCAGACAATCGGCCCCATTTTTGTTGCCAGAGCCGACTAAACATTGCTAAAGCCCTAACCCACCTCACTCCTCCAAAATCCTCCTTGCGGTTTTGGAGGATTCTAGAGGATTGAGGATGAATGGTGATTGAATCAAATGAGGATTCTGGAGGATTGAGGATGAATGGTGATTGAAGCACATGAGGATTTTGGAGGATTGAGGATGAATGGTGATTGAAGCACAAGAGGATTTTGGAGGATTGAGGATGAATGCATTTTGAGGCAGGACTGTCTGATGATTTTGAAGGATTTGGCGTTGGTTATCCTTCATTTAAACACGAGTGCAAAGTTTTGGGATGAGGAGGATTTTGGAGGATTGAGGATGAATGCATTTTGAGGCAGGACTGTCTGACAATTTTGAAAAATTTAGGCGGAGTTGCAAAATTTTGGAAAATTTTGGAGGATTTTGGAGGATTGAGGATGGTTGTAAGCAACAAGGGCCTAGGGGGTTAGGGTTAGCTAAAGCACGATTTGCATAATTATACATTGCACGGTGCATTTCTCTCATAATAGCGTTTGTTGGTTCGTAAATGAAAGGTCCTACCTCTAAGCCGCTTAATGAGCTTGTTAATGTATTCCTAAAAAAAGTTGGTTGTTGGCAGTGGAGTGGAAGGATCAATAACCCTAAGCCCCTAGGCCCTTTTTGCTAAGAACCATCCTCCTCAATCCTCCAAAATTTTGCAACAGCATCTTAATTCTTCAAATTTGTCAGACAGTCCTGCCTCAAAATGCATTCATCGTCAATCCTCTCAAATCCTCCTCATCCCAAAATGTTGCACTCGCGTTTAAATGAAGGATAACTAACGCCTAAATTAGTGGCAGTGGAGTGGAGGGATCAATAATATAACCCATAGGCTCTTTTTGCTAAGAACCATCCTCAATCCTCCAAAATTTTGCAACGGCACCTAAATTCCTCAAAATCATCAGACAGTCCTGCCTCAAAATGCATTCATCCTCAATGCTCCAAAATCATCCTCATCTTCAATCACCATTCATCCTCAGTCCTCCAAAATCCTCATGTGATTCAATCACAATTCATCCTCAATCCTCTAGAATCCTACAAAACCGCCAGGAGGAATTTGGAGGAGTGAGGAGGGTTAGGGTTTATCAAACTGATTGGCTTAAAGAACCGTACATAAGGCCAAAAAAAAAAGTCTCCGGTTTCTGGTATGCGCGCGCGTCGCCGTAGCCATGCGCATCGGCAAAATGAATTTTTTTTTCAATGAAAGATGATGTCTCAAAACCGCCAAACTCACTGGTTTGACTGGAATCCTGCTGCTGCACAATTTTAACGTGTTTTTAGATTGGGTTATGGTCAAAAATAAGCTTCATGTGGCCTCTCTGGACTCCCATATATTTGCACTAAGTTTTAGTCGGGCACCATTTACAGTCATCAGCCGACATTTGAAGCAAAAAAATCAGGTAAAAAATAAAAAAGCCGCGTCGCCGCACCAATTTTTGGGCAAGCTCCATACCAGAAACTGGAGACTCTTTTTTGGGGGCCCAAGGGGAATTGGTTAAGAAATAAGCCCACCCCCCCCCCCCCCAGAAAACGGATTACTTGGAGGATAAATGAAGCTTAAAATAATAACTATAAAATATTACCAATTTCTCTTTAAAGTGAATGTAAAATGTTATCATTTGAGTCAACGGCAACTGCCTGTGTCAAATATACAAAGAAAAAAAGCACATTTTTCTCCTAGCTTTACAAATATTGCCGTTTATCATGGTCCTCTGAAGGACAAAGTAATAATTAGATGGCTGCTTAAATTAAGAAGAGCTTGAGGACAGGTTCCTACGACAACAGTCAATTTAGATGGTTACTAAATTGACGCTGCACTGCAGCCATTAGAGCCATTAGGTGTAATTGAACGATCGTCAAGGTCTGTCTGGACATGATCCTCACAGGGGGGAAAAAAAAACGTGAACAGAAAACAGAGAGGCAGTAATTGCTTCATTCGGCATTCAGAAAGGACTTTTTTTAGTGGAGAGAGCTTAACTTAAAAATATCAGGTTCCATGCAATGACTTGTCTTAGGAACACATTTTGTGCAACTTTCTTCTCTTAAAGGGAATGTACATCATTGGCTTTTGCTATAGTTTTCAGAAATGAACTATTGTGGGGTTAGTATAATAGATCAGTCTGGATCCCTGACTCCACTAAAGATGAAATGGCTCAATTTATAGATGCCGGAAAATTGTAAGGTAAGGGAACCAGTTTAGCTGGCCTGCCCATTCATGAACATGTAACCAATAGCAAACGAAATTTGGACTGGAAAAAAAATGGTAAATTTGGAGCAGTAGTTGAAAATAGTTAGGTTTTTCCAACGGTGGTCAGCCGACCACCATTGGAAATGTATACAAGTACCATTTTCTTGAAAATGACTTCACACCAGGTGTGAAGTTTTTACAGGATGCTTTAGACTGTCATTTACCAACATCCTAGTGAGGTTTTTTGGTAAAAACTTGGTAGTTTTAATTTTCGATGTTTGCAAATGTTGTATTTTCCCTTTCAATGCATGAAGCTAACTACAATCCCTTTTTTGTTGATTTTATTGAAAACTGCACTTCTTTAAACATTTACAATGTTTTTGTTTGTTTCTGCACAACTGAGGTCACTGTTGCTACATGTACATTGTATGATCTCATTTTAGGAAGACACTGTTAAGATTAGGGGTT